TACGATGGGAAGTAGGAAAAAAAAGCAAATAATACACACACAGTCACAAATTGCATTTAGGCCAGAATATAACTAACAAGAGGCTAATCAAACACAAATATTCTTCATTTCAATTCATTCATTCATTCATTGATTGATTCAAACAAATGACAACAAGGAGAAAAAAAACCGGATGGGCAACAAACAAGAAAAGTGGCTGCAAATTGGAACATCATGATTATGATGAACATCACAAATTGAATGGATTGTGAATGAATAAATGAATGGAAAACATCAGAATTTTCATTTTATTTTTCAGGTAAATCATAATGATATTCTGCTACTGCTACTGCCACTGCTGCTACTGCTGCTGATGATCGATAGCAATGAATGAGTTAACCATTAACCATCATTGTCGTTTCCAACACGTCAGGTGATTTGATTTACATTAAATTCAAATTAAATAAAGTGAATTATGGAACCAAAAAAAAAAAAGAAAAAAAAAAAAAACGAAACTAAAACTGAATTAAATCGAAATTATTTATGCAAATTGTCATCATCATCATCACCATCATGATGAGTGAAATGTATTCTACACCCACATATTTATGTGTATGTGTGTGAGAGAGAGAGAGAGAGAGAGAGAGAGCGAAAGTTGAAAAGTTTGGTTCCGGAAATGATTAAATTATTTAAAAATTTCATTTCATTTTTTTTTTGATTCAATCATTTGAAATTTGGAACAAATGAAAAAAAAAGAATTTTAGCGCCACACGTAGTAGTAGCGCCATATTTTTCCACTCATCAAAGTCTAGTATTAATAGGTCTATTTTGATCATCATCATCATCGTAATGATCCTTCAACCAAATTGTATTGGATCTAATATTTGTCATTTAATAACCAGAATGATGATGATGATGACGATGACGATGCTTGAGTTTGTCAGAATTTTTTTTTTTATTCTTTATTCTTGTTTCATCATTCATTTCTACATGGTATACAACAGCAACAACAAAGTTGTGTTCATCATAATTCACAAGTTTTTTTTTTTTTGGGAATGATGATGATTTTGATGGATTACCGTCATGGATTCATAATTTTTTTTTCATTATAATCATCAAGTTTATATTATATAGTAAGTTGGGTATTGGTTATATAGGTTTTGTTACTTTTTCAATTCAATGATGCATTTGATCGATGAATCTGATTTAACATAACGAATAATATTCAAGTTTGCGTGAATCATAAACTTGATTATCATCATCATCATCATCATCGATTTAATATTTATCCGATTAATCACTCTATATGTGTGTGTGTGTGTGTTTTTTTCGCTCAAATGAAGATGCGTGTTAAGTGTTCAATGTTAACTATAACTACACTCTCATTTATATTTCAATGATGGATGATGATGATGAAGGTGATGAAGGTGATTAGTTATATTAGTTATGCATACCATTTTTTTTTTTTCATTCGTTCTTTTGTTTGTTTGTTTGCTCTGAGGGTTTATTTTGTCTTTTTTTTTCATCTTGATTTTACAAAAGAAAAATTTTCATTCATTCATTCTTGCGTGCGTGTGTGTGTGTGTGTGTGTGTGTATGTGCAAATGGCGACAAATCACGAAATCGTTTCCATCTTATAAATTCGAAGAAAATGCAGTTTTTTTCTTGGATTTTTGTCGCCAATAATTGTCGCTGATGATGAGATTTTCAGTTGAAAAATGATTTATTTTTCACGTGATTTTCTCAAGAATTTTTGTTCCATTTGGGATTAAATTTTTCCTTTTTCTTCTTCGTCTTCTTCGTCTTCTTTGTCATCATTTGCGTGCATTGGAACAAAAACACAAATGGATGAAATCGAAAATAAAATAGACAATGACATTTTTGAATTATTAATTTTTCAATCATCCAAGTTCAATTTACATTTATTATTAGAATGGTGAATAAATGTGGGTTTTTTTTTTGCTCTTACCAAGAACTATGGTGATCATCATTTTGTTCGCAAGGATTTTCTATGAGCTCATTTCATTGCTTTGCTGTGCCACACAAACAACAGGAAAAATTCCCATCGTGATTTCGATGCTGTAATCCTTTTTTTTTGTTCAATTTTGAGATTTTTTTTTCTTCTTCATTTTGACATTGTGTGTGAATGTGTTCGCTGGTTGAAGGAACGATTTGATTAGAACATTACCAAAATAGAATCGATAGTATCGAATATATAATTGAAATTGGTGAAAAGTTTTTTTTGTTTGCATGGTTCATATATGAACCATATTGATGGATTTGAAACTTTGAAACTTTCATTGATGATGATGATGATGATGAAACTTTATTATTATTCCTGGTTCCAAGTTGGTCATTATTTTATGATTTCTTTTTTTCGAGTTTTAATCATCATCATCGTCATCATCAATGATTAAAAACTTGGCACTTTTTGACATCGATTCTTGCCATACATTGACTACATCAATCTTTTGTGTGTGTTGTTTTGCTGTCTCCAGACACAGAAATAAACAACAGCCATGCAAATATTAGCTGAAAATGTTTTTGGTGAACAAAAAAAAATGACAAAATTTGAATAACAAGTGAAATTGAATTTTAACTGAAAAAACAAAAAAAAACAAATCCAATCCAATGATATTAATACTGAGTTTATCAGGAAAATTGAATTTCGCTTCTCGTTTTCTTTTTTTTTTTTTGCACCGAAAATTTTATTTATCCCATACAAATTGTTTGAGAGAGAACAAAAAAAAAAAAAAAAATTTATCCAAACTTGAATTCAAACAAAAAAAGCAGCAAAAAGAAAGAAAAACAAACGCACAGATTTTTTATTCCCATTGAATTTCGATCGGCATAAAGAATTTCTATGGAATTTAAATTGAATCGAATTTTTTTTTGTTCGCAAACCAAAATGATGAGTTTTCAATCGTCTTGTGTGAGTGTGTGGTGAATGTTTTTTTTCAATTTTGTATTTGTAAGCAAATTTTTTTTGTTTTGTTTTGTTTTGTTTACAGAATAATAATGGTGATCGGAGTTTCGATTTTTTTTTATATATATATTTTATTCCTGATCGGCATTCTAAAACTAAAAAACCTAGAATATAAATTGATGACCCAATGAGAGTGTTATTGATTTATTTAGAAAAAAAAGATCATCACCGGATCTATGAATCATCATTTATATTTATAGCTTAATTAATTCAAATTTGATTCAAACATGAATTTTTCAGTCGCATACACACACATGTTCATTTAAATTATGGAGGTGAAGCCAACTTTTCACACTTCACGATTTTAATTTTTTTTTTTTTTGTTTGTTTGTCAAGAATTTCTCTTCTTTTTTTTGGAATAAAATTCTGTAAAGTTGTGAAAAATTCTGTCTATTCAAAAATCATTACAATTACAATTTTTTTTCTGTGTTGTTCACTCTCAGCTTCATTTCACAACATTCTGTTGTCGGTTGTCGTTTGGTTGTTTGGTTGTCTGGCATTGCGCATCATGTTTCAAAGTTTTTTTTTTGCATTTCAAAACTAATTTGTGTTACATTAATATAATTCTTTGTATCCGTTCTCATTTTCTCATCCAATTTACACATTTATTTTTTTTTAATATGCGAAACATAGAATGAGAGAGAGAGAGAGAGAGAAAAGAAACATTTGCTACGTCTAGCGTGAAACAAAACAAAACAAAAAAAAATTACTCAAATGGTGAACATTCAAATAACCAGATTCGATGAGATATGAGTATATGTGTGTGTGTGTGTGTGGGTAAAATTCAACAGAATCAAACGATGGAAAAAAAATTCGACTTATCACCATTATATGATTGTCGTTGTATAAAAACAAAAAAAAAAAAAATCCACCATCCTCAACCACTTTTTTTTTGTCATTTCATTTCATTTTTTTTTTTTATTTCCATTTCCATGCTCTACTCTAATATAGCCCTAGCTTCAATGGTTTTTTCCCCATCAAATTTCCGTTTCTGGCATTAGGGTTAAGCTGTTGTTGTTGTTGTTGTTGTTGGCGTGTGGCGTGTTTGAAATTGTGAAACAAAAAAAAAAATTCACATTCCAACACACACGTACACCGTTAAATAATACACAGAAAAGTGTTTTGTATATATGTGTGTGTGTGTGTTTTTCCCTGGTTCTTTTTTTTCTGGATCAATGCTTTACATTAATGTGCATATATGCGTGTGTGTGTGTGTAAATTATAATTAAATGTTTCTTTTTTTCTCTCTCTTTGATTCTCCATTTTTTTTCATTTCAGGATCAAATTTAGATACATTCTTCAATTCTTCGATTTTTTTTTTGGTGGGGGTTCTTTTCGGCTTTTTTCCATTCATTCGATGTTGTCATCATCATAGATACCATACATCTTTAGTTCTTAACAACGAATAATAATAAAAAAAATAGGTCATTCAAGAAAAAAAAATTTGAAACAGCAGCCAATTAGTAGAAAAAATCATCATTAATCAATACGAAGAAAATATATTGACCCCATCCCCCATCATATATTATCATTAAAAAATAAAATTACCCCATATGTATTACTTGCCACCAAATTATCATCAACAACAACAACCACAACCACAACAACAACAACAGCAGCAACAACAACAACATCCTCAGCAGCAATCGGCAAATTTTAGTAACCAACAACAATCACAACAACAACCAGAATTGCAACCTAGATCGGTTACAGCACCATTTGTTGAACGTCGGATTCAGCATCAACAACAACAACGTGGTGATCGACTTCAACTTCAACTTCAACAGCAGCAACAACAACAACAGCAGCAGCAACAATATTCAAATTATTATCCACCTACACCGACAACACCGACACAAGCATTATTATCATCGAATAGATTTTTAATCGGTGGTTATAATCCAAATATTATTGGCAGTGGTGGTGGCGGTGGCAGCAGTTTTCGAAGAGCTGCCGGTCTTATAGGAGCATCTGGTGTAGCTAGACGAAGTCGTCTAGGTCTAGGATTAGGATTAGGCAATCGTCGTTTTTATAGTGGACCCGGTGGTTTTGGTGGTGGTGGTGGTGGTGGTGGTGGTACGGTAGTGTTCGTAATTTTTCAAATTATCGATCTAGTAATCATTATCGAAGAAATCATTACAATCCATATAATCCATATTATTATAATTATAATTATACTAATCAAAATCAGAAAAAAGGTATGATTAAATGTAAAAAAAAATTATTTGATGAATTTGATCAAATATTTGATTTGTTCTTGTTGTATATAGATTTACTATTATATTTCAATTTTATAATGGATCGTGGTAACGCATTCAGTTGTATGAAATATACATTGATATTATGCAATGTATTTGGTTTTATATTGGCCATATTCAATGCATTATTCGGTATTGGTTATCCACAAGAAAAATGGCCAGGAGGATATACTGGTGGTCAGATGGCCATATTTTCATTATTTGTGATGGCATTTACGACAATCGGTTATTGTGGTGCACAACACCATAAAGGATATCTATTGATTGTATATGGTAAAAATAAATTTTTTTTTTTGTTTTATATCCAATCAAATTTATAAACTTTAGTAGTGGTGGTAGTGGTACATCGAAATCCAATTCTATTCATTAATTGTCCATGACGATGACCATTTGTTTGTTAATTTGTTTTTTATACTTTTCTATCATTACACCAATATATATGTACAATCGGTTGTCCATATATTGATGATCATTATTATCAAAAATCCATAATTTATACTATAATAATAATAATAATTTTTCATCGTTTTTGTTCAAATTTTTATTTATTTGATTTAGGCATAATAATATTCTTCTTGTTAATTGGATTGGTGGCCATTTGTTTCATTTACAATGATTCATTAGCAGAATTAATGTACAATGGATATATGATTACCTTTGCCGTAGTGATCTTTTTTCTCATGTTATTTGCCTTTTTCATTTCATATAAAATAAGTGAACATGGTTCAAGTAAATATTTGTCAACAATTATACCGACCACTCAACAACAGCAAGCAGCAGCAGCAGCAGCAGCAGCGGCGGCAGCAGCAGCTGCTGTTGCTACCGCCCAACAACAACAATCTCAACGTGGATTAAGAGATCAACAACAACAACAACAACAATCACAACAACCACCAACATCACAATCACAGCAACCACCACCACCACCACCACCAGCAACTACGATAACATCCGGTAATTGTATGGCCAATACTGGTGATCAACGTACTAGACATCCATATACAACAACAACGACAGGTGGTGGTGGTGGTGGTGTTGTTACCGGAAGTCAAACCGGCGCTGTCAGTGGTGGTGGTGGTGGTGGTGGTGTTGCTAGTACCGGCTCAACACAGCAACCAACCAATCAAAGCGCTACCAATCCATGTCCAGTGCCAGGATGTAATTATGGTAAAATAATTTCCAATTAATGAAAAACAAAAAACAAAAAATAAGAAAATCAACACGTATTCACAGCCTTATCGGAATTACTTGCAGAAAGAAGTCGCTGGAGAACTGGACAGCGATTAAATATGCAGCTGAGTAATGTCCAACTGAAAAGAGTTTCGTATGCGATTGTCGACACCGGTAATAATTGAAATGGGAGAAGAAGGAGAGTCGGATGCTCCCCAAAACGTGATTAGCCACCTCCTGTTTGCATATTATAGCAGATTTAGTTTCTAATCTAGAGTCTAGATCTGTTAAAGATCTTCTCAGTACCGATGGGACCGCTAATGATGACGGTACTCAGGTTACCTCATTTCCTGAGTGCCTCGATTCAGTTTGGGAAAACCGCAGGAAATGCTCAATCCGCTTCCTGATGACACCAAAGGTGATTAAATTAGATTTCAAATTCCCTGAACAACCAGGTGTTACGTTTTCTAATAATCATGAGATTCCAATAGTCCATTCGACTATCAATCCATTTACATCTGGTTATACATTTCCATCAACATCTGGTCAGACACAGTCTGAATTTGTTAGACCAGGTATGGAACCAGTTTTTAGAAAATCTTTTAATATGAAATGGGCAGATAAAGTCCAAAAATTTGATGGTAAGTTTGAAAACTTTCATACTTTCATCAACGCATTCAATCAGTTTATACATCAAACTGATGCTGAAGATGCGGGCAAATTATTGCTGTTAAGAGAGAAACTAGATCCTTTCTCTCTTGGACTAATAGCTGGAATCGATGGCCCACAATATCATCAGGCGTATAATATTTTAACTAGATACTATTCAGCTTCATTTCCATTACAACAGAAGTTGAAATCCAAGGTAGAAGCGTTGCCTAGAGCAGAACATTGGCATCAAACGGATATCATGCGCAGCAATCTTGCTGTGATAAAAGATGTGTATAACACATTAGCAACCAGTGGTAACAATAGGTCATTTCTAGAAACTGACTTCTTTTATACTATAGCAGCGAAATTCCCTGACGGTGCAGTTACAAATATTATGCAAAGATTTGGTTCAGATCTAACCATTAGCAAGTATTTGAATGACTTAAATTCATATATAGAGCAGTCTGAACAGCAAAGAATTATTTTATGTCGAACAGATAGCATGATGAATTTGAATAGGCCCAAACAGGAAACATTTGTTAGAACTAGAAATGTTCCAAATAGGAATAGTTACAATCAACCAAATCCGTTCAGAAGGACATTATTTCAGAACAGGAATAGGTTTAGTAATAGAAGCCCTCGACTAGACCGTAATTACCGGCTCTTGCTTATCCGATAGGTCAATTACCAATTATAACTTATAACACCTTAACATCGTAATTTATAATAATAATGGGAGGACTAAATCGAGTCTCAAGCTGGTACAGCTGGTGGTACAAACAATGTTTTCAAAGAATCCATATTTCAACTCAATGCCACCCCAGACCCACAAGTAGAAAAGATTAGGATTCTAAATGGATGCTTGAGATGTTTTCTAGCTCGCCATGATGCAATGGAATGTAGAATACTTTTACTTGGCCGGACATAATAGGTAGGCATAATACATCCATTTTATTCTCATGGGATAATAATACTGGCAATTATACTTGATGGTTTCCTACTCCAACTATGATGAAAAGATTAAAGATTATATTGGACGGTAAGAGATTTGAAGGGTTCATGTAGTGCTGAATTTTGCTTGTGCTATTAGCTGTGATATTTGGCAGTGTTTCAGTGCTCACAAACCTTGTGATAATCCTGGTTGGACCATGCGAATTTCCATGGACATCGGCTGATTGTTATTGGGAAGACGAAATCACCAGAACCTTCAGATTGGTCCAAAGCACCAGAAAGAAATCAATTTTATATCTTACCTCAAATCATTACATTCTTATTGGGTTTAGATCATTTGATCCAGTTCGATTAATAAAGGTCCCTGGGAGGTCAGAATACAATCAATTATTGGAAAATAAGTGGATTCCAATAGATGCTGGTTGAGAACAAATTCCAAGATCCTTCTATAATGTAGCCGAATTACGCGGTTATCTCAAATTGATGATCCACATTAAAATTGATTTTAAAATTTAATGCAGGTATTCCTAACTCTGTATTAAGTGGTTTCAATTCGCACCAGACACCTGCCAGATTAACGGGTAGATAGAATTTATAACGTCATTCAAGACCCTATACATATCTCGGTGGGTCAAGAAAAAGGTTGATAGTCAAATCAAGGTTTCATGAGGAAAATTGAATCAGACCATCGCTTGAATTGTATTCTTTTCCGGTGGTTTAAAAAGATTAGTAAAGGTCGGCTACAATTACTACTCAATTAATTCGTACAAATCGATCAATCAATCAATCAATCAATCAACCAACCAACCAACCAAATCGATTCGAAAATTCAAATATAGATACAAAGACAAACACGCACACACACGATACAATGAATGAACCAATTTCTTTGCTTTCGCTCTCTTTTTCTACACAATTATTTCCATTTCGACAGTAAAAGAAAATATGATTAATTAATCTTGTCCAGTGCTTCTGTTTTTTTTTTTTTTTTTTTCATTCATTCATCTATTTTGTTTCGCTTTTTGTTTTTGTTTCATTCAGAATGATGATGGATGAGTACACTACATATATATATATATAGTATATTATTCTTCTTCTTGTCTTTAAATCTCAAACAAAATCCCGATATATAATCATACAAGCAACAAAAACAAAAAAATTTTGTTCTTTTTTTTTCTTCTTCACATTCAGATCTGTCGTTGTCGTTGTCGTAATCGTTCGAAACTATTTTAACTCAGAATGATGATGATGATGATGATATATTCGCAAGAAACAAATAATGAGAAAACAACAACAACAACAACAAAATCCTCACTTTAATCTCAATGCATCCGATCCAAAAAAAAACCAAACCGAAATAGAATCCTCATTTCTTTGTTATATTCCAATTTGGAACAGTTGTACTTAAACTGGCCCCATTGAATAATGGGATTTCAACATATTTATGATGAATGAAAAAGTTATTTTTTTCTCCATTTGTTGGCTAAAATTCCCCAAAAGAATTGATCTGGAAAATCTTTCCATATTAAAAACCATTAGAGTTTTTTTTTTGTTTGTCATGTCATATGAAGATCATCATAAGAATTCAATGAACGAACAAGAAAACAAGCCTATTATTTCGAATATGGAATGATCAAAAAAAAACAACAATGAACAAAATTTCTTTTTAAATCATTATCATCAACATTCGAATGTGTAATAAGATTGCTGTCTACCAACCAACGAAGGCATGTCAATCAATTTTTTTTTTATTTGTTTAGTTTTTTCTCCGGTCATCATCATTATCATTAAGATAGATCATGGCCAATTGATATCATGAACAAAATTTCATCATTTCTTTTTTCTCAAGAAAAAAGCTGTGATCATCATCATCATCATCATCATTATTAATCAATGAAATTTGAAAAAAATAACATACGATGGATTATCATCATTATTAAAGATGATTATTATTATGAATTATACCAGCCAGAATGGTTCGAAATGGTCCAATTCCAATGGTTTGGTTTAATGAATGTTTCTTTTCCTTCCTTCCTTTTTTTTCACAATTTTCGTACAAATCGCCGTTATTGCAGCCGATTCCGGACCTTTACTAAATGACAATAATGATGATGATGATGATGATGATGGTGGTAGCAAATTCTGTGAATTTAGCCATCATTTATCCAAAATGGGCGGATGAAGACCAGAATTGATGTGCTTACAAGAAAAAAAAATCGTGCCTGTACACTATGAACAAGAAACTAGTGTTTGGATCTTATTGAAGAAAATAATAATCAAGACAGAGCACAAGAAAGAAAAAAAACAAAACAAAAAAAAAAATCCGCATCAACCGATTGATTGAATGAACAAGAATAATAATGATGATGATATGAACCATCCATATACCTCGAAATTTTTAATCAACCACCAGTGTTTTTTTTTAAATTTTTTTTTGAGCTGCTTTTTGATATATGATGAGCCAAATGATTCGAATTCTAATCATGATTCTCTGACCATCATCAGATCTGAACGAAATTTTTTTTTCATTTCATTTCATAGTTTCTTATTTATAATTGGTTTTTTTTTCATTTGTCATTTTTATAATTCCATTTCATTTGAACGACGAAGAAAATTGAAAAAAAAGACCGAAAATTGAGAACCAAATTTCAATCACCGAATGGAAAAACAACAACAACAACAACAACAAAACTCATTGGAATTGGAGAATTTTTCAACATTTTTTTCTTAAAAAAAAGTCTTCCATTTTTTTCCCCATTTTGCCCATCATCAGCCATCATCATTTTGATCACAAAAATCTCTTGTGTACATCTAATCGAAAAAAAAATTGTCTGTGTGTGTGTGTTTGCTGTTTGTTGTCCTCTGGCCATTGAAATCACCATTATCATTGTGTTTTGTTTTGTTTTCGGCCCTAAATGATTGGTTTTTTTTCATTTTATTTTCAATGGGGAAAAAAAAGAACACCAAACATGTACATTATACCTGCCGAAAAATTTTCTTTTTTTTTAAATTTACAGCAATATTACAGCATTATAAAAAAAATTGTGTATCCGAAGAAACAAAAAAAAAAAAAAAAATAGAAAAGACAATCTTTTGTTTTGTTCAAATTGAAACTTTGAATAGTCGCCATCATCATCGTATCGTATTATTAAACATAATCATTGAGATATAACCACTACATTACTTATTATGTAACAGAGACTTTATCTTTATATATCCAGTATATATTTATATACATAGAAATGTAATATTTATTTGTTTGTTATTTCAATCAACAATAATTGATCATCATCAATATATCACCATCATCATCATGATTCATTTTTTTTTCATTTTTTGTAAATTTGACAATTGATTCACGTTTATCAAAAGAAAACATTCGAATGTTTTTGTTGTTGTTGTTGTTGTCGTTGTTGTTGTTGTTGCTATTGTTGTATATATATAGATCATCATCAGCTGTTATTTTATAGTTGAATTTTTTGTTTTTATTCTGTTAACCATCATCAACCGTCATCATCATCATCATCGTTGCCATGAACACAGAATTTTTCTGTTATCAATTAATTAATTAATTAACTAATTAATCCATATTTATTTTGTGTAAATTATTTACAATGAAAAAAAAGAAATCAAACAAAATAAATAATGAATGAAATGAAATGAAATGAAAAAAAAACGATCATTTTTTTCTGATTTTATTTCAGTTTTTTTTTGCAACGAAATGGCTGTAAACATACAATCATCTTCGATCGTCATTGAATTCATCATTGGATATATGGTATGAAATTTTCTAAAAAATTTTTTTTTAAGACATAAATCTCTCTTTGTGTCTGTCTGTCTGTGTGTGTTTTTTGTGTATTTAAAGCTCTAAATCTTTTATACCACCATCAATTGGGCCAAACATTGATTGAACTGTTTGGTTTGTCACTTCTGCCAACGTTTTCGGATCCCATTGAGGATTATTTGTTTTTTCAATAAGGCCTTTTTTGTGTTTGTAAAATTCAAAAAAAAAAAAAAAAAAAAAAAAAAATCTCTGATCACTTGAAATGAATGTGACAAAAAATAGAACTTACGTGCACGAATACCAATATAGAAATCTTTATGTTGTAGAATATTCTGCGATAATCGATATTCCATTGTTAAACAATCTGGTAAGCTCAACGATTTGCCACGTTTCAATTGTTCAAATGTCACCTTCAGACTTGTTGGTGATGCTTTGCTTAGATCTTCAAGCACTTCTTTTGCCCATTCAGAACCATCTTTTTCAAGATTTTGTACAATTTGTTCCACTGAATCGGCATCGAATGCTGAATTGATACGACCAATATATGGTTTCAGCGAAAATTCCTGTTTATATTCATCTTTCCATTGTTCCTATCAAATCGGAAATGGATAAAGTGAATATTCAGTTTCCATTAACGAATTTGTATCTGTTCGTCGTACTGTCGTTATCTTAATGTATGGTGTATAAACGACATACTTGATATTTTGAAAGCAGATGACTGATTTTAGCAGCATTTGCATTCTCTATCCTATAAAGATCGTTTTCCAATGCCGATATATGAGAACTGGGTACAAAATGTGTGGCCAGGCCAGCTTTTTGTATATCAAGACCTTTTAGTCTACGACCAGTAAGGCCTAGATAAACACCAAGTTTACCGGGTAGTTTGGGTAGAAAATATGATCCACCAACATCACAAAAAAAACCGATCTGTGTTTCAGGCATAGCTATAATCGTATTCTCTGTTGATACACGAAATGGTCCATGTACGGATACACCTACGCCCTGTTTTGATTGATTCAATCAAACAAATAGAAAAAAAAATTCATTGAAAATTATCGATTGAAAAACAATTATTAATAATCAATTGAATTATTCATCACAGAAATTACAAACTAATAATAAACACATACGCCTCCCATACATATTCCATTGATCAATGCTATATATGGTACACCAAGTACACTGATCTTGTGATTCAATATATATTCTTCACGAAAAAAATTACGGCTTAGCTCAGAATTTGGGCCACTTTCGGCAATTTCTATTTACACAAAATAAAATGAGAAAATGAACAGGAAAAAAAAACAATGATCAATAAATAATGATTACCAGTGGAATCAAAATGAAATAACAATCAAGATTGTGTTCCATTTTCACATGAACACCATTAAAAATAAAAAAAAAATGGGCAATGAACACACAAAAATACTAACCACGAACATCACCGCCGGCACAGAATGCTTTCTCCATGTTACTTTTAATGATTATCATACGAATATTTGGATCGGCATCCCATTTAACCAATTGTGGATAGATTAATCGTACCATATTTAGACTAAGCGAATTTAATGCTTTTGGCCGATTCAATGTAATTAAAGCTTTGTCACCTTTTGTTTCGAATAAAACTTCGTCAGTTGTTGTTGTCGACATTTTACGTTGTTTCTGTTGTTGATTAATTGATGACGATAAACGATTGTAGTAACAATTATAACGGCCAATCAATTTTGAAGAAAAATTTCTGTGCAAAAAAAACAAAAACAAAAACAAAATTCACACAAACATTAATTAGATTTCAATGAATTATTGATCAAATGATTGAATTCGAAAAAAAAATTTCTCAACTTATATCAATTGCAATTAGATTAAAATGTCCAAAATACCTGTTCAGAATAACGATGCCCATTGTATGTAAACTTTCAAGGTGAACGATTGAGATGATTATTGTTTTATAATGGATCTCGGATTCGTGAATTTTTTTTTTCGGACTCAAATCAGATTCTTTTGATGATTATTCTTGTTGATGATTATTCAATATTTTGTGCGTTTAATTACGAAACGAAAAAAAAAAAAAACAAAACAAAAAAAAAAGAAATTCGGTTTGTTTTGGTTTGATCTGTATTTGTTTTCGTTTTTCCAACAACACATCCAAATGTGCATACATTTATAATATAATTCTTCTTGTTGTGTGTGTGCGTGTGCGGTATACAACACACACACACACACATATACATTCATTCCATAATTTAAAAAACAGAGTGGCATGGTATAGTGCAGAAAAACTCCGATATTGGACTTTATACATGTGTCTGTGTGTGTGTGTGTGTGTGTGAATTCCAAAGACAACACCGATCATCATCATTGATAATTTTATGTTCGAGCAGCATATGTAATTGTTGAAAGAAAAAAAAAATAAATTGTGATCGTCAGCTGATAAAATTATACATCATTACATATATTCATATATAAATGTGAAATGGCGGCATTATATATTAAAATATTAATTATAGATTTTGTAATTATTAACATTGTGAATTTTTTTTTCAATGATAAATGATGAAATTGTATATTTCGATCTTCGATACTTTGGCATCGATCAGTTCATGAAAATATCCTGTTGTAAATCTCTCTCTGTGTGTGTGTGTGTGTGTCTGTGTCTGTAATGTACCCTTGATATATCAATCATCACCATCATCATCACGACATTTAAAAAATACACACACAGACACACACACACATTTTTTAAGATTTCATTTCTTAGTTATTACTTGATTTTGTTGGATTTTTTTGTTGTTGTTGTTTGTTTGTCTCTCAATGAAATTCAATATATATATGAAATTGAGCTGGTTTTTTTTCAATTCAACCACTGCCAATCAGGCGGGTAATTTTTTTTTTTTTTTTTTTATTTTTGAAATTTATAATAGAAAAAACTGAGAAAATCTACGAGATGAGAAAAAAAAGTAACACACGCTAAAAAAAACAGGAAATGAATTCTTTTTTTTTTTTTTTTTTGGTTAGAATATTCTCTGTTATTCTCTTAGATCAACTTCATTTGTTTCCGGTGGTGGTGCAACAGCAGCTTCGATTGGACGAGCTTTGTGTGTGTGTTTTGGAAAATGAAAAAACAAAAATGGTTATTTTTGTTTTCAATTTTAATAAATATATGGAACTTACTTCGACATGCACCATCATAATAGGTAATATCATCTAATGCAAATCCACCATCCATTGCTTCACCTTCGAATTGTATACGATAAATGAATTCAGATGTAACGGATACTTGTGCATAAATCCATTCTGGTTTAATTGCATCCAATTTTCTGGTCGTTATACGCCATACAAGTGTTTTTATTTCTAAACCTGGTTGTACATTGTTAGTACTGGGTTTAGGTTTTTCATTTTCTTCATCTTCGTTTAGTGCATTGACTGCATCTTTTTGATCCATTGTAATAACATAAACACTTAATACAGTTGAATCACCTCTGTATTTTTTTTTTTTTTTTTTGATCATCATTATTTATTAGTCACAAGAACAAAAAAAAAAATATCAATACCTTCCAAACGGTGTAAACCAAAACGATACACAACGTGGAATTTCTTCTCTTGGCTGAAATTCTGGCGAACGAAGAATCGGATATTGGACCTGATTTTGATTGAATACATCGAAATAAGCGTAACCAACTGGAAAAGAATTAATTATTGATGATGATAATTGATTATTATTTTTTTCATAAATCAATAACATACTAGGCGCTCTAAACGTATGATCTTGTAGATTAGCCGGTCGATTTGTTGATGTTGCCAATTTCCAAGTGATAGAATCTTTTGAAACCGATAAACGATTAGGATTTTTATTCCTTTCTAATGCCGCTTTTCCTGGTATGGCTGTTGTTGTTGGTGCTTTACCCGATTGATTACGATAGCCACATAGGTCACGATCGAAAGCACATTCACCATAAACAGCTGCTGCTTTTGGTGGAAAAACTATAATAACGATAATGATGATGATGATAATTTTTTTAAAAAAAAAGTCATTTATAACCCGGCAAACATTTTCAGCAAACAAAACAATAATTGACTTACTACTACAATTGCCATTATAGAAACTAATATCATCTACAGCTATAGCACCAACTCTGCCATCACCCCATATTCCTTCGATTATAATCTGATAATTCTGCAATGGTGGTTGTCTATCTTGACCGATCAATATCGGTACTTTAGCCTTTCTCCATCGCTGTAAAAATCGTGTTAAATAAGAATAAAGTTACTTTACTTTATTAAGCATACTTGTCCTTGGTGATTGTTTAGGCGCCAAATTAGACCCATTTCTTCGCCCATATCGGTCATTGTTTTTACATAGATTCGTAATGAACCTAAACTTGGTCCAGCTGAATCGATTGTACGTTCAAACATGTAATAATAAAATGTCATGCATTTAGGTACGGTTGATTGTGGAATAAATTCTGGACTATGGAGCCATGCTCTTGTACCACCACGATGAGGTTGATCACCATTTAGATTGATAAAATATCCATCAGTCGTACGTTTAGTATGATCATAACGTGGTTCTGTTTGGCCAAGACTAAATTGTCGTAACCAATCAAAATCATCCACTTTATTATATTGATTTGGATTACTCCATAAACACATATTTTCATCGAATGTACAATCACCATTGCCTTTTGATGCTGTCTGTGGTAATACTGGACATTCATCTTCATTGAATGCAATATTATCTAATGCAATAATGCCAAGATTATTTGATCCAATTTCACCTTCAAAAACAATCTATTCAAACAAAACCAGAAAAAAAACATTTATTCTAATGAAATTTACAAAATAAAAGCCTAATTACCTGATAAGACAATACTGGTGATGATATTGGTACTTGAGCAATGTGCCAGCTATTGCCCGATTCACCGGTCATTTCCCATAGAAGCTGATCGGGTATTGTTTGTTCTTCACTTGCACTAGTATAACGAATCAAAACTCTTAATGTACCAATACCATTACCATACATGTGTATGGCAAATTTAAGACACAATGGCATATTGTCATCTTTAATAATCAATTAATTTTAGTATATCATTTATCCATTTGATTTAAAAATCAAAATAAACTTACTTGTTGGATTCATTATTGGACTTAGCAACGAAGCTCGGTCACCCGGTCTACGTGGATAATTCGAATCAATATAAACATAACCACCGGAAATTTCATTATTATCAAAACTGGAAAAATCTCTAGATGGACCAGTGAAAAGATTCTGTGAACCACGGCCAATATTCCAATCAAAATCATCATCTTCATCTTGATTTGTCCATGAACAAAGACTAGCTTCAAATGTACAATGGCCTTTACAGGATTCTTCTTCTTTTTTCATTTTTTTTGGATCTAATTGTTTAAATTCTGGATCATCGATGGCAATATAACCACGAAATAATCGATCCGGATCATTTAGTTTTTAGCATTGGCTCGAAAAATTATCTACGAGAAAAAACAAAGATCATTGATCATCATTTAATTGAAATGATGATCAATCAAAATGTCTTACCTGATGAAGATCAGCATAAGTGTAAAGAACTTCGGATTTTCTCCATTCACCATCGGTTATATCGTTAAATTGCAATAACGTTTTATTATATTTTGTTTTCGAATCCGAAAGAATCACTTGAAGACTATCGGAACTAAGACCATCGATACTATAGAAGAATGTCATACATAAACCTATTGGTCCTGTTTCGCTTATATTCAAACTTTCAAACAACCCATAATCGGGTACATGTATTGGTCTTTTCGATTCAGGTTTACTTAATTGAAACAATGGAAATTGACTAATCAACGGACGGATAACTTCATCATTTTTTGATTTTTTCGATGAATAACTTAATAAACCACCACTAGCGCTAATAATTGAATGATTCGATTGTCGTTGATCATGACCGATTGTGGATAGAAATTTATCATTATTCATTTGTTGTTGATAAGAAGTTTCGAAATAAGCATAACCACCGCTTGTATCAAGTAATGTATGATCTTTTCCTGGACCACCAAGCCAAAATTGTTGTGATCCTTGAGCAATACGCCAACGAAACATTGGATGACTGTCATTCGGTACTATCCATTGACATGGATTGATAAATGATCCGGTACCGAAATCACATGGTTGTCCTACCATTGAATCAGCTTCTAGTTCACCAACCGTTTCAGCATCTTCTTGCCTTTTTGGCCTTTCTAATGATAATGAATATCGATGAAAACTTTCACTAAAAACTGGCCACAAACTTAACAATGACCATAGAATTAAACACAATTTCATTGTCGATATATTGAATTTTAATTTTTGTTTTAAAATTTTAAATCAAATCATTGGTAAATAACAACGTCATCAACATCATTTTTAAAAGAGTAAAAAATTGGCACCAAATGCTAATGTTGGTACTGTCCACTGGTTGACCATCATGAAATGAGCAAAATTCCAAATTTTCATTCTTTGTTTGTAATCAGATCCAATCAGCAAAAATAAAAAAATTGAGACTTGAAAAGAAAAAGTGCCATAATTGTCATAGAAACACAAATAGTTCATGATGATAACGACGGGTACGGGAAATATCCTTTTTTGAATTCTGTATATACACACATGAATGTGACTCGAATTAATTATTTAGAGATATTTAGAGACCTGTGTGTTCCTAATTACCATTATGGATCAAATTTTTTCCCCAAAAAAATTTCCATTTAGGTCATTCAAGAATCCAATGTTGTTGTTGTTGTTGTTGTTGTTGTTGCTTGACATTATTATCTCTGAATGGTCAACCTCTATATAAATGTTCTGTTTTTTTTCGCTCCCAAAAAAACTAAACTTCTGTTATTCCAAATAATAAATCCAGCATACTGGCTTTAGCATAATAATTATTATTATTAAACACAGGGTTAGATTAAAGAATGAATGAAAGTGTAACATTTTCGAAACAAATCCAAAAATTGTGTAGCAAAAAAAACCCTCGAAACAGCAACAACAAAAAAAAAAAAAAAAAAATCGCCAACAACAATTAGAGCAGAAATAGAACACGTAATGAGAATATTACGCCCACACACACACACACACACACACACAGCGCGAGAGAATCGCATGATTTCAGAATTTTTTTCACAACAACAGGATTATCATGATCCAGGATGATTTTTTTTTGTTTCATTGTAAAATTTTTCATTTTGGAATAAAATAAAAGTTTTAATATAATTATAACAGGCAGATGGCCATAACAAAACAGAAAAACAGAAACAAAAAAAAACATCAAAATACATTGGTGATATATATACACACTAATAATTTATTTTCAATCACAATCACAATGTTGTTGTGAATACTATTGCGTTATTATTATTCGTCCAATAAATCATCAATAAAATCATCATCCATCATTCTCATTTTTCTATTCTTTTTTTTCTCTTTAGCACGATTTACTAATTGAAAATATTTGGCACCATTCCGTAAAAGTTGTTGATGTGTACCTTGTTCAACAATTCTACCGGATTCCAGCACAACAATATGATCACAATGTTCAATAGTATTTAAACGATGAGCAATGACCAATACAGTACGATCTTTCATAATAACTTTTAATGCTTCTTTAACCAATAATTCAGATTCCGAATCCAATGCACTTGTAGCTTCATCTAATATTAATATTTTTGGATTTTTTATTATTGCTCTTGCAATGGCAATACGTTGTCGTTGGCCACCAGATAATGCTGTACCTTGTTGACCTACAATCGTATCATATCCATGTGGAAATTCAATTATGAAATCATGTGCATTAGCAATTTTAGCTGCAGCAATCACTTCATCATCGGTAGCGTTTGGATTACCAAACATAATATTCTCTTTGATTGTTGTACAAAACAGGACTGGTTCCTGGCTAATGTAACCAATTAAATCTTTACGTAGCCATTTTTTATCCAAATCTTTCATGTTAATTCCATCCAATGTGATTGATCCGGATTCAATATCATATAATGATTCGACCAACATTGCTATGGTTGATTTACCACCACCGGAAGTACCACATAATCCGGTAATTTTACCAGCTTCTAGTTTTAAATTTAATTTCTTTAAAGTAATATATTCTGGTCGTTTTGGATATTTGAATGTCACATCATTAAATTGAATATCACCAGTGATTTTTGGCATTGTTTGTCCACCAAGATATGGCGAAGGGATGGCTAGATAGGAGCAAATTTTCTGCAATGATGATGTGGTCTTAATATAATGTCCATAAAGCATAGACAATTGGAATAGAGAACGTTGAATGGTCTGAGTGGTGGCCAAAAATGCCATCAGATTACCAGCGGTCATACGGCCACCAAGAAGATTATAGCCACCAAAAAGTAATGTAACCAAAACAATACCATTGATAGCTAGATTTGTTAAGCCTTGAAATATCGAAAAACCAGAGGAAAATTTTTGATTCAAATGATCAAACTTGAGAAGTTCATCGAAAAATTTCCTATTCAATTCAAAAATTTGGTTAAAAAAATTTCAAAATATTCAGGCAACAACATACTTTTCAAGAATTTGTTCAATACTCAACATTTTAACTGTTCGAATATTGTTCATCGATTCGAATGCTATATTCGTAATATTTGCAAGCTAATAATAAAATGAAATTCAATTTTGAATTGATTGAAAAGGAAAAAAAAATTACCTGATCATGTAATTGTCGTGAAAGTTTTCGTAATCTGGATCCAATTTGTGTACCAACCACAACCAATGTGGGTAAAACAACGACATTAATCAATATGGTCATTTCTGGTGATATTTGAAACAATGTATAAACACAACCTAAAACTTGAGCCATATTTTTGATACTCAATGAAATCATTTGTTTGAATGAACTTTTAAATTCTAGAACATCGTTCGATAAAGCACTAAGAACATTGCCACTATTATTCAGATCATAGAATTTTATCTCGAAGCTTAGAAATTTGGAAAATAATTCAAATCTCATCCGATTGGCAGTTCGTTCGGCCATAACGAATAAAGAATACAGATAAAAACAGGAAAAAATCGATTGCGATAGATAATCAAAGATCAAATTTTTTGCCGGTTCTTTGATCAATTCAATAAATTGTTTGATAAAATCATCAGATGATTCAATAAGTGTACCAGATTTTAATGATTCCTGTATGACATTCATCAGGTTTCCTAATTCAAGATTAATTTGAATATTATAATATGCAGACATCAGGGCACACTATAGTAGTGAAAAAACAATAGAACAAATCAGAGTCAATCAATCATTTTATTTTCAATACTGACCGGAATCGAAAAAAGGAACCAAAGAATATCTGGCTTAATGAATTCATATAATTTCGACCAGATCGATATTCGTTTATCATGGTCTTGATCATGATCATGATCTTTGGAATGATTTTCCGGTTCATCAATAACGATATTATCATGTTTAAAACTTTGACATATTGCTTTCCATTTAAAACTATCAATGGCTAAATAAATAAATCCAGTGGTAGTAATACCACCGCACATTAATGTTAATCCATGTTTATGTTTGATGATATGTTTGAATGGTGGTCGTTTTGTTCCAATTTTGGTCAATGATGAATACCAATGAATCAATGGTCTATTCAAAATGGAACGATTTCTATGCAGAAAAAAAAGAAATGTTTAAACTTGTTATCTTGTTATAATGAATATATTTACAATCTAAGTATTTGGGCTGTAATCATTTCAATCATCAAATTAAATTATTGGATTATTGGATAAGAAAAAAATCGAGATCAAAAACATATGTACATGTTTATAATTTGGATTTAGAGAGACACCTTGCGGATCAACACATCTGTCGTTTGTCAACATTTACATGGTTTCAAGTCATCGATTGGTCATCATCAATTGATTTATGAAGAATATGGAGATTAAACCCGAAAATCTATTATCGGTTCGAGGTTTGTTTTGTTTTTGTTTTTTTTTGAGAAAAAATTTCTGGTAAAAATTCAAAATTTCTATCAATTCAAACAGTTGCACGTGTCGTATCACGAAAAACAGATGTAAACAGCTTTATAACAGCAGATGAATATAATCATTATTTTAGCAATCCAACTATCGATAATATAATTCTTCCTGATCAATATAAAAATGATTGGATCATTGTTCCTAATCCTTATAATACAATATATCTTGGTGAAATATTCTCTTTGTTCATTAATTGTACGAATGATTCGATTCAAGAATTAATGACCAATGTTTCGGTTCGAATCGATATGCAAATCAATAATCGTGCTGTGGTTTTGAAAGAATTAAATATTGAAAAATTAGATGCTAAAGCTAATCTTGATGAAATACTTAGCTATGAAATCAAAGAACCACATATTCATGTGTAAGTATATGATGCTCAAGTTATGCCATCATCATTAGCTTATAATTTGTATTTTTTGTTTTGCCGTTATAATAGATTAATTTGTACGTTGAGTTTCGATCTTCCTGACCATGAACGACAATCGTGTAGAAAATTTTTTCAATTCCAGATTTCCAAACCAATCGATGTGAAGACAAAATTTTACTATACAGAATGTGATGAAATTTATTTGGAAGCAATGTTTCAGAATTCAACAAATCTACCCATTCAATTGAAAAGTGTTCAATTTGATAGTGTTAATTTTGATGTAACATCATTGAATTTTAATCTTGAATGCAAAGATCAATGGATATTTGGTGAAATTAACCGCTTGAATCCCAATGAATTACGACAATATTTATTCGTATTGACACCAAAGAAAGATATACGTTTTAATCCATCTATATTGAAATCAGTCAATACGATTGGTAAATTGGACATTATCTGGTATTCAGGCATCGGAGAAAAAGGTCATATTCAGACATCACAATTGGAACGAAACGCTACTGTCGAAAACATTAAAGTTTATATTGAAGACATTCCAACGCAAACTAAATTGAAAGAGATATTTCGGATAAAATTCAGAATCATCAATTTTAGGTAAGATTTATTATCATAATTACTACACATTTTATTTGAATTTGAATTTTTTTTGTTAAACAATTACACAGTTCAAAAACAGTAGAGCCATTGGTCAATTATGTTAATGATGAAAATCAGAATATACTGTGGCTAGGTTTATCAAGCAAAAATTTAGGTGAATTAAAACAATCACAATCGATCGAAGTACAAATGAATCTTTATCCAATCAAAATTGGATTATTCAGCATACCGATTATAAAGATAACTGATATGATTACGCAGAAAATCATCGAATTCAAAGATCTGGCTTCAGTTAATATCATTTGACCAATAGGCATCATTTGTTAATTGTTTTGGAAAAAATGAATAAATTTTATACTTTAATGAATAAAAAATTGACATTTACTCAATCAAATATTATTATAGCGATTTTAATTTTCATTCTGTTTATCGGGATTAGCACCATCGTCTTCTTTTTTAGAGTCACCCATCGCGCTTCGAAGTTGTTCCATCAATTCAGGATTAGCTTGACGAATTTGATCGGCAAATTGCTGACCACTAATTAAAATGAATATGTAATCATTCATTTCTATGAAATTTTTCCGCAACAAAACTTACACTTGCAAAAACGCTTCCATTGGATTAGATGAAGCCGTTCCACCACCAGATTGATCACCAATATTGGCTGGCTGTTCAGGATTATCCTGTGGCTGTTGACCCATTGAACCCAACATTTGTGAAAACCTAGAGATAAAAATTTACTGGTTAAAATTATGAACTATAAAAGGGAAATTTTTCATACATATTCTGCATATTTGGATTGGACATGATTTGAGAGGCAAAGTTCATCAATTGTGGATTGTTGAACAGATTACCGAACCCCATATTAGAGAATTGAGTCTGTTCTTCTTGAAGTTTTTCCTCAGCCAAACGAAGATTGTTCTTGTTACTTTCGCTTGGATCTAATTCAACAGCTTTTTTGTAACAATCTCTAGCACGTTGATGATCCTTTAGATTGACATATGCCAAACCCATTCGACAATAAGCTTTACTATAATTTGGATCTCTTCGAATGGCCACTTTACAATCTTCTAATGCAGCCGTATGGTTATCCAATTTACTTTGAGCCGCAGCACGATTACAATAATAGATTGGATTCGAATCATCCAAGTCGATTGCTTTGGTATAAGATTCCAATGCTTCTTGATATTTACCACTTTTCATTAATTCATTACCTTCATTCTTCAATTCATTTGCCTTTGTTTTATCTTCTTCAGATACAATCTTTTGTGAATCCTGTTTTTCACATTTCATATAATCGGAAAATATTTCCATGATTGGTTTTTTTGAATGCAATGTTCCATCAACAGGATTAATACTATAAGCCGTCTCCAAACATTGAATGGCAACTTGATTGATGATTAAATATTGAATTTATTACTTAGAATCGATACTACGTGAAGTAAAAAATACATACCTTCAATGCTTTCTTTCGAATCGGCCGATAATTCATCATTGTTCAATTCCTCTGAAAGGAATTGCATGAATGATGCAACGAATCTAGTTTTCATATTGGAATTTGAATCGGACATTTTTTTTCGTTGAAACTTTAAAACTTTATATATCAGTGGAATTATAAACGTTGGAAATTTTTGCTTATGATTTAAGACAAAAAATCATTGAATGATCAATCAAAAAAAAAAAAAAAATTCATGCCTGCCATATGATGCAAGAAAAGGACCATCCATCAATGATAGGACCATGAAAAGAAAACCAAAAAAATAAATTGATGATGATCAACATCGAAAAAAAAATGAATGCACTGTCTTTAAATTTTCGATTATTTGGTGGAAAAACAATTTACATTCATATGATTTCCAGTTTTCGATCTATTAAGCCCCATTACATCATGTACAATGTTATCGTTATTTTAATGCAAAAAATAAACCACCACCCAACAACAACAAGTATAAGAAACAGAATTGGACCATTATGGATAATATGATCCAAGTGTGTTACAAATTTGAATAAAGTTTCAAATCTAATGGCTGGCCATTTTTTTTACATTTAGGCAGCTCGTAATGTCTGGATAGTGCCATTTTCATTGGCCATTTACAATGGAATAAAACAATATAAAAATGATCGACAAAAATCTGATTCAACTTTGACCATCGAAGATCTGGATAAAATTCCACCAGTAGAACTACCTAATGAGTAAGTTTTCACAAATATTATCATCATAATAATAGAATTTGTTCGTCCTACTAAAAGGCCCGAAGAGATACAAAGACTAATGTATCGAAAAGTCAAATTACGAGGATATTTTGAACATGATAAAGAATTTCTTCTATCACAAAGAACAAATTTGCAATTATCCGATAATACTAATATATCACCGTTTAATCGATCCGGTTATCATGTTTTGACACCATTCGTTCTTGAAAATGGCCGCCGTGTTCTCGTCAATCGTGGTTGGATATCGGAATTTCGCAAAAAACCCGAATCAAGACAATCTGGACAGATACAGGGAATTGTCGAATTCAATGCTTATGTAACATTTGATGAAAAAGTATGTGAAATTTTTGTTATTGCAAAAAAAATTCAATTGAATAATTCTATTCAACAGATGGATATGGTCACAATAATTCGAACAATGTTTTGCAAATACTTTTATTTGTATCGTTCGGAAACGTTGGATAATATTTTGAACATGGAAAAACTAGTCGAAAAACTTCAAATCGAACCGATGGCTATATTTGTGGCAGATCGAGAAAGTACACATAAAATGGGCCCGATTGGTGGCCAATTATCGTTCGAAAATGAAATGGAGTTTTTTCAACAATATAGAAAAGTTTTTTCTTATTTAATGATAGCATTTGTTATGTATCTCATATTTTAAGGCTATCAATTCACTCATACATGTGATCGTATTTTACCGATTTTCGGAGGTTTCGGAATATTTAACTCTTTTCTTAAGTCTTCAAAATCCTGTTCAAAACGTTCTTCGTAATAAATGCACATGAATTTTTTAGCCTGATGGCCACATTGTAATGCCCATGGAAGTCCTTGATTCAGATATACTTGTCTAGCTTTGGCATTCAATTTCACGGCTCCAAATAAACCACCAAACCAACATAATGGTAGACCAGTCTGAATAGCTTCTACCCATTTGACAAGAACTTCACCCAACATGTTGGTCGGCATTGAAAGAATGCAATGTACGAGATCATGTACTTCACGATAACGTTGACAAACATATGCCAATTCAGGATCATCAACAAATCGAACCTGTTTTCGTGAATCTGGTGTAATTTTCTTTTTGGATTTTCAATGAAAAAATTTTAGCAACAGAATAGAAAAAAAGTACACAAATCCTTACATTGATTCTCAAAAAGTCATAGTAATTATAACCAAAAGTATTTGGAGGAAGTTGACCTAATGCTTCAAGATCAATAGTTGTCGAATGGATCCTCGGTTGATCACGAATGATTCGTTGTCCTTCTGGATGTTTTAACATTTCAGTATACATCTGTCGTAATGCATAATGGCCAGTTGTTTCACCAAATGTGGCAACTGCATCTATGGAGAATCAAAATACTATTTATCATCATCAGTATACATCAACGTTTGTCATTAGAGTTACCATCACGATATGGATCATTAAGAGCTGCTAACGCTGAACCAACTGACAATAAAGTTCTTTGAATTGGAGATAAAAGGATGTGGCCATCATACATGGGCAGTTGTTCGATATTATCATCATCGTTTTTATGAGAAAATTCCGATTCATCATATGTTTGTTGATGATTATCTTGATATAATCTTTTACTACCACATATCATTTGTTTATTGATCGTATTCAGGAAACCAATCCTGGTCAATTGTCGGACAATATTCGGCCTTAACATTTTGTTTGGAGAATGCAAATCATTTTTTTCAAAAAAAATTTCAGACGCTTTAACGACCAATGTATCGATTGTAGACAATCGATTAAAATTGAATCATTCTTTTTTTATTTTGAAACGCAATTTTTATATGATAATTCACATCATCATGATTGTGGTCAAATTTATTAACTAAAGAATTTAAAATGTTGCTATTCGATTTGATCATTCTATATCTATTGGCAACAATATTTTTCCTTCTAGTCTTGGCATTCTATTCATCAATTCAAAAATATTTCGAAATTTTATACAATGAAAATTGTTTCGGTTTAGCGGCTATATTTGATTTTGCCCATAATGTTTATCAAAATTTCAATGATCATTTAAACCATTGGATCAAGAATCTGAGCTACAAATGTTTTAAAAATGTTCGCTTCAATTCATTTCGATATTGGTCATATTGTCATTATTATTACGATTTGGATGGAAAAAATGTGAAAAACTATTCCGATGATGATCATCAGAATATAAAATTGGAGATCAATAAATTGACCGAAGCTATATGTGTACATTATATTGATTTCTGGTATGATTGTATTCAATCTTCATTACCTAGTGATGGTGAAAATTTTCGAAAATTATTCAAAAAATATCTAAATGAAACAATCTATAATTTTTATCGGCTAACACAGCAAAAATTTTGTAATGATTCAAGTTTTGCCATTCAAATCGTTGATAAACTCAACGATTGTTTAAAGGAAAGACGTCATTATAGACATCATAAAGATTTTGATGATATTGAACAACGGATCTATTCACAGGTTTTAGATGATATTTTCATTCATATTTTACCGAAAGATGTAAATTCTTTGATAACCAAATGTGATGATGGACATAATTCTGTTCGCCTTTTTGTTTATAATATTTTTATTTATACTTTATTATTACCTTCTATACAAAAAATTACCGATCCACTTTTTATACTCTACAATTATCTTTATCTATGTTCAACATGTTTTGGCACCATGTCTTTAGAAGATTTTTTATTTCATCTTGAAAATAATTCCCGTCCATCTAATGTGGACACATTGGAAAATTCAGCACAAAATTTTCGACCAGACGAATCAGTTGATCAGCTAAATAACGAGCAATCATCTAGTACGAATGATTGGAGCAAAGGATTTTTCAATGAAATCCGTATCAGTCAGGCAAAGATTTCAACAACCAATCCTTTTATGAATAATAACATGAATCATTCGGACAAATCCAAAGTAAATCCTTACATTGATTATATTATTGTATACAATGTGTTGGTTATTGATGATAAACATCCAAATTGTCAACCACATTGGCAATCATATCAAGTTTCACGTCGATTTAGTGAATTTTTATCTTTTCAATATCGGCTTGAAAAACATCCTGATTATCGTAGATATATGGTACGATTGAAAAGAAAACCATCTAGTATTTATTTCCATCCAAATTCATTGTTCAGTCATCTAATACCGATAACATCTCGTAATAATTTGAATGCAAACTCTACATTTGTTCAACAACGACGTGAACATTTATCGGATTTTCTAAATGAATTATCGCATATAAAAGTGATCAATGAATCGAAAGAATTTTGCGAATTTCTTGGCTACAAATTCAAAACCTTAATCGAAACAAAACAACTTCTTGCAAAAGATTTATTGAACAAAGAAGAATCTAATGGAAAAAAGAAAGTATCGAAATTCTCATTACTCAATCTGAATCGAATGAAAGGATATTTTGAAATATTTTTACCGGTAAAAGCTAAATTCGGTCAAATAGCCACACAAATTGAAAATCTATATGTTAATCATCAAACTTTGAATAAATTTTCCATCACTCCAATCGAATTTGATGATCCAATGACGAATGAAATGATTTTGAAGAATAATCTTGAAATATGGTGCCAATCACAACAACGATTGGATCAAGATGATGACCAACATTTGAATAAAAAATATTGTAATCAGATTCGTGAAGAAATCAAACCCGAAGATTATTTGTCACTTTATCAACGGATAACGAGCACTATAACATTGTTAATATTCAGAAACGATAGATTCATTTCAATGCAATTTTTAGTACACAAGATTAGCTGTTTTCTTATGGTTTGGTATGCTAAACTACAGAATAATTTCCGATACAATGAATTTTTCCGTTCTTATATTCATTCATTACATCAATATATTAGCGGTGATTGTGTTCAGCCACCAAATCTAATGACATATGAACGTTTTGTTGAATTTTTCAACGATTCAACAAATGCAAAAGTAATATTGCAAAAATATATTGATTTAAACAAACAACAATATGTGGCCAATTATCAACGAAAAATTGAAAATGGTAGTGTTTATGGCAAATTGATCAATTTTGTCTTGAATACAACATTCATTGTAATCGATTATCATGCTAATAACTTGATATCAACATTCAACAATCAAAAATATAATCGTTACATTGTCATGAATTTGGCTAAAGTTTTTCGTGATAAAATTGTTGTTTGAATTTGTTAAAAAAAAAATATACTATTTCGATCCAAACTGAGCCAACATTTGTATACATGTGTTAGATTCGATCAATCAATTGAATTTGATTCTTTATTTATGTTTTCTGTATATTTTTATCGATCGAATAAAATTATAATTCAAGTGATGAATTTTTAATTATGGAACAATTATTAAATCTTTATATTCAAGATGAATTATCTATCGATAGTATTGAACAATGGTTTCAGGGTCATTATGATATCATGGATGGAAACGATTTGGATGCACAGCTTTTCATTTCATATTTCATTGAGCATCTTCATTCATCATTTAATTGGCTTTTAAAACAAATTAATAACAATGTCATTATTGCCAATAATAACATTTCGATTACAAATGAAAATCTGAATATTGATGATGAAGATGCATTTCCTTCGTTGAATATCCAGTCACAACAACAACAAATGAAAAAACGTATAAAACCAACATCGATCGATGCAAATCAATCACTCATCAAAGGTAATGGGAATTTATTCAAATGTTCAACAGCCAAAAATAAACCCATATCATCGAAAAATAGTGATTATTTGAAAGAAGAACGAGAAATGTTGAAACAATTCAAGATGAATATGTCAATTAATAATTTTCAAAAAAATGACAATGAAGAACAGGCAAGAAAAAATGAATTCGAAAATGTTACTGCTGTTGTTATTGAGCCAAAATTTGATAAAATTGTTAAAACAAATCGAGAAAAAATTCAAAAAATTGAACAATTGTATAGCTTGATATTGATCAATAATTATTGGCCATATCTATTTGAAGAGATTAAATTCATTGTCGAAGTTGTCAGTAAAAAATCTGTGATTGAATCATCGAACGTGATTGCTGATTGTGATAATACTCAAGTCATTTATTTTGATTTCAACAAACTATTCAATTCTTATCATAATTGTTATTACTTTGGTTGGCTTTCATTCGACCAAATTGTCATCAAGAAATCTTTTTTTACATGTTTTAATGTGAATGTCATTCATCATCTCATAGATAATCCGTTTCTATTCACATTTACAGAATCATCATCATATATACGCACAGTATTGAATAATTTTTTATCACAGAAGCTACATTCAGCTTCTATATCAACAAATTTTACGGCTGAAGATGATAATCCATTTGTTTCGTTTCAATTGGAAACTGATGGCAAACAAAATTTTCCAGATGGATATTCATTCTCAACGTTTCGACGACAACGAGATGAATTTTATCGCCTTTACAAACAATTTAATGAAAATTCTTGGTCAACGTTCATGTCTGGTAATAAAACAAATCGTTCATTGTTTATTGCTGGTATTCAAAATATATTTACCATGTGCAAAGATGTTGGCAACAGTTATCATTTGGCCCGGTTATTTGTTGATCAATTAGTGAAATCATGCAGTAATCAACTGTATGGAAATGCTGATTCGACAAAAATTCTAAACGAATCGTTTGAACAACATCGTGGTATCAAAATCAACCAGGACCGGTTGAATAAACTACAGAATCGTATCGTAGAACGGAAGCATCAAGCTGAGAATTTGTTTGAGCCAGAAAACTTGTACAGCGACAATTTTCGTCCAAAAGAACTATTTTTTCGTGATTTCATCTACTATTCAGATTCCCATTCATTCAACGAACAATTACGTTTGATATTGAAGATGAAACTTATTGAAATGACTAGTTGTGTACATTCGAATATCATTGCCGATTCGTATACTCCAAATGATATTAAAGAAAATCTATTCAACTATTTCATTACAGTCGATTTATTGGCAAAATTTGCTGGATTTTTATCATTTTATTCATTGGAAACTAGACGTAAACTTGAGAAAAAAGTGATAGTACCATATTTTTTAAACACCAAAAAAACCTTAGACAGATTCACCATACACCAATGTTTGATATTGAAACTTATCTTGTCACTTCGATGCAAACCCATTCATTGTTGGTTGCATTGCCATGGATGATTGAATTTCTTATGTTTATCGATCAGATTTCTATTGCCATGGATTGTTATGCCAATGTATTTGCTCTTTTGGTTTTTATATACAAATATTATCTTCCAAATTTAGAAAAATATCATTCAAAACCCACACATGTTCGTATATTCTTGCAGCTATATCTGGAAAAATTGTTTATCAACAAAAAGATTGACGCATTGAATCATATGAGACAGATGACGAAAAATAATGATCAACATTCGGAAGATTTTGCTAAAAAATTATTTTCCAAATTCATTTCCGATGATCATCAATCAATGGAAGTGGAGAAAAAATTTCATCTTGATTTTATTTCACCGGAACTTTTAGATTCGAATCTAATATCGTACTTTTTCCCATTATTTTCCCGATCAACACTCGATGTTCTTCGTCATTCTAGTTGCAGGTTTGAAATACGTAAAATCACACCGACAACATTGTTGAACAAAAAGAGTTCCTCAACTTTATTCACTACGACTTCAATGCCTCATGATGACAAAACAATGAATGGTTTACAGATGCAAGTGGAGGAATCTTTTTTTAATCTTCATACTGGTTCATTACGAAAGTGTATCAATTTCCTCAATGATCGGATTCAAGCAAATTGTATCAAAAAAATTAAAAATGAAATCTATCTCACATCAAATAGAAAGAATTTTCAAAACATATCAACCGACGATGTTGACGTGATTGAGATACAAAAAATTTGTGATCTAATTCGTAATGATTGCAAAAATTTCATACACGAATATTCAACCAATTCAATTTGGAAAATGTTTCCATTATTAGTTGCTGAAGATGATCTTGATCAGGAAACGATACAATTTGCCATCAAACAGTTATGTTTGCCAAAAATTTACAGAAAATGTGAAGAATGGATCGATACTAATTTAACGAATGACATAATCACTGTGAGACATTCTTATATTACGAACGACCCGAAGACTGATGATGTGAACAAAGAACTTCCAAAACTTGAATCGTGTTTATCGAATTCGAGACAAATTCTTTGCGATCTTATTCATGGAAAACTTGATTCATTCAATGCTGATTCTGTTATTGGAATTTTTCAACAGATTAAATTAATTCGATCATTGGATTCATTTCATTCATCAAAGAATCATCAATTTTTTGACACCATCATTTTGGATTTGATAATGAGTATCCTGACGTTTGCACCATCCACATTCAATGAAAATATTATTGATCTAGCCATTGATTATTGGACTGCCTACCATGTGCCAGCACATAAAAAACTGATATGCTCGAAGTATTTTTACATGATTCATCGATCCAAATCTCCAGCAGCAAGTTGGCTAAATTGGGAACTATTGTTGCGTCGAATGATTCGATCCAGTATATACGATATGGCCACTCTTGAAGAAGATGTTATGGCGGTGTTAAAAAACGAATGGCCACAATCATTATTAACTCGATTGGCCAGTATGATTCAATCTTTACTCGAATTTGTTCGACAAAATAATCTGCTCCACAAAAGTATTTCTCTTTCTTCTGGAAGTCATTCAAACGACAATGATGATCATCTTCAAATAATTGATTGGCTTGCTTGGATTTGTAACAATCAAAACTTGAAAGAGTGATTTATCCAAATTTGTTATTTAATTTAATACATTTTAATAAAGCATGATTATGATTATTACATTTTATACAATTTGATCATTTTTTCGCCTAAACAAGATAATAAACCACTTGGACTTGAATGATGTCTTGGTATTAGTCCAAAATCATAGTTTATCATATTTGTTCTGATTGGCTGCGTGAAACGATTCTCATAATCCCAGATCATGGCTCCTTGTGCACTATCATCAGGCGCACAAATCAGTACTGAATCTTCATCATTTGGATTGGTGAAAATTCGACATTGTGATAGATGGACTTGTTGATTACCACTTTCCAGTATATTTATTATATGAGGAACAATATTCGATGTTTGATCATCATATTCTAAATCCAAAATCTGAAATTAAAAAAGAATAGACTTATAGAATAAATACAGAATATTTAGGACATCTTACATAATGAGTTGTTCGATGATGTTTTTGAGATGGTCGAAAAGAGATCAATGTATATCCACTTTTCTTGTCAAAATCACAAGACAATGTTTTGCCTTGCATTGGCAATTTGAAACATTCGTAATTATTGGTAATAAGATTATCTTTGGACAGATATAACCAGAATGAATCTAAATGCATTGATAGAAGAGCCGTTTTTCGCTGATGGTTGTGTGAATATTCAATGACCGTCATAGAGGCCACCGGCGTTGGGTTTTCGACAGCTGATGGTGTAAAAGTGAAAATTGGTTCACTTGAATGGCGACGATCATACACATCGATTATACTATTTCGATAGCCGACACAAAATAAATTATTGTCAGGCATTTTGGCCACACTCCATGGTTCATTAGATAATTGGATATTGTCGATGACTGCCTTGTTGAATATGGACGAATGTTTCATTGTTTTGTCCAATGAAATTGTTACAAGTGTTCCTTCAGAAGGATTGACAACCATTCCTTTCATTGCTTTCGTATGTAAGAATAATGATTCGTTTGTGTTACTTTCTAAATTAAACATTCGGACACCATATCTGGGAAACATTGCGTTAAACGCTAGATTTGAATTGAAAATGTTGACAACCAAATGATCAGAAATGTGACTGTAGCAAAAATAACGGGAACCACTTTCAGGGAAAATAATATCTTTTAGATGCGAAATTTGAAATGTTTTAAGCCGTTTTTTCGAGTTAGATGACATAGTCAAACGATCGGGTGGCTTAAAACGATTGATGTCGATCTTTCCTCCACTTTTATCATGATTATTGATCAATTTCGATTTGAGATAATCAATTTCGGCATTAAGCTGATGATTATATTCTTCTGCTTTTTTAAGTTTCGCTCCCAATTGTTCTGCTTGTTCTTTATAATATTCAACTTTTTTGTTACTTTCATCCAATTTACAAGTATCCAGAGGTCTTAGATTCTGTGCATAGATTTTAATGATTTCACGGCAACGAGCAGTTTTACTACAAGTAGGACAACGTTGATTACGGAGTTCTGGTGCTAGCCATCGTTCAATACAACTTTTTCCGAACAAATGACCACAACGAAGTGCAACAATATGATGAGCATCACTATTTGTGTATTGATCACTACAGATAATACAACAATCTGCATTGGAATCCAAGAGATTGTTGCTTTCATTGTTGGCCACAGCATTTGAATTTACATGAGAATTTGAAATTGAAATACTCGCCTCATTATTGACAGTTGATGTGTTTGAAAGATTAGGGCTTAACGATGGTTGATTAGAAGTCATCTCATTTACTTCAATTATCTCGATCGACGAATCATCATCATCATCATCATCATCGTCGTCGTCGTCTACACTGTCGGTTTCATCAGAATCCTCACTAGAATCATCGGACATTTCACTTATTATATCTTCATCTTCTTCATCAGAATGATATTCAAAAAGATCGTTTGAATCATAATCATGATCCGAATGATATGACATGTTGATTTACATTTTTTTTCAACATGAGTTTTTTACTGAAATGTTAAAAATTCGTTTATCAAACAATCGATTATAATCGATTCATTGATAGTGTAACGAACACAAGCAATGTTGACGGGAAAAATAATTTGGAAATTTCCATGGAAATATTATTTTCAGTTTCGAATATTTATTGTTTTTACAATTCAGAAAACTAAACAATTTATTTGTTTAAAAAAATATGGTGAGCCCATTATTTCCATCGCTAACACCACGTTATATTGATGAACATTGGTTCCATTATGATCAATTATTTGAAGAAGATCGTACATTATCTGGATTGGAAAAAGAATATCATAATCTAATATCGGAAATTGAAAATCGTGCCTACAACAATAGCCAGGATACTACAAACGTTTATTCAGATGCCGATGATGATGACGACGATGATGGTGACGACGATATGGACAATAATGATGATGATGATGTTGATGATAGTGAAGATAGCGATGATAATGATGATGAATTCGAGGATGATATATTCAATGTTTCCATACAAGCTAATCATATTTAAAAATTAATAATTAATAAATAATTCTGAAAATTTAATCATCATAATTTATTTATTATTGAGAAATGAAAAAAAAAATTTTTTTTGACAACTTTGACAGGAAAAATGTCATTTTAAATCATTATAATAATTAAGCCATTGATTTCTGAATTGGCCGTCTGATTACAAATTTATATTGATCATTTTCCCTTGTTAGATTTTTTGCTCTTCATTTTCTTTGCTTTTTCTGCTTCATTTTTGTAATGCTCTAATTGTTTTAAAGCATCTTGATATTTGGACCAAAACGATTGATTGGCAGGCAAATTATCTGCATATATTTTAATCATTTGTTTTATTGTGGCTGGTTTTTTACATGTTGGACATTTTCGATGATCGGTTGGTTTAAGCCATTGTTCTATGCAACTTTTTCCAAACAAATGTCCACATTTAAGTGTGACCAGATGATGTGATGTATCAGGTTTGCCAAATGGTTCCAAACAAATCGAACATCGATTACAATGATATTCTTGGTTATCAATAGACAATGTTGATGATGATGACGATGGTTCGGTAGGAGACAATTTCTCTGATAAAGATGATTCTACATTAGGTATTGGTCCTTTTGGAAATGGCTGCGATAAGAATAAAGAAGATGACGATGTTGTTATAGTTGATACGTTGAATGAAATTTCTTGAACATCAAGTATGGGAGATAATTGTGGTAAAAAAGTATTTAGATTGTTAATATGAACAGGATTAACAACTCTAACCAATTCCACATCAGGTAATGATGATGGCGTTTGCAATCTAGGACGTTTGCCTAGAAATATAATTTCATCATCATTTTCATCATCATTCCTAGACGTTGGTGTCATCATGGCTGATTGTTATTTTGTTCATAAGATTACTATATTTCAAAATTGATTATTGTTTCAAATAATTAGTGAAAATGAATAATTAGAAATTGAATTAGAACTAAGAAATCTTTCGAATCAAAAATTGAATGAAATCGAAAAAAAAAAAAACGTTGTCACGTTACTAACTCTGGCTCAAAAACAAAATTGCTAATTTTTTGATCCCGCAGATGGCGTTGGTCCATAAAAAAATTTATTTTTTGTATTCTTGCTCAATTTTTGGAGAATATTTGTAATCTTTTTATGATTAAAACGTAAACGGAAAATTCTTCATCTGAATGATACGGTCATTTTTATAATGGGTATGATAATGGTCAGCCTTTTTTCATTTAAATCACATTAGTTTCTTGTAGATTTATCCAATTCAAACACAATTACCATGAAACCGTTCAATATGCGATATGTATCGTTGGAGAATTTTCCATCCAATGATCGAAAATGTTCAAATCGAGTTGCAGCAATTAATCGATTTCGTGATGAATATCCAATAAATTGTCCATTTAAATCGATCAATTTATTACGACAATTTTTGCAGACAAAAATCAATCAAGAGATACGAGACATTCTTCAGAAATATCGTCAAACATTCCTGGAACCAGTATTCACCAATGTCCGTCAAAATCTGCGAAATAATGAATTGGCCAACGAGTTGGACATAAATGCTATTATGCATCAAGTTTTGGATGAAGCTAAGAAAATGTTTCCACTTGATGAAAATGATAAAATGTTGGCCAAATTACGTCAACAAGAACAGGACAATGATTGTGGCAAAGATAGACAACCGAATCATCATCATAATTCTAATAATAATAATCAACAAACATCGACTGTACTGAATAGCAGTGGACGACCACGTGGCCGACCCAAACTAAATCGTACCGTTTTGAAGACAAAAGCAAAGAGAAAACGTAATAAAACAATTATTTCGATAAGCAATGCTAACCATAATTTGGTGACAACTGACAATGACGCCACTGATAATTCAACATTGAAAAATAAATTGATCGATGATAATGAAGGCAAATGGGACCCTTCACGATTATCAACTAAAACATTGGTTTGTTTAAAGATAACCATAACTGTTCTTATTAATTTATTATCTCTTTCGCTTAAACAGTTTGTGTTGGGCTCAAAGGCAAATAAAGCATTGGGATTCGGTGCAGCTAGAGGTCGGTTATATTCAAAACATGCGAACCTATTTCGTTATATCGGTGATCATGAAGACAAAGAATGGTTACATAGAAATCAATTGATGCCCACTACTGGTGGCAAAGCATATCTACTAGTCAGAGATGATATAATTGAGCTATTGAACTCGGATGAATATCGTGAAACACCCGGAGTTGATATTGATGAAATGGGTGAAGGTTTTACTGTACCACAATCAATGATTGATAAAATATCGACCACAATGCGTATGACTGGAATGAAAAATCATTCGATCAATCAACAATCACATAAATCATCAGCTATAAATGATCAAAGAATTAAAATTCATACGGAATCAATATCGGCTGTCAATACAACTGAATACGATAATTCTGGCCACTTATTCGACAATGATGATAATAATGATTTTGATAACATCAGTGCTGAAGATGATGATGATGATGAACAGGATAAGGATTTTACAATTTAGAATTGATGATTATTGTAAATTTTATTTATTTATTTTTTTTCAATTTTTTCCTATATAGTAGTAGTAGTAGTAGTAGTATTATTGTGACAAATAATGTGTAATAATCATATCATATCATCATCATCATATATATAAATATATAATAATATTTATAATAAGACAAACAAAAATCCATTCAATGTCATAGATGACCAATGGAAAGCTGACCTTTTTTTCAGGTGTCGTAATGGACATTTTTTTTTTTTTCGTTTAAATCCTATATATATATAAAAAAAACAAATGTCTATATCCAAATATTGAATAATGAGCAATCCATGAGTAATTAGTAGAAATTATTAATATATTACTATCTTGAATGAATAATATTTTATGAAATGGTGATAGTGTGTGTGTGTGTGTGTTTAATAAGATGTGTCTTGAGGCTAAAACACTAATTATAATTGATAATAATTTCATAGTATGCAATATATAAGTGTGTGTGTGTGTGTGTTTGTATGTAGGCTTAATATCCTGGTGTTTCAATATATCGTTGATGTCGTAGTCATTTTTGATTATTATGACTCTTTATATTTCCAGGAACGAACGTTATTTTTTTTGTATGATGATGTTGCTTATTGTTGATGATGATGATGATGATGGGGGCAGAGTGTTTATTTTCGTAATTTTTTTTTGTTGTTGTTGTTAACAATTATTTCGATTATGATAGATACCATTGATATGGGCAAACATTTTCTTCTGTCTTATGATTGGCCCATTACGTTGTTGTTTGATTTTATTTTGGCGTTGATATTGTTTTTTGGTAATCTGTTTTTTATTCATTCGTCGATCATTTTTGTCATTCGAATTAATGATGGATACAATTAATGCTATTTGATGATTCGGATTAAATTTAAATTTAGATGAAAAAAAGAATAAAGAAAAGAAAAGAAAATGCGTTAGTGAAATGGAAAACAAAAAATTCAATTGAAGAATATAATAGGAAACATAAAAATGTTCAATGCCACATCAAGAACATTTAATTCATGGTTCCTCTTTGTTTTTTTTAACATCGAACACAGATGCATCAATGTTGCCATGAATATAAAAATATATCCTCTCTTTCTCTCTCTCTCTCTCTCTATCTCTCAAAGAAGCAAATTTCAAGGATTCTTTTTTTTCTCTTTCTTTCCAGCAACAGCACTGTAATTGTCGAAATACAGTTGTTTTTTTTTGGCAATATGGCGCCAAAAAACATCAGAAAATCAGCTGCTAAAAACGACGTAGTCAATCAATCAAATCGATCTCAATCATATCGATTGGATGCACAGATTGCATTGATTTTTAACCATGACGCAATTCAATCTATTTGACACATATTATACTACTATTTGGGCTTGTAAATAACAATAGTCAAACAAAAAAAAAATTACGTGATGATGGTGAAATTTTATCCTTCCTCATCATATATGACAATTGATTTTTGTTCTTCATAGGAAACTAACCTTTATTATTATTGTTGCAATTCAAATGGGCCAATGGAACATTCGAAACATTGTTGTTAAATGTTTGCATTGATCCTACATTGGATTTCAATTTTTTGCCATTATTTTCTTTATTGTTATCCAATTTTTTCGATGCCTGTTGAATTCTAGCCAGAATTAATTTCCGTTGTTCAGCCTTATTCATTGACAATGGTTGTAAAGCGGTAGAAGTGGCAATTGTCAACGATGGTCGTTGAACAGTAACCATTGCGATTGGTGCTGGTTTTTTAACAAACAAATTATCAAATACGCTCATCGATGGATGTTCAATCAATAGGTTTTCCATTTCTTCTGCTTTTTTACCATTGGTCATTGATTTTTCATAATGATGATGATTTTTACGTTTACTTTGTTTAAAACATTCTGGAGGATCAACTAACCATTGTTCATCTTTGGATGTTGTTGTTATGTTATGTTGTCGAATGGCAGTCAAATTTTTATTGCTATTATTATTATTATTAATAATAATATTGGAAGCAATATTTGTGGGCAGTTTTGATTTCACCTTTTTTCCTTGATTCTTATTCCTATTAATATTATTACCATGATCGATAACATGATCGATAAGAATCCAATCATTTTCAATATTGGTCAATAAACAATTTGATTCGGAATCGTTTGCATAACAACCAAACGATGATGATGTTGTTGATGGTAACGTTGTCGATGAATTTTCTCTTTGTTTATTATTGTTATTATTATTATTCGAATTCGATTGTTGCAATGATGGAACCGAATTCTGAAGTGTTTGATTATTATCGTCGTCGTTGTTTTTGTTTTTGTTTTTGTTGTTGTTATTGTTGTTATCGTCGTTATTAGAATTTTCAAGTGATCTTCCTACACCAAAAACATACTGAGCGAATGTAAACATTTCTTTCAGACAAAAAAAAAAAAAAAAAAAAATGAAAGAAAATGGATTCAAAATAATTTCAATAACGTTGATTATGGTGAATATATATAAATAATAATTTTCTATAATATGAAAATGAGACGTCAATATTTATAATGGCCAATATGATTTTTAGAATAGTAGTGAAGAGATGTATTTACAAACAAATCAATTCAAATCAAATGAATATAAAATGAGAATAATATAACAATGTTGAATGTCAAAGTCAAATTTATATACAAGTGAACAAATGACAAAAAATTTTGTAATCAACAAATGAAAATTTGATGATGTGAATTGATATAAATGATGACTACTATGTTGTGTGTGTGTATGTAATAATTTTTCTATTTCGAATACTTTTTATACCATAAATCGGTTTATGGGTTAAGACGATGGATTTCTGTTTTTTTTTTTTTTGTAGGTGTTGATAAATGACGAAATGATCTGGTATGTAGATGATGATGATGATGATGAAATATGGATAAAAAAAATAACATCTACAAAATCATTTGTTTGTTTGTCAAATGGAATTTGAACAGAATTATATCTATGCAAGAGAGATAGTACGTGTACATATGAATGGTGATGATGATGATGATGATGATTTTGACAAATACGAATCAATGGCGATGATGATGATGATACTTGAAGCATTTACACACACACAAAAAAAAACATTGAAAATTGTAATCAATTTATATGTATACACACACACAACAACAACAAAAAAAAACAGAAAGCAGGATGAATTTGGTTCACTGCGTCATAATATAAAACCAACCAACCAATCCTTAACAACAACAACAACAACAAAAACAAAACAAAAACATCCAAAAAAAAAAAAAAACACTAAACAACAACAACAATGTTAACGACAATCGCAATACGAGTTTTTTTTTCTCTGCTATATCCAGTTGGTTCCAGCCAGTTTTTCTCTCTTTTCGTTGTTGTTGTTGTTCATTTCTATATAGCCCAATTGGTGTATAATATGTAGCTGTGTGATATTAAAAAAAAAACTCGAAAAATCTCGAATCCAGTTATATATATCCACCATCTATCTATATGGTCAACGCCTCTTTTTCGTGTATATATATACAAACAAAACATTCGTTCATGAAATGACGTCGATTGAATTGAGATTTCGACATACAGTAATACCCCGCTTAACGCGGGGGTTACGTTCCAAAAATTCTGAGCGTTAAGCGAAACAGCGCTAAGCGGGGCTATCTTTACATAATGCATTTTTACCCTTCATATACAATGTAACAATGTAATGCAATGTAGGGTAATTATACAGCGTTATATCGAATCAGCGCTAAACGGGGCAGCGTTAAGCGGGGTATGAGTGTATACACAATTGATAATGACAGTTAGTTAGTTTTTTTTTGACTGTTTTATTATATTGCATCTACAAATATTATAACCACACAGAGTTTGATGACTTTGTTTTGTTTTTTTTTCTCTCTCTCTCTCTCACACACACACTCAATCTTTTTCATCATTTACAAACAAATGACAAAAATGACAACAACAACGAATTGGCAACGAATTTTCATTGCCAAATTTAAATTAAATCAAACAACAACAGTATTATGACATTACAAAATTTTTTTTTTTTGGTAGTAGTATATGATGATGATGATAATGATTTAGAAATTTTCATTATCGAAAAAGAAACACAAAATTCATTCATTCAATTCTGAATATAATCTACACACACACACACAAACAAGGTGCCTTTGCCATATTATTAAAAACAATGGAATAATAATGGATGACGATATGAAAAAAAAGAAGAAAATTCTTATATATATAGGTAGGTGTGTTTTGTCAGTTGCGCCCAAACACAACATTTTCTACATTCTGTTTCCAGGTTTCTTTTTTTTTTTTTTTGTGATGAATGGGGTGTTCAAGTGCTGGTGTGTATATATCATCATCATCAAGAGTCATATACATTAATTTATGGCTCAATACACACACACATACCACACACAATTGCAAACGCACACGCACTCCCTTGGTGACAATTTTTTTTTTTTTTTTTGGCTCTTTTGTTTTAGTGATACTATTTTTTTTCGATATATCAGGTGTACGTTTATGTGTGTGTGAAGTATACAAGTATTTTTAGCAAAATTAAAACAAAACAGAAAAAAAATCCAAGTTTTGTATCCAATTCTTGAATGGTAATCAAAAAAAAAAATGTACCTAAATGTGATTTTTTTTTGTTTTGAGGAAATCGACGACAAATTCGACCCAGTAACCAATACACCATACACACATGCACACCCACACACACACCCATTGGATATAAATGTAATAAGAAATGTTCATTTGCGTAAAACCTTATTTGACAGGCTAATAATACCAAAAAAAAAAAACTTTATAGTTTTTTTTAATGCTTTGAACATAATGATAATAATAATAATACTAAATGCCGGGCCCATTTTGATTGCATTCTTTTTTTCATCATTTATACAATACCTGAAACATTTTTTTTTTTTTTTTTTTGAAGATAAAAATTGACCAGATATATATACAAATAATGTATACATTTAATTTAATGTCCAGTACTGGACTTGTTATAATGATGATGATGACCATATGAAATCTATGAGATGAAGAAGAAGAAAAAAACAAACAAACGAACGAACCAGATTATATGGCCTTCTGGAGACACTAGGCAATTATCTTCAATTTTATATATTATATATATGCAAGTCGTTAATATTTGATTCGCTCCTGGTCGAATTTCTTTTCTTAGCTGTTTGTTTTTTTGTTTTTCTTTACTACCATTATTCAGATAATGTTTCAAGAATGTTTCATCAACTGAATGAATCTTTACAACTCAACAAATCCATAATAAGATGAGATCAAAACGAATTTTGCACATAAAAAAAATGTATGGATGTCACATTTATGTGGCAATAATAATGACATTATCAAATGTGGTATATATACAGATTTAACGACCAAACACACACGTTCCAGTGTTGTTTGAAACGTTAGATTCGTATGGATGTCACATTTATTGATGATCATGAATTTGGTTTTCAACTATATTCAGTGCCAGTATTCTTCTTACAATAATAATGACATTATCAAATGTGGTATATACAGATAATATATATAGATATTTAACGACCAAACACACACGTTCCAGTGTTGTTTGAAACGTTAGATTCGCACCCACACACACACACACACACACACACACATTTTTTATTCCATAATTTGATTTTTTCAAAACAAATTAGCCTAGATATGAATTTTTTTTATGATACGGGCAATGGTCAAGCTTGTAATGGCGATTGTAATAGTGGTTTTTTTTCTCTTGTCCATAAATATCATGATGATGATCAGCCATGATGACCTTAAATTGTTCAAGAGGTCAAGAACAGGTTGACCAAAAAAAATACGGTAACAATTCGAATAAATAGTCTTTGAATCTCTAAATGTACAAAGATTTCACGTTTATTGATCATTTTTTTCGGTTATGATGATCATGATCATGATGATCATGGTATAACGGGTTTTTGGTCTATCATAGCATTGTGGTCGATCATGAATTTGGTTTTTCATTTCTGGTTTTTTTTCTTTCATTCTCTCTCTCTTTTCTTCTGGATATGTGCAGATATGTCGTGAGCATAGGATTGTTATCCTCGACCATTTTTCATTCAAAAAGCGCGCGTGCACATTTAGTTGAAATGAGTGAGAGAGAGAGAGAGAGAGAGAGAGAGAGAAGACTCATCTTCATGTGTCTTGTTCTCTTTTTCATTCATTCTGGTTTATATGGTGGTGGCCAATATATTTTTTTTTCTTCAGGGAGCCAGGATCCCGTTTTTCTTCCATCGTACACATTCTTTATGGCTATAGCCAATCATAACCATCATCGTTTGAATAGGCAAAATCGACGAAAAGGTTGTCGCCTTGTCGTCTTTCTCTCTCACTCACTCATTCACTCTATCTCATTCTTTTTTGGCTTTTCAATCTCATTCGGTTCTTGATCGGATCGGATCTTGTCGCCTTGCCGTTTTTTGTTGTTGTTGTTTTTGGTTGGTTGGTACCGTTGTGTTGCTACTCACATTCTTTCTTCCTTTTTCTCTCTTTCGATATTCTTCTTTACACACTCAATTCCACTCAATATTTGATCGTAGCTGTTTTCAATGCTTGAATAGAGAATTTCTTCTGGATCAGTTAACCGATCGAACGAATTAAATCAATCGATTCACTACCGACCGAATTTGTCCATCAGATCAAGTTGGCCATCATAGAATTTATTTTTGGGTTCTGATTATTATTGTTCGAGTTTTTTTTTCTCTGTTTTCACACAAATTATGTGATATACATAATAATCCAAAAAAAATGGATGAAAAAACAAAATTGATTTTTTTTTCTCATTGACTCATTAATTGATCGATCGATTGATTGATTGATTGACTGATTGATTAATGATCATTGAGCACATTTGTCGTGTTGTGCAATATCGAATGTTTTATAAATTATTGAATGGGTATCTTTAAAAAGTGTCCGTGTTTTTGTACGGGACGACGTCGACGACGTTCACAATCGAGCTTGTTTGGTGGTGGTGATCATTATAATAGTAATGCCACTGGTGGTGGTGGTGGTGGTGTTGGTGGTGGTCATATCGATGGTGGTATCGACGATGATAGTGATCCTTCCATAATCAAAGAGCTTGATTATAGCCATTGTTGTTTGGAAGATGTACCGGCCACTATTTTTACATTTGAACGTACATTAGAACGTTTAAATCTTGAATCAAATCAAATTCGTGACCTGCCAAGAGTGAGTGTTGAATTTCTATTTTTCATTTGTTCAATTTATCCAGAAAAAAAATGTCATTTACATTGATTTTTTTTGTGTGTGTGTCTGTGTTTAGGCATTATTCCATTGTGAAGAATTACGGCAACTAAATCTAAGTGATAATGAATTACAATCAATTCCGGCTGCCATTTCATCATTGAACAAATTAGAGGAATTGAATTGTTCAAAAAATCATATATTACAATTACCGGACAGTATAAGACAATGTAAATTGTTAATGGTGGTTGAAGCATCAATCAATCCACTTGGTCCACGGCTACCCGATTCATTGACACAATTAATCAATTTACGGGAATTATTTCTAAACGATGCATTTGTAGAATTTTTACCAGCAAATTTTGGAAAGTAAGTATTCCATGATTGATCAATTTTAAAATTAAAAAAAAAAAAATTCTTTCACTCATATATCATCAAATATTGTAGATTGACTCGGCTACAAATAGTTGAACTTCGTGAAAATCATCTGAAAACATTGCCCAAATCAATCAATCGTTTGGTTGAATTACGACGATTGGATATTGGCCAAAATGATTTTATTGAATTTCCCGATGTAATCGGTAGCCTATACAATCTTAATGAACTATGGTGTGATTTTAACAAACTTGTCACAATACCCGATGTAAGTTTTTATCATTAATTCTGTTTTGGAACACACACGTAGAAAAAAAACAAAACTGAACCCACAAACCATAACAATAATTCATCAATTATTCATCCTGTCTTGTCTTTATTTAGTGAATGAATCTCTTTTTTTCAACGCATATTTAAATTGTCATCCATTTTTTTTTGTTGTTGTTGTTTCTAATTCATATATAGGTCATTGGTAATTTGACTCAATTAACTTATCTGGATGCTAGTTTCAATAAAATCGAAGACATTTCTCCTGACATTGGTAAATGTTTTCAATTAACCGATCTGACCTTATCATCGAATAATTTACAAGAACTGCCCGATTCACTTGGTAATCTTCATCAGCTACTTGTGTTGAGGCTTGATGAGAATGAGCTCAAAACTATTCCATCGACCTTAGGAAGGTATGTCGATTGTTTATTTGTAGATTTTTGTTAATCATGTTTTTTTCATTAGCCTTAGCCAAATTGAAGAGATTACAATCAACGAGAATATGATAACCGAATTACCATTATCAATTGGTCATTTAAGAAATTTACAAACATTGATAGCCGATTGCAATAAAATTGAACGTCTTCCGGATTCTATTTGTAGCTGTAATCATCTTCGGATATTATCATTGGCTGAAAATAATATTAAATATTTACCCGATGATTTGGGCCGTTTATCATCATTACAAGTGTTGAATCTATGCAACAATTATCTAACTTATTTACCATTCTCATTGACACAAATCACCAATCTAAAATCAATTTGGTTATCAGAAAATCAAACAAAACCATTAATGCCATTACATTCGGAAACATTGGATATACAACCAACCATGATTGGTGGTGGTCCACCACCATTAAAAATACTCACCTGTTTTCTATTGCCACAGACTAAATCAGAAGAACATACGACCACTGCCTTGGAACATCATTCTACAAATAATTCACAACGACGAAAACTTTCATTCTTAACAGTCAACATTGATAAACCATTGATAACGGCCGAAAAAAAAGATTCCATTCAATCAATCAATAATAATAATAACAATAATAATCCAGAATCATTTGAATCAAATGAATTGGCCATCATACCTTTAACTGGTTGTGGTCCAACCAACAATATGATGAATAAATCATTCCAACGACAGCCAACACCATATCCAAAAGATTTAAAAGTTCAGGCAAGACATGCAAGAAATTTTGTCATGAAACATTTAGATCTGAATAATATCTATATTGAAGAAATCAAAACTGATGATAATTTGTAATTTGTATTTTCACACATTATATTCAGTTTGTTGATGATACACCAAAGTCTTCTTCTTCGAAAAAATTTTATGTACAAAAATTTTTTTTTCCAATTTTATCGATTTTAGCTTTTATTGATTGATGACATTAGTCTCACGTTCATTTTTTTTTTTTTTTGTTATTATCATTGTTGTTTTTTGTTGATTGTTTTTTTTTCTCTTGCTTCGATGATGATCATCGTCATCGTCATCGTTGTTGTTGTTGTTGTAAATTTGCTCACATACAAAACACACACACACACAATACAACTATAATTTACATCTGATTATTTTGTAATAATGAAAACTATCATCATCATCATCATCATCATTATTATTATTATACTTTGGAACACAAGACAAAATATATTACTACTATGAATATTACTACCACACGCACCTTACACTTGCCATAGATCAAAAATCGTCATTTCCCAACAACAATTGTTGTTGACAACTTATGAATCTCATTTAATTTGTTATGATTATTCTGTGATATAAACACATACACACACACACACACACACACACTTGTCTATATATCTATACACATTATCACAATATTTGGCCATTTAAAACTTTGATGATCTATCTATCTATCTATATTGACAACATTGACGACTTGTTATATCTATCTCATACACTCACACAAAAAACAATGATCTGAAACCAAACCAAACCAAATCAATCGATTGATCGATTATTCAAAATTGTTTGTTTTTTTTGCCAGTTTTTTTTTCACTCCACACTTACACATTTTTTTTTTTTTATGAGTGATTAATAATTAATAATAATAATAAATAATAAGATCGAAAAATGAAAATAAAATATTTTATTCATTCATTTTGAATTGTAATTTTTCCCCCTTCCCCGTCCACAATGAGTATCATTAATTGATTGATTGATGATCAATATAACAGGTGTGAAAAAGGGCAAAAAAGGAAAAAAGGATTAAGAGTCATAGTTAGGCGTTTTTTTTATATATATGTTTGTGTGTGTGTATGATGATTCAGTTATATATAGACAATATGTAATAAAAAAAAAGAGAATTTTACAACAAACAAACAAAAAAATCAAGTCAATTTGAAATGATAAAAAAAAAATTATAAAAAAAGGTGATGATTGATTGAATATACAGTAGAAATGAGTTTGAATATGTGTGTGTGTGTGAGTCGTATCGATGTACTTGGTGACTTACAAGATGATGATTCAAGAATTGTAAGCAACAGGTCACAAATGATCATAATGATGATGATGATGATGATGATTGAGACACAAATGAATTTGAAATTTTTGATTAATTTGGTGAGCGTTGAACATGAAAATATGTCTTCTTTTTTTTCATTTTATAATGATTAGATAGCATTCAGTATACTTTGGGTAAAGTGGAGTTTTTTTTGATATATATATATATAGATGTGACATGTATATTTTTGTTCTGTTTTCTGTTTTGTTGGAGCATAAAAAAAAAACAAAAACTGAGATTATAACAGATTTTATGCTCAACTGTGTAGAGCTGGATAAAAAAATCAATATTTGAAGAAGAAAAAAAAAGAATGAATGACTTGCCCATGATTGATTGATTGATTGAAGCAAAAATAAAGAAAATAAAAAGATTGATGATTGATTGAGATTAAAAATTGGCCAACTCGGTTGAGATTGTTTTGAATTCAAAAATAAACGACCAGAATTTGAATATTTTGCACATTTAGTGATGACAATTTTTTTTTTTTTTTTTTTTGTTTTTCTTCAATAAGAAGTGAACACAGATACACATACATGACCCAAAAAATAAAAAGGATATATTAATGCTAATGCTAATGATGATGATGATAATGATGGATGCATAGGCGAAAAAGGGAGTAAGAAAGGGGTATCGACAAATAATTTCAATTTCAAATTCAAACATATGAAAATAATCTGAACTCCAGATTCATGAAGAATTTGAAAAAGAAATAAAAATTTGTCAATACATCACAGTTTGGTTGATTTGGTATTTTGTTTTGTCAATTTGTAGATAAAACCCGTTTGAATGCCGACAATAATTTACCGGATAAGATGTGTGTGTGGAGGAACCGATGGTTTAAACTTGATTCAGATTATATGATTTAGGTAAATGTGTTGTATGTGATGGTGGTAAACATTTTGGTGAATTTGAGCTTGGTATCATGACGTATGCTGGCTTTGTTATGCTGCTATTATTTATGTTATTGTTGTTAATATTTGTGGTGGTCACCGGCAAAGGTGATGATAATAATTGCTGTTGATTTTGTGATTGTTGTTGTTGTGACAACATGGGTGTTCGTGATGAACAACCATTTTGAATATGATTATGTTCAGGTGACGGTAAACTTGAGCTTGGCGCCGAATGTGTAGAAACTGTTGCTGCAGTAGAAACTGATGTAGCTAATGAAGCGGCTGCTGCTGCAGTAGATGATGATAATTTTGACCAAAAACTACCAATACCTTTAGTAACACCGCCGCCGCCGCCGCCACCATTCATTGGTCTATGACCATTGTTTATAATTTGGGTGGATTTTTTTGAATTTGGTAAAAATGGTTCACGTAATGATGAATCATCTTGATTATAAAAATATTCCAGATTATCATGATGATTCATATCCGATACACCTGAATCGGATGAACAGAATTGATTTGTTGATAATTTTATATAAGAATTTTTTGCCAAATTTGTTGAATTATTTCGATTATTATTATTATTATTTTGATGGTTATCATCATTGATATGATTATTACTATGATTTATTAGTAAAAGATTTGGATCAGCTTCGCCAGATGATGATAATGGTGCCTGATCATTAATAGTATTTGAACTGTTAGCATTTGTAGCTGTATTGGCCATTGTTAAATCGCTTTCCATTAGACTAGATTCGGAAACATTATTATTACTAACATTATCGATATTTGTTTCACGATATTGTGATTGTTGTGGTGTTGATTGTTCAGGTAACATATCATTATTATTAGGATTATAATTCTGATTCGATCCAAATTTGGTCTGAAATTGATCTTTAAACGATTGATCTTCCATACCGATATTGATGGTGAAATCATCATTCTTCTGTTTGACCGATTTAAACATGCGATATGTACAGAATAAAACAAAACATAAAAAGATGATAAAGCAAATGAAACCAATGATTAATAATAAAATGCGATTATATACAGGTGAACAATATAATGGGATTTGCATCCTGTCTGTATAATTTCCGGAAAATAATTGATTATTATATAGATTCGATGCTTTAACGGCCAGAAAATATTCTTTGCTATCGCCATCTTTCAGTCGTTTACAAGAATCAAAATCTACATCAACATATTGTTGATTTCCAACAAAACGTTTATCAATTATCAATTTATCTTGTTCATAAATCCGTATATGATAATAATCGATACGACCATTCGGTTCAACCGGTGGTTTAAGATGGACACGAAGTTTATCGTTTATGGATGATACGATAGGAGGAATCATTATTCCCGGATTTGATGGTTTAGTTCGATACACTTGTTGTACTTCTTTTGAACAATGTTTATCATTACAAGCTTGCAAATAGAATGAATAATTGGAAAATGGCCGTAATTTACCGGTCAGATTTTTTATGGTAAAATTACATGTTCTTTCCAATCGACATGATTCGTCTTGTTTGATCTGGAATTCTTTGAATAATGATAATGGACCAGTCATTTTTAATTCAAATTGATTAATAGTCTCTGCTTCGGGTGTACGCCAACGCAATAAAAACTCTGTATCATCAATCAATTCACAGGAAAATTCTTTTGGTGATGGCGGCACACCAGATTCGGTGCGGATTTCTATTTCATTATTCTTCGGTAACGATGGTAAGCCTACGGTTATTCTGTATTTAGTATTAGGTTCTAAACGAGCTAATGTAAATTGATTTTCATTTTTGTCAGCATTTTCAGATTTACAAGACTGTGGCCCACAATATGATATCTCGAATTCATCGATCAATGACCGTTGAGCTTCACATGCTAATTTCCAGTTAACGACAACGCTACTGGCCTTTATATTGGACACAGAAAAACTGATGCCATCAATTTTCTTCGTCTTCAAATTGGCTAAACATTTAGCCCATATAATACCAGTCGTTTGTTGGTCATGACTATTGTATGCTATACCGAATTTGTATACATGATGAGTATCAGGTAAATCTGGTAAGCGCAAATGGCCATGTTTCTTATACTTTGTTTCCCAGTGTATTTGATCCAAACATTGACCATGGTCATTTATAGCCAAACACCAGAACAAAGTATAATCTTTGATGAATGAATCATTAATTGATGTCCAATCAAGTTCATAATCTCCGTTGGGAAACATGGAAACATTAATCATGCTAGCCAGTACATTGCTATCATTGTTCCAAAGAATTTTTTTTGTAGCAGGCAATATAAACAGCGAATAATTGTTGGATAATCCGATGGAATTTTTCGAATAAATTCTAAATAAATAACTAACATTATTTAATGTCAATGTTAGATTCGGATATAATGTCGTTTGATTTTTCCAATCTTGTTCATTTTCAGCTGAATACGAGACAAAATATTCAAAATCTGGTCCATTCTTTAATTCATTGGCTAACTGTTGCCAATAGATCACTACTTTTCGTTGTTCTGCCATCGAATCAATCATGAATGATTGATTTAGAATTTGGGGCGATGTTTCAGGAACTAATTGTCATTATTCATTAGTGGAAGAAAAGAAAAAAAAATTCCATTAAATTCAAATTGTAATTCAAATTTTGATAATACAATACTTTTAGGTTCAGTTAAAATATCCACAGAAATCATATCACTCCAGTATGGATTTTGAGAATCATCTATTTTACAGCTAATATTGAAACGATAATGAGTGAACGGTCGTAGATCTTTTATCTTTAATGATACATTATTCGACATTGATTTTCCATCATGTTTATGAGGATTATAATCAATCATACGTAACGTATTATTATAGATATCGATGACTGAAATCCTATATTGTAACATATTTTTTAATTTTTCATCCACTAATAGACTTTTCGGTGGAATCCATTGCAAACGGCCATTAACGAATTGTTCAGATTTAGGTTTCATACGTGGTGGTGGTAATTGTGTAATTGAAGTCTGATCATATTCAAAACTTTGTTCATTCGTACCGAGCTGATTTTCGCCTTTAAGTAATAAATAATAACGAGCATTATGTAATGATACTTCATGAGATATGTTCCAAAAACAATATTGTTTATAATCATCAGAATAATTATGTCCACATGGTTTCTCTTCACTTTATTCAATGTATATTTATGATGTTATGATGTAGGCGGCAAAATGGAGACAAAAAAATGAATAAAAATCGAAAAAACAAATCATTAAATCAATACAGACAAAATTTAAAGCGATGAAGTGTCGCTGAACCTACCTTAGTATGCCTTCATAATAGTGATACAATGAATACACTGTTAGGATCGTATTATTTGGTTTTGTCCATGAGCATAATAATTTTTCACGATAATAATAGATGCATTTGAAATTATCAACGTTCAATGGTTTGTCTACACAATTGATGGAAAGAAAAATGTTAATTTTTAATCAGAAAAATAGAATTTTTTTTACTTACATCCAATCAAACCATCACTATAGCAGATGGATTTAGTCTCTCCACGGGTATTGTTAAATTTACACGAATAATTACCAATATCATCAAGGCTAGTATTTTTAATCGATAATCGTACTGTATATGGATCAATTCTTGTTATAAATCGTGTATCGATTGCAATTTCATTATGGTCGAAAAACACACGTGCAATATCAATTGTACCATTGTCGACAAATTCTTTTTCCAATTTACAATCAAATGAAAGCTCTTTACCCACTTCTACAAAAGCTCTATCTGGATAAAGACCTAAAATCAAAAGAAAACAAAAAATTGAATGAGAACCACAAACAATCAAATCCAGTAATTACATACTTCCATAGTTTACAATGTCATACAGACAGGATTCGGCAAAATTAACAAAAAGGCCATAAATGATGATGAGAAAAGTGATGAAAATTATTTTCAATAATAATTTTATCATCATGATAATCTTTCAATAATTAAAAATTTTTATCTATCGATGAAAATGAGCGATGAATTTTTTTTTTAATTTTCGTGGTTAAAATATCAATTGTATCGTTATGATGGCAAATAAAAATGGATGATCATTACGAAAAGAATCATCTATCAAGGTCAATTTTTAACAACAAAAAAAACAGAGAAAAAAATAAGAGAAAAAGAAATCTTATTACTAATCATATATACAAACATTACAAATTTTTTTAACATACCAAATAAGTTTTGAACATTTAAAAACATTTGAACTGTTGTTTGAATTGAAATCTTTGTTGTTGTTGTTGTTTCGCAATTTATTGATGAAAATGACGATTATTGATTGATTGATTAATTATTCTCAAGTTTATCCACAAAAAAAATGATAATAAGCTTGTAATGTAGATTAAACACAAAATAAAAAATAGTATGCGATTAATATATATATATAGAGATTAGTGGAGATGGTGATTATTTCCGATTATTATCATTTCAAGGTAACAATATATAACATCATATTTGAGCTATATATATTCATAATATATTCATTTTATGATTATGATGACCAAACAAAGGAATATAATACTTTTTTGTTTGTTTGTAATTCTGACATTCATTGATTAGTTGAACCAAAAAATAATCGTCTCTATCTCCATACGGCTTTAGTCTGAAAAAAAATAAAAAAAGAAAATAAGTCATTTGAAAAAAATACATCATTTAAAATGGAAAAAAGTCAAAAAAAAAATCAATAGCTAGTCAATTAATGTATACATTTGGGGGATCAATTGATTTTTCATCAATTCGATAGTCAACAACAACAAAAACAACAAACAACAAACGGATCTAATGACGTGATTGTAATCCTTCTTCTTCTTCTTTTACTTCTTCTAAGAGCTAAAGTATTAATGATCTGTTTGTTGTCCTATCTTTCTCCATATATACATACACGCCCTTCAATTCAACTAAATCAAAATGTTGAATTGATATTAACAGCAAAAAAAAAAATCAAATCCATCAAATCCAACAACATGTTTAAGATCATCAATTGACATATTTTTTTTTTTAATTTCATCAATCAATGATTGAATGATCCATTCTATATGAATTGAATAGAACATACATTTATTAAAGTGGAGCTAGAAATAAAAAAACATCCTGATAACAAATAAAAGAGGGATAGAGAGAAAGAGAGAGATAAACATTACATAAAAAAAGAAGCAAATTGATGAAAACCGAAAAGAAAAACAAAATTCAATTTTTAACCAACACTTTAACCACATTCTACTGGGTCATTCATTCATTTTTTTTTTGAATGATAAAAAAAACGGACACCGTTATTGTTGGTACAGTTATGTTGACACAGTAGTAGATTGAATGGATTAGCACATTGATGATTTTTTTTTTTTTGGATTAAATCACGATTATCACCCAATTATATGGTCAAATCATCATGATCGATCATCACATTCGAAATGAAAACACTAAATACACGTGATTTTTCGTTGTTGTTTTCTATAATATATACTTCAATCACAATCATCAAAATATCAATAAAAACATTAGAATAATGGATGATGAGCAAACAAAAACAAAACAAAACAAAACAAAAAAAAAAAAAAAAAAAAACTGGGATGCGAATATTATAAACGAGTGAAATATGAGAAATAATATAAAAAAAAGCAACAAGCTGATGTCGATGACAATTTCTCACCATTTTTTTTCCTTCTTGTCTTCTTCTTCTTCTTCTTCTTGTGATCGGCATATACAAACACTAAATGTACTCTCTTTTTTTATGAACACATCACACATCGTACACTAAAAAAAAAAAAAAAATTCACTTCATTTCTTTTGCCCATCATTATCAATTATCAACATCATCAAACACATACAAACAAACATTAAATAAGATAAATCAATCAATATATATATGTATCGAGCAAACAACAACAACACTCTTGATCAGAACAAACAAACTAACGAAAAAAAAAATTCAATTGATTAACATTCAAATGATGATTAGAGCTTTGATTTTAATTTCATTTTGTTATCTACTTTAAAATATAAAAAAATAAAATCCGATCAAATTGGACCCCAAAAAAAAAAATAAAATGTTGGGAAATTTCCAAGGTCAATCACAATTGTCCATAATAGGAATTTCCAAGAAAGAATAACATTCGAATTGAATTGATCGAATAAAAATTCACATTCGAATTTTCACACAACCAAAAAAAAACAAAACAAAACAAGACAATCATAAGTTCCATTTGATTAATTGTCATTGTACCGTTGGAAACCAACAAACAGTGTGTAAAGAATTTTCAAAAATTTTAAAAATTATTATTTAATCACCACCACTAAATTTTGTTGATAAATTTTCATTCATTTTCATCATATATATAGACATGATGATCGGTCGATTTTTTTTATGTTCATTCAGTGATGGCGTGTTTTCTATCATTCTTTATGATGATGATGATGATGATGACGAAAATGAAAATTGAATGGAACAACATTTACGGCGACGAATCCATTAAATAGAAAAAACACCAAACACCAAACATAAAGCATACGGACACGTTCGATTTTTTTTCAAGTCTTGACAACGATTTTTATACAACATACAACATACACAGATACAAGCTGTTTTTTTGGACAAAAAAAAACCAAGAGTTGATTACACAATACCGACAATGACGACCGACGACGACGACGATGATGATGATACCGTTTCGGATAATTTTATTTCGTTCTCACATATACCATATAAAACAACTTGCATTCAAAATTCGATCAACAAACAGTCCAACAAACAAGAGTTTGCTTGGAGATTTCTCTCTCTCACACACACACACTCACTTTCGTCAGAAAACCTTGGTGCACCCGAAAACCCAAATCAACAAACATAAAAATGAAAACAAAAAATAAACAGAATTGAGGCCTTTGAATATATAGATTTGTTATTATTCAACAGACAAAACAATTAGAAAAAAAATGTTTTTTTTTATCAAATTGAAGAAAAATTTTTCAAATCGAAAAACGTCTGAATATAATATATATGCTGATGATGATTGAACATATATCATCAATAATCGAATAAAAATGTAGCAATGTGTGTGTGTGTCGTGATCTTTTAGCAAAACAAAATAAAAAATTCAAAATCCACATTCACACATTCACATTGATGGAACAAGTTGTTTGGTTGTACTGGACAAATACATTAAACTAAACTATAAAAAAACCATGATCACATCATTAATAACTGAGATCAAAAATATGGATCGAAGCATCTTGAGACGCCGCCATTCACAACACACACACACACATCGTCAACCATGATGACCACACGACGACGCACATTGTTGAACAAGAATATATTTTCTTCATTCAGAAACTTCAAGACACAACAACACTATCTATCTATCATTAAGCCTCTATTCATACAAAACACACACCATTAACTCTACATCGCGCCCCATTCTTGTTTTTGAATTCAGGATTCAAGTTAGAGATTCGAATAATTTTTTTTTTCTTCAAGCTAGCCGTTTATATGACTGCTGCTGCTTTTTTCATCCATTTTTCGGGTTGTTGTTGTTGTTGTTGTTTTGTTCATTGCAGATTTTATTTTTGTTGTTGTCACCATCATCATCATCATCATCGTCGCCGAAACTTTTTTTTTTTTTTTTTTTTGTTTGTTTTTGTTGTTGTTTTCTTCAAATCAATCGTTTAAGGGCCCCATAAGTTCCGCATTTTTATTTTTTGTTGTTGTTGTTGTTCACGATTCGATTTTTTTTCCTGGTTATAATTTTTTCATCTCACTTTCCACTGAGATAGTGCTGCCAAGAACAGCAACAAGAAAACAAAAAACAAAAACAAAACAAACTTACCAGAGTTTTTTTTTGGTTGACGTTGTGGCCGATGTTGTTGATTTTTCGAACGATAAAATGAAAAAATTTGTTGAGACCAATATAATCTTTGAATTTGTTTGTTGCAATGATGATGATGATGATTATGTGATGATATGTATTTAATGTAAACACACACACACACACACAAAATAGAGGGAATTTTTTATGTTTGATTTAGTTTTATTATTTAGATTTTGATTTTGATTTTTTCATTTTTCAATAACAACAACAACAACATTTGAGACATTTTATTATTAGCTATAGCCTCTCTTTATGTCTAGCTAATTTGGTTATGGAACTATGCTGATGGATGGATAGATGGATGAAGAGAGAAAAAAACACCGACACACACACACACATACAAACAACAAAAATGATACACAACAAATGATTCAGTGAAGCACCCAAAAAAAAAAAAAAAAAAATTTACCACCATTATCCATGTATATCCAAATTGGAACATTAACATTTTTGGATACCACTACTACTACTACTACCACCACCACACACACATATACTGTAGGTACATCATTTAATACGCATGTGTGTTTCGAGATTTTATCATTCCTTAATATTTGTGAATGAATAATGGATCAATTGCTGCTGCCACCAAGTGGCTAATTCTAATTCTTATTTTATTTTATTTTTTTTTTTTTTGCTGAATGAAAAATTGAATTTCGGCGACTGATCATCATCATCACAAAGATATATATCTTTAACGTCTCACTTTTTCTTTCTCTCTCTCTCTAGATTCAAATGGAAAAACTTTTTTTTCTTCTTCTTTTGCATTAAACATGTCATGATCATCATTTGTGTAATATAAATGTGTTATATGATGATGATGATAAATACATGCGTGCCAAACTAAACTTATAACAACGGCGCGATTCGATGAAATCGAAAAAAAAATCCATGTAAAAAAAAAAAAAAAACTTATTATTCTGACACTTGGACAACTATGGTATGTATACCATTATAAATCGCAAATAACAACAACAAAAAAAAAGTCAACGAAATAAAAATAAAAAAAAATTGTCGGAAACACCAAATTTATCGTGCCCAAAATCGAAATCATCGACCAAAAAAAAAGAAGAGAAAGAAAGAGTGGCGAGAACCAGAAAAAATGTTTAAATAGCCGATTGTTTACCATGGCAAGTACATCTTTGTGATCATCACCATAATAAAAAAAAGTTATTAATCATTTATTATTTTCAATTGACAAAGAAAAAAAAACACGAACATATTTGTTCACGTGCTTCCATAACAAATCTCTCCTGGTATTCATAAATATCATCATTATCACCATTTTGAAAGCTTTGTGTAAGAGTGAATTAAAAAAACAAAACAAAACAAAACAAAAGAAAAGAAAAAAATAAGCAAAAAAAAAAGAAAAAAACGACCAAAATATATACTGCTGTTGCCAAAAAAATCCAACAACAGCAAAAAAACAACAACAACAACAAACAACAACAAAAAATAGTCGACCTGAACTCATTTTTTTTTTTTGTTCTTTTTTCTGATCCTTGCATTTGTAGAAACAAAAAAGTAAGAAAAATAACAGAAAATTCTCCTATCTCTATTGCTCAACTTTTTTACTATCTCTGATGATGGTAAAATTTAATTGAAAAAAAAATAGTGAATTCAAATTTGTTAGGTACGTTACGATTAAATTTCTCTAATTAAAAATTTAATCCTTTTTTTCCACTGATTATCATCATCAACAAATTTAGAGAGATCTGCCGCTGAATTATTTTTCATCATGACTTTGAAACGATCATTAAACGATGTAAATGATGATGATGATGGCCATCATCATTATAATCAAGGACCATCATCAACTTTGAAAACATTCGATTCACCATCTAAACGTCAACGTAATAATGTTCAATTATTGCAACAATTTCCATCATATCTAGTCAAAATAAGTAAGTGCTTAAAATGACCTAGAATTTTTTTTCATGGATTGACTTTTTTTTTTTTTTTTGCTTCCGAAAATAATTCAGATCCATTCACATCAATGACTATGCATAGAAATGAATCGAAATCTGTACAGATAATGGGCGCTTTGATTTGTCATCAATGTAATAGTCGCGTTATTGGTCACATAAAATGTGATTTTTGTGACCACATAATATGTCATGATTGTCAACAATTATGTCTTAAATGTCATCGATATTTTTGTGGTCTTTGTTCAATCAAAACTTATGATTATTCAAATGAATGTACAAACGTTGCCATTTGTTTCAATTGTAACCAATAATGGATTCATATCAACTTAAATTAATTTGACAATTTGCTTCACTGTAAATAAAAGAACATTTTTTCCATTTAATTGAATTTAAATCATTTTTCATTCACATTTAATATGGCCATTGATGCAATGCTAAATGCCATAACCATACCGGTACGATGAATAATGTTAAATTCAGTGAATGAAATTGCCAATATATAACCGATGATCATGGCCAAATAAAGTTTGTTCGATTTTCGATTCCAATACCATAATAATGAACATAAACAAATATTTTGTACAAGATCAATATTTGCACCACAAGCATCAATCAAATGATGCCAATCAAATTGTAATGATCGAGCATTGATGTAAAAATTGACCAAACGTGTAAATATAGATTCCGTTACCGTCCAACCAAGTGCTGTGCCTAATTTTATATATAATGTTTAATTTAATTAGATTAGAATTTCAATCCACATTTGTACATGCAAGGAAAGAAAGTAGTAGTGCTCACTAAGAATTTTAACCGATGCAACCGATGCTTTTTGATAATGTACCATTGAATAATAAAGGCCAATACAATCGATTAAATGTTCCCAAAATTCTGTTAGATTAACCAGACCGGCTATTATAAGCATCTTACTCATCTGTGTTAATATGTACGATAATGCACCGGTTAATACTCGCATTAATGTTCCATATTCGGATCTGAAATTTGATTTAAAAAAAAAATGGGAATACCTGCTATCATTTAGTACTTGACTTACATGACTGAAAACCGATAAAGAATAACTGGCGGACCAAAAGTCAATAGAAGACAATTTACAAAATGATAGAATGTCATATTGCAAGATATATAAGATGATGAAGAGGATTATAATTCGAAAAATAATCAGATGAAATCCAGAGAAAAAAAAACATATGAAAATATTGAAATTGACAAATTGCCGTCATTGAATCTTTGAACAGGAAAAAAATTAATAGTGGTGTGTTTCGATTTAAATTGACGCATGCGTTACATGGTGAATAAAGAAAGAAAAAAACGGTTGAAAACATATATATTTTGGTCAACATCTTAACAAACTTTTTGTTGCAAATGCGCCGCTTGCATTAAAAATAATTTTTTTTTTATTGTTTTTCAACCGTATGTTGTGAATTTTTTTTCTCTCTTGTGAGAAAAAAAACTTCATTTTTTTTGATTGTTTACATGAAAATATTGGAAAAAATAGAACACGACGATACAATAGATGAGTAAAGAGCTCGTGGCAAATTTCCTTTGTTTTGATCAATCCAATGTTTGCAAATCAAAGATGATTTGAATCGAAATGACATCTTCATCGCCATTGTCATTACACATAACGGTTCCTCATTCGAGGACCATTGTTCGTCATAATCGTCAACGTTTGATCGATGAAATGATTCATGAGATGAAATCCGAAGAAAAAGATGAGGAAAAAGTTGCTGTAAAAATCGAAACACAAGATGAAAATTCACCAATACAGAATTCATCATCGAAAACTGTACATTCATCATCGCACATCATTGTAACAAGAAATGGTACGAAAAAACCTAAACGTCGACGACGATTGTATTCAACAACGAAAACAAAACGATCGTCAAATCGAACAAAAACTAATTTAAATAAAATTAAAAATAACGATGATCAAGAATCAGAGAAAATTCTCAAAAATATTAATGATGATGATGCTTACACTTCAAAATCCACTGATGGTGATGATGAAAACATTGATGTAAAAAGAAACGATAATCTACAACCGAATGGTGTTGTTGATAATGGACATGTGAAAAAATGTGACACTACACTTATAAAGCAAAAATCATCACACAGGATGACCAAACGGCCACCGACAATAACTACGACGAATAATGTGATTACAAATTATTTTCCTATCGTTTCACGACGATTATTAGCCGCAAAACTTAAGGAAGAAGAATATAATCAACGTATTATTGAATGTATTACTAAACAAATTGATCCATTCGACTACTTAGCCATTACTGAATTTCAATCAAAAGGAAAGGCAATCATAGCTAAAGCGCCCATACGAAAAGGTTCATTTATCTGTGAATATAGTGGTGATCTTATCGATTTAGATTCAGCCAAGGTTAGTGATTTATAATGATATATAATGATTTTCATAATAATGATTTTATTAATTTTGTCCTTTTAATAGAAACGTGAACTTAAATATGAACAAAATCAAGCCGGTTGTTATATGTATTATTTTAATTGGAATTCAACAATCTGGTGTGTAGATGCAACTAAACCAACTGGTCGTTTAGGTCGATTAATTAATCATTCAAGAAAATCACCAAATTGTAAAACGAAAATTTTTGAATATCAACAACGTCCACATTTGATATTTATTGCATTACGTGATATTGAACAAGATGAAGAAATTCTTTATGATTATGGTGAACGTGATCCAATGGCAATCAAATCACATCCATGGTTGACCACTACATAATGATTGATAGTGAAATGAAATCATACAAGTCATAGCAGTATTACAATGGTTTTTTTTTTTGTTTCACCAACTCATATAATCATAGAAAACAAATGAATGTATGACAAAGAATCATATTGAACGAACGAACATCAACATCAAACATTGGCATTCATCAAAGATAATTTTATTCATTCAAATCTCTCAACATATATAAATATTTACACTTCAATCTAAACATTATCATGTGCCCTTAACATCTTTTTTTTTTTATATAATATTCTGATTACTACTATCCAGTACTCGTTTCATTAATTTTTTTTTCTTCATCATATTCACGCGGTAGTATTATATACTAAATTATATGAATAAATAATAACAGACAGACAGAGAGACAGAGAGAGAGAAAAATTTTTGTATTTTTTTTTTTTTGCATTAAAATTTTCATTTTGTTTTGTTCAATTTCGACAACGACGACAACAACAACAACAAGAATTTAGTCTGTGTGTGTGCAATGTCGGAATATATCGGAATTTGGCAAAAAAAAATTCTTTTTCATTCTTAAATCGAAAACATGTTTTGAAGAATTAATAAAATTTATATTAAATTAATTTCATTTGGGACTATGTTCGTGCGTGTGTGTGTGTGTGTGTGTGAAACCTATTTATAATATCCGCGGATTATCATGGAAAATGGACGCGTGTACAAGTTGTTGTTTTTTTTTGGCTTCATGTGTGTGTTGAAATATGAAATGAAAATTTTTTTATCCATTCTCTGATCGATTCTGTTGTTGTTTTGTTGGTATCGAAATGGTGTAAAGTATGATAAATCATAACACACACACACACACACATATGTGAGTGAATAGGGGGGGGAAAAAACATGAAAATTTGAAACATGTGCAACCGGATAAAATGACATTTATATGTTATTATATAATACATGAAATGAAATAGATGAAAATCTGATCTGATATAAATGACACACACGCACACACACACAAAAAAGTCAGTGATTTTTTTTTCTCATTTTTTTTTTGAATATTCATTTTTTAAAACTTGAAATATTAAAAATTTTTCACATCCTAGTGTGTGTGTGTGTGTGTGTGTCTCGTAAAGTTTATCAAATGGATCAATGACAAAAAAAAAATTATCTAGGTTTAAGGTTTTCTTGCTTATTACAAATATAAATAATATATTAAAGATTCTACTATACTACACCATGCACTATGTGTATGTCATCAGTGGGTGTCAAAGAATTTTTTTTTTTTTTTTTTTTTGGTCACTGGTTTCTTGTTTCAAGAGAAAAAAACGTTCATATGATGTATGTGTGTGTGTGTGTAGTATAAATGGTTATTTATTCAGTCAAAAAAAAGAGTCTATACGTACGGATGTTTATATTTCAAAAAAAAAATGATGTGGTTGGATTCCGGAAATGGATACATAATGGATGTTTGCTTTCTTTCTTTTTTTTTGATCAAACGCTATTTTTGATGATGATGATGATAATGATCAAACAAGTTTTCAGAACCGGAAGTTACACATGATTCTTCAGATCAAACAAATGGTAAAATTAGAAGAGAGAAAAAAATCTCAACAAACATAAACATAAACATAAACACATGTGACAATGAATATACGAATTCGTTCGTCTAATAATTTATTCGACAAAGAGGGTGGATATAGTAAATGTTAAAACGAAAAAAAAAAAAAAAAAAAATTCATCATCATCATCATCATCATTATTATTATTCTTTTTTAGTGGTTGTTGGTAGGTTTGTTGTTGAATAAATGACAAAATACAACAATTTGATTATTGATGTTATTCAATGGAATTATTAGAATTTTCTTGGGACGAATATGTACGGGCTTATTTTTTTCCGTTGATCATAATGATGATGATGATGATGATGATGGAATTTGAAACGAAACGAAACGATTCTGATGTCAAGGTAAGAAAGATTTATAATATAATGGAATTTGGACTTTTCAATGTGTAGGAGGTATGTGTGTGTGTGTGTGTGTGTGTGTGTGTGTGTGTGTGATGATGATGATGAAAGAAAAAATTTTTAAACTTTTTTTTTCGCTAAATAAGTTTTTGTCGTTTTGGTGAATAGAATTTTTTTTTCTTGTTTTTATTTTTGTTTTTGTTTTCTATATGTTTCTGTGTCGGCCATGATGATGATGGACGATAATTATTTGTGGTTGATATTTTGTTTTGTTTTTTGTTTTTTTGGTTAAATTTTCAAATTCTTAACAATTACAATTCTGATTCTGTGGCATAGGATTTTCGGCCAATCGTGTTCCTTTTGATGCATTCATTACATTTGGATCGGAATCCAAACTTTCGCTCATTTTATCGCATATAATATCCACTAAACGTTCAAATACGGCCTTAACATTAATATTTTCTTTGGCTGATGTTTCAAAAAATTCTAATCCTAATTGATCGGCTAATTGTTTACCACGTTCATATGAAACGACACGTTCATCTTCCATGTCGCATTTATTGCCCACCAATATCACTTGTGCATTATCCCAAGAATATGTTTTTATTTGGGTCACCCTATAAAACAAAAATTAAAAAAAAAATGGTATAAAGAAATGAAACAAATGAATGAAATTGATTAGTTCACGATCTATCAATATATTTATGAATCAATTGAATCGAATGAAAATAGCCCATTTACATAATTGATTATTAATCAAAATAGTATAGTATAATAATACTACTACGATATATCGATCATTTGATTCAATTGAATGATTAGATATTTATCATTATATCATTAATTATGATTAATATATACTAACCAATCCTGTACGGAATTGAATGATTCTTCATTGGTTACATCATACATTAATATGAATCCCATTGCACCACGATAATAGGCAGTAGTTATCGTACGATAACGTTCCTGTCCGGCTGTATCCCAAATTTGTAATTTAACACGTTTATCCTGGCGAAATACGGTTTTTACTTTGAAATCAATACCGACCGTACTAACAAATGCCGATGTAAATGAATCATCAGCATAACGGAATAGGAATGATGTTTTTCCAACACTGCTATTGCCTATGATCAAAATTTTGAACATATAATCGAAATTTTGATCCACCGTATCTTTTTGCCATTTTTGATCCTGATTCATGATATATTTACTATGTGTGTGTGTGTGTGTGTGTAATCATTTAGCAAAAAAAAAAAATGAAATTAATCGATAATGAAGAATGAATGAATCAATCAATGACACAGTACTCACTTTTAGCTCTTTAAAGCATTCAATGCTTGATATATATTTTGAGTATTGTGATAAATAAAGTTGATGATGATGATGATGATGATGATGATGATTACTCTCTTCAAGTAGATATATTTATAGAAAAAAAAACAAGACAAAAATCACGATTTTCTTTGACGAAATTAAATGTAGAAAATGAATGAAGATATTCAGAATGAAACACACGAACACATATTAAATTCTTTCAATTAATCGATGAAAACTTTTTTCATTTTCATTGCAGTGAAAACTTTTTTTTTCTTCTTCTTCAACCACAAGCTGTTAATAAATTGTCAACCTTTTTTTCAGATTCGGTGTTTTGAATTCGGTGTTATTAATTGATGATGATATCCGATATATCGATAGTGATGATGATGATGATGATGGAACCAAGGAGGAAAAAAATTAACAACTCGGAACAACAACTATAAACCACACACACACACACACACATAAACAAATATAAACAAAAAAAACCGATCCAAATACAAACACAAACACACACACACACACACGAATCAAACACACACACACACACACACACACAAAATTATTCGCTTCCAAATATCAAACACTGGACTTGGAATTACTCTAATTAACTGACTGAAGATAGATTACACCATTGACGACAACGACGAGATTATTATTAAACAATGACGATAACGAAAACGAATGAACGATGAATAATAATGAAAAAAAAGAAGAAAAGAAAAGAATCAGCCGTTCAGGAACTAGGACAACAAAATATGATATTCTATCAAGAATTCCTATCTCACAAATATTTAGAATTGATTATTATTATTGAATTTATACACGGTTGGCTGATGAAAATTGTTCTAAAGACTTGAATATTGGTTGTTGTAGTTCAACAAGGATAAATAATATAATGAATATTTGTGGAATGAAGAATGAATGACTGATGATGACAATGATGATGATGATGATGATGATAATAATAAGAATATTCTTGTTCAATGCACAACAAAAGCATAGAAAAAGCAAAGAAAGAAACGAAGAGGTGTGTGTGTGTATGTGTATGTATAGCTTGAATAACGTCCGAATTGAGCTTCCCAAAAAAAAAAAAAAAAAAATGAAAATCCATAAAGTTTCGATTTCAAACAGCACACAGAGTCATCATTCAGTTATTTGGTCGGTCGTTGAGTCCGGATCTAATGATTCGTCGTCGTCGTCGTCGTAGTCGTTTAAATACTCAAATACCACTATTACCACGGATTTTAATTCTTAGTTCTATATATCTGGAATATATGGGTAATGTATTTGTTTTTTTTTTGGCCCAATTTTTTTTCTCGCCGATATAAATACACACATAGAAAGCAATTGGAACTAAACAGCAGCAGCAGCAGCTGCTATCGTTTGTACAAAGTTTTAGGTATTTTTTTTCCCAATCGTCTTGTTATCTTGTTGTTGTTGTTGTTGTTTGTTGGTGGTGGTGGTTGTTGTGGTGGTGGTGATGAATACAGAATCGTGTACTATATTATGAATTAGTCTTTAGTGCCGAATCAGAATATAGCAATATATATGGACTTACGATTTTTCTAGGATGGATGGATGAATGAATGTAATCGTTGAATCAAAATCAGATGTTGAGTCGACTCTAGTTGATGAATGTGTCTATAATTTAAATTCCGGTTTGAACTTTAACTTTTCAATTAAATTTTATATTCCCACTGTCCATTTGAACAATTTTTTTTTTATTTCTTTTCGTTATTTGTTGTCGTTGTTGTTGTTTACACCGGTTTCTAGAAAATTAAAAAAATTCTATTTGTTTAAACCGGAGAGATATAAAATTTTTAAAATAATCGACAAATTTTTTGTTTGTTCACAATGTATTTAGGTGTGTGTGTGTGTGTGTGTGTGTGTGTGTTTAATTTGAATTGAAAACGTCACCATTTATAATATATCATGATGATGATGATGGTGATGGCTTGGACACAGACATCCTTTTAATATATTCATTCACATTTCCTATATATATATGTTGTTAATGGATCTGTTGTTTTGCTGCTGGTTACACAGTTGACAAAAACACACACACACACACACACAGACACTAATTGATATGGCACATATGTATTCAAGGTCTATGATTTTTAATGTATAGATGATTTTATCGTCGAAATTATTATCCACTATTTTGTTGTTCTTGTTTCGAATACATTTAATTGTGCTGTGTGTGTGTGTGTGCGCGTTGTTCGAAATTATGATGGACAATTTATGATAATAATGATGATGATGATGATGATGATGGTAAATGGTGGACATATATATGTGTAATATTTAAAAAGTAGAAAAAATAAATAAATTTTCCATTATCATTGCAGACGACATTATTCATTCTTCATAATCATCATATTGATGATTATGTAAGTTTCCTGTTATTTTTTTTTTTTTTTTTTTGGTTGGTTTTCAATTTCACTTGTTTTGTTGATTTTCATTCATTCATTCATTCTTTGCTGGCCATTGTTTGTTTGTCGATCGATTGATTTGGTTGTATATTGTTCAAGTATAACAATATGATAAAAAAAAAAAATTCTATGCCTGGTTGCCTGGTTGTTTGCATGCAGGTGTATATTTATGCAGGTATCGCGATAAACAATTCGTTCATCTTTCGAATTTATTATTCATCATTGTTGTTGTTGTTGTCATGAATGACGATGATTTCAATAACAACACACCGATATTATAATTCCAAGCGATCTTCAAGATAATAATAAAAAAAGTCATCATTGAGTTAATTTGTTAGCTAAAAATGAAAAAAAAATTTAGAATTCTGCAAAAAAAAAAAAAAATAATCAACCTACTACATGTTGGCCGGATGTTACAACAGAATGCAAAGAATCAAATGAACTTTGATTGATCGGATTAGTAAGGAATTTTTTCATCTTTTTCATGAACATTCAGATTAGAAATACAAGAACCATAAATCAATATATATTAATTAGTCAGAAGAAAAATTAATTGGCTGCCTTTTATTGACCAAATTTTTTTTTTCTTAGAATTTGCTAATGATGATGATGATGAAAAGAATCAATGTAAATAAAGATAAAGAATATATCCGTTCACAGATGGATATCAAATTTCTATTCACACAATAATGTCATCGTTAATGTGTCAATAGATATACACTGTTAATAACAAAATATTCAAAGACATAGAAATTTTGAAAAAAAAATTTTTAAATTTTATTTGATTTGAAAAATACAATTTATACATTAATAATAAAGACCAAGATGAACCAGTTGAGCTTTCGATTCGAGATCATATAATTGTTGTACATTGTTGGCCATTTGTGCTACATGATCTTTGTATGTATAACCACCAACATTTGATGATTGTTTAGCTCCATACACTACTTTACCATCAAATTCATTTACTTCTAATTTAAAATCTATACCAATTTCAGATATGATACAGTTTAAATGTTCTTCAATATCGGCCAATAATTGAATTTCATTATACCAAATACAACATCCACCTTGTTCAACTAGTTGAGTGTTCCAGCAATTTTTACCCCTTGTACGACAATTGGCATGATACCAAACTTTTTCCGGTACATTCGATACAAAACTAATGGCCAGACCCATTCGTTCGGCACGGCCAACTCGACCAATTCGATGTAAATAATTGGCCTTATCATCCGGAAGTGTTACTTGTAATACAAAAGGTATGCCAGTAATATCGATACCACGAGCAGCAACATCAGTACAAATTAAAAATTTACATTTTTTCATTTTAAATGTTTCAAGATTAGCTTGTCGTTCTTGTGGTGTTCGATCACTATGTAAACAAACACAGGAATAATCTTTACAAAGTTTAGCTGATTGTTGATTGAAATATGTTTCAAGATTATCGCAATCAAGTTTTGTACGGCAAAAAATAATGGCACAATCAATCTGTAATGTATCGATCGCTTTGATGACATAATCGACTAAATATCAAACAATAATCATAAATTATATGATGATAATAATTTCCAAAATTCATTAAACAAAATTACCTTTTAAAATTTTGACCGCTTCACTCAATGTATCTTTATCCGGATTTTTATAATTTCGTATATCTCTTTCATGAACAGCATCGGTTGTGATTGAATTTCGTAAATTCATCCATGAATTATCTTTACGTGGATCAACACGTACTACAACATGATGTACAGTATCCGGTACAGAATCTTCGCCTTTTAGATCAACCCAGTTCGGAAAAAACATTACTCGTTCAGCCAATTTTTTGACATCAAAATTATGTAACGTAGCTGAACAGACAATCATCTGCAAACGTTTACCATCGGGAAACATTCGTGGTATACGGCCATGTAATTGAAGTATGGTTTGCATACTTCCCTGTGCAAGGAATGCATCTACTTCATCGATGATGAAGAAACGACATGATTTTAATGATAAATGACCCGAATTGACCAATTCATTTACTCTTCCAATGGTACCAGTGACAATATCGACACCAGCTTGTAATTGATGCATTTGATCTTTGGCACTAAGACCGCCAACCAACAAACATTGACGAATATCACCGGAAAGATATTTTTTAAAATTCACAATACAATTATGTGTTTGTTCGGCCAATTCACGACTTGGTTCAAGAATCAACGCTTTTGGGCTATTATCATTAGCTGAGCTGACTGCAAAACATGTATTATTCACAATTTGATCCGATCCTAATTGGCCAATCCATGTACAACCGAATGGAGCGTTTTGATCGCTCTGAAATTTGGCTTTCAATCCGGCATTTTTGATACAAATACAAGGAAAAAAATGATTCTGTTCACAAAGATGTTGAGCAATCTGAAAAGCGACACCTAAATCTTGTCCATTTTTAGTCCATGAAATTGTACCATAATCCAGATCGATTATATTTCCAATAACATCGAATTTATCACCGAATTTTTCTCCATAATCTTCGAAATTTCGTGCATTACTTTTTTTGGCCGTACCACCATAGCCCCAACCAAAACGATCGGTACCAAGTTCACGAGAACCATTCTCTAATGCCCAACCAACTCGTGCCAGGCCAGGTGAAGTAAATTCTATTTCAAAATAGAATCGATTCTTTTTTCCTCTACACTGATGAATGAAAATGTTTGATTGTAGAAATTAAAACAAAAATACGAAAAAACACTTACCTTTTTCACAGCTTTATTCGCTCGTACTCCTTGCCATTGATTGGTTACTTTGCTTTGTGCTGAAAGCAAATCAGCTGCCAATGATAGATTTGGATCGATATCATACGGACTAAATAAACATTTATCCGATACTTCTGATTTATCCGATTTTGATTTTGCATTCAATGTTTCCCATACAATCTGAATGACAGGCAAACAAAAAGCACCGGTTTTTCCAGAACCAGTTTCGGCTGCCATCAAAACATCACCACCACCAAGTATCAATGGAATGGCTTCAGCTTGAATATTGGTTGGTAAAAGCCAATCGATTTCTTCCAAAGATTTACCTATCTCGGGCATGATGCCCATTTCTTCGAAAGCCGTCATTTGTGTTTCAATGTTTTCAATTAATTTGAAAAAATCATAAAACACTAGAAATAATTGATTTGAAATAAAATCTCAACTCAATCCACACAAGAAAGATTTGTTTGCAAAATGTTCAGAAAGTACGTAAATGTGTTTGAGATTGAATGGTTCATTAATTGCTTAAAACTCAAGATTGAGTTGGGTTACTATCCATGCTCCAATCTCGCTAAAATCGCGAGTTACCTGCAAACGTTGCATCGGCGGCTGCCATCAAAACATCACCACCACCAAGTATCAATGGAATGGCTTCAGCTTGAATATTGGTTGGTAAAAGCCAATCGATTTCTTCCAAAGATTTACCTATCTCGGGCATGATGCCCATTTCTTCGAAAGCTGTCATTTTTGTTTTCAATTAATTTGAAAAAAAAATCAAAAAAAAACACTAGAAATAATTGATTTGAAATAAAATCTCAACTCAATCCACATGCGACAATATTTTTTGCTTACAATAAAAATCAACAATCAACAACACTGTTCAGAAAGTACGTAAATGTTTGAATTGAATGGTCTTTATTCATTAATTATTATGGAATTATTTCGGTCACAAGAATGGATTATTGGAAACAAATATTGAATTACACCACATTTATTGTTCATAGTTAATTAAATAATAATAGCAGTTATTAGATTATTAGATTAATTGAAGTGAATATACACTTATGGTTTAATATTATGGTTATTATTTAATTCTTGTGGAACAATGTTCTGGAAATGCAATCCACCCGAAGCCATAATAGTATAATGGCGGCGACATTTGCGTGTAGATTTCTCAAAAAATTGGGAACAAATTTTTGCAAGTCCTTCAACTTGTTCATATAAATCATTGAATGCTCTCGGTGGACAAATAGCATTGATATTGGAAACCAAACATTGTAGATATGTGTTTTTGAATTCACAGCAAACTTGTTGAGCAGGTGCAATCGAATCATAATCTTCATCATCTTTATCATCTTTGTCATCTTTATCATCTTTATCATATTTATTTTTCTTAAAATCATAACGAATTCGACTTTTTTCACGGAATCTTGCAATACAAAGATCATGAATCAAGTCTTTATATTGTTGACATTGATCATTTGGATTTGAGTCATTGCCATTTTTCAAAACTTCGTGCATCAACTGTCTCATCGACAATTCTTGCGTTAGTGGTGTTTTTTCCGTTGATAATATATCATCATCAGCATAGAATAGATTAGCATTATTGTCATCATCGGTATCGATGTAATCTGGATCATGTGGTTTTTGGTTCAAAGTTAATGAATAACATAAGTTATAGCCAATAAGGATGACCATATAAATTAAAACATGTTGATGATTCAAAGCCATGATGATCGATGAATTGATTGTTTACAAACCATATACCATCATTTCATGGATTGATGTTTTTATATATAAAAACTGTAGGAAATTAATCTGATGTTTAAAATAAATTTCGAAGAAAATTTTGGTTGCCAATACAATGTTGCAAAAAAATCGACTTTTCTTGAAAATAACATTGAACCAGCGGCAGTTTAAAAAAAATAAATTTACCGGAAATCCGTGTTGAACTAGGAAATGTTCCTGTAAAACGACGTATAACACAATCGTTCGATTCGAATTTTGAAAAAAAATAAAATCTTTTCATGTGAAAAAAAATAATTAAATTAAATTTTATTTTAAATTTGTTTTTTTTTTTTGTAAAATTTAATTATTAATTATAGGAAAAAAACCAATCAACTATGAATAATAAGGATCTGACATCATATTTGTGTAAACTTACTGGTTATACACTATCCACTATTCTATATGTACGAAATTTTTTCAATGAAAATTCATATTCACCATTAGATTTTGGCCCAATACGATTACGAATTCTGAAAGATGGTTCAAATGAAGCGGTGAAAAATTTGATAAACTACATGAAAAATTGTTTTCGGCCATTGAAATATTGTTATCTGAAAACATTAGTGATGGAAATCCATGATTCATTCAATGTGATTGAAAGTTATGATCTTACTTATGATTATTCAATGTAATGACTGATTACTACTAAATGTATTGATAATAATTATTAATAATATTTTTCTAATACTTTCTAGTCAACTAAATGAAGATCCACAACAATTTCTTCGGAAAAACGATATCGATTTAATGTTGAATTTAATCGAAACACTTGAACAAATGAAATCCATTCCAAAAAATAGACATTACAATGTTGTATTCAAATTATACTACAATGATATTGTACCAATTGATTATGAACCACCTGGATTCGTACCATATAAATCCAACAGTAGCAATTGCAGCAGAAATTTGAATATTTACAACCATGTTACTACTCATGAACAATCATTTTCAATTCAAATTAAATCCAATGAAGAAAATTTAAAATCATCTGATGATCATGAGAATGACAGTAGCCAAATTTCAAACAAGCGATCACAACAATTGTATGGCAACAAATGATGAATCTCATTGGTGAATAGAATCACACACACATTCATAAACACTGCCTATCACGTGATATTAGTGTCACGTTTTTTTTTCAATTTCATATAAAATGTTTATTCTTATTCCAAGTTAATTTCTAATTATTTAATAATAAATAAAAAATGCCTTTAATTGTTATATGTGGAAAACCATTGACAGGAAAATCGACAACAGCAAAAACATTACAATCATTTTTTAAAGAAAAATGTTTGATAATCGTTAGTGATGAAGAAAAACTCTGTGAACAAGGATTGGATACAATTTATCGTAATGCACAAAATGAAAAAGATTTACGTTCTTGGCTTAAATCTGAAGTTCAACGTCATCTTAGTTCACCAGACACTGTGGTCATATTGGATTCATCTAATTACATTAAAGGTTTCCGATATGAATTGTATTGTATGTGTAAACAATTTCAACAAACATTTGCACTAATCGAATGTTTACCACCGATGGATACATTGGATGAATATGAACTATTTATCAATGAACATTTCGATAACAAAACAACAATCGAACAAAATGATGTTCGGATACGAAATTATAGCAAAGAAATATTCGATGAATTATGTGAACGTTATGAACCACCCACGGCTTCTAATCGTTGGGAAAAACCATTGTTTCGGATTGAATTTAAATCTGAACAATTACCATTGAAAGAAATCCACGAAGCGCTATTTCAACATTCGAAACTAAAACCTAATCGAAGCACACAATCAACACCGATGACAACCGATAATTTTATCATGGAATTGGATAATCAAACACAATTGACAGTGAAACAAATTCAAACGGCACTTCAATTGAATCAACTTCATGGAATTCGAATCACCGGCACAGATGTGATGGTCAATCTAAACAGAAAGATTCCAATAGCAGAATTGAATAAATTTCGGCGACAATTTATTAATTATGCCAAATTGAATCCATTCAATGACAAAGATCGTATTGTAACGGCATTTGTACAGTTTATAAACAATAGTTCAAATTTCTAAATAAAGTCAAAAAAATGGTGTTCAACGAACTGATTGATTATTGCGTTTTTCAAGTGTTTTAAAATATTCTGGATCAAGTAGATTGGCCAGATGAAAATCTGTACAATGCATAGCATCTAATGAATTGTATGCTTGTAGTAATAATTTTTTAAATTCAACACCGCTAACATTTTTACAAATATTCAATGTAGGTTCCATTGGATTTTCAATGTAAAGTGGTGAAAAATCGGGCTTTGCAAATGATTTTCCTGTTTGTATCGACATGGCTATATATATTGAAATCAGGAGCAAAAATGAAAAAAATGGTAAAAAAAAATTATAAAATGATCAAAAACAAATTTACCTTGTTTTTCAAAATTAAATGAAACTAAAAATTCAAAAAATGAGTAAAACATTTTCATTGTATTTAAAACTGGTTTCTGTTGTTGTTCACTACCATCATCTGTTGTTGTATCGATATCATTGATTGGTTTTAAAATTTGTTCATTCTGAAGAAAATAGATGGCCAATACAAGTATTTGAAAATTTGAAAACCAATTACCCGGAATAGATTTGACGACACCTAAAGGAAAAGTAAATCGATTAAATTTCATATATATGGTTAAATTATAACTAAACTCAATCAATTTACCATGTTGTTTTGACCAATATTTAAGAAAAAGTAAAAATTGTTTAATGTTTGGATGTTGTGAAACACAATAATGAAGATAATCAGCCATTAATAATCCATGGTGACCGGTTTCTGGCGATAATTCAATCGAAACATCAATATCGATAGGTGCCAAATCGAAACTCATCTTGACGATTGGTACTCTTGCCCTTAGTATTCGATTCACTTTGGATATATTTGGCATAAAATTACGAACAATATCGGCAATTAGTGATAAACATTGCTGTGTTTGATCACGTTCAGATTTCAATTCAGGCATAGCAAAATTTATGTCCCGATTTTTTCTCCATTGATGAGCATGTAAAATAGCCAAATCTAGATCACTGGTTGAATCGCCCAGACCGGCTAATGATGAACCAAATGGATAGATATTGAAATCAGCAAAAACACTATGACAAATAATGTCTTCCAATTGTGTGATTAGAAAATATCTGAGCTGCACATCTAATTCATTCAATGAATTCATTTCGGTCAGATGAGCAATCAATTGTTCATTGGTTGGAAATCTGTCCTTCAATTCAGAACAACTTAATGATTTTTTGAAATTCGTTCCAAGCTCATAATGTGATTTTGATGGTGTATGATGATGACCGGTGGTTGAAAAATTAGTCTCCATCATCCGTGTTCGAATGGGCAATGCATGTAAATTATATCCACAAATCGATTGAATTTTGGCCACATCATCTATTTTATTCAATCGTATCAAGACAAAATTTCGTCTCCGATAATTCCATGACCAAAATTGATCGATTTTAACATTCAAATGTTCACTTAAAGAAGGACCATTTATCATTGAAATGGAATTTTTCGTGGCCAAATTTTCTACCAATATCAATCGTTTGCTATCATTTTTGTTCGTTTTGATTAGATCATTGAAATTAATTCTACTTGAAAATGAACATCTTGATGAATTATTATTATTATGTAATATTTTACGATAAATAATATGTGATTGTCTTGAATGCATTTTTTTTTTGTTGAATAAATCTCATCACATCATCATGAAATATTTCATGTTGTTTGAACAATTCACACACATGTGTGTGTGTGCATGCATGAATTTACATTTCATTCATAAATATCGTTCTGATCTGACGCTTGCGCATTCTGGCGACATTTTTTTGCGAATAATTACATTTGAAAATCGGAAACTATGTATATATTTAATCATTAATCAATCAATAAAATTTAGATTTTTGATTGGAAATTAATTTTTTCAAATAAATAATTACCCTATTAATGTGTGTGTGTGTGTGTGTGCAAATGTACCTCACTGATAGAGAAATTTCCTGTGTAAAGGTCTTTTTTTTTTTTTTTTTTTTTAATACTGATGATGATAACCTTGAGTTGGTCGATTATTTTATTTTGTTGATTTGATAAATTGAAAAATTTCATATGATAAAAAAAAATAATCAAATTGAAATGAATATATATATAGAAAAAAACCAGGATCAAATGTAGCCAAAACGAACATCAGTGTTTTGTCTTTTTTTTTTTTTTTTTTTTTTGAATGAATAAATCAGCCACAATGTTGAATAGATTGTTATTTTATACAAATTTAACCCTACTATTCATCACCTGTTCTGTGATGAGCATCATACAATGGTTAAACTATATGATTACATCGAAAATAGATCGTAAATGGCAATTACGAATCAATTTTCTTATGCAAGAATTGATATTTTCTCGTAAGTTGAAATGTTTTTTTTGAATCAATCGATTATTTTTTGTTTGTATTGTTTGTAATTCACAGAATTTACAGTATGTCTTGAATGGTTCTGTCAAACTCGTATACGATTGTTTGTCAATAAAAGAAAAACGTTCGATAGTTATGGCCAAAAACCGGCATTAGTAATCAGTAATCATCGTTATCCAAATGATTTTATGTTTTTTCTCATATTTATCAAAATGTTTGGACCATTGGGAGCGGCCAAATCTTTTGTCAAATATGAATTACGTCATGTACCGATTTTTGGTTGGTCATTTTTGTTCAGTGAACATATTTTTCTCAAACGAGATTGGCAACAAGATAAGAAAAATATTTCAAATTCATTGAAAAATCTAAACAATTCGATTGTACCGATTTCTGTGTTTTTCATGCCTGAAGGAACGAGATTTACTCAAAGAAAACATGAAATCGGTATAGATTATGCTAAAGAAAACCAATTACCCATATTCAAACATCATCTGATTCCTCGTGCCAAAGGATTCAATTATATTCTACGATATATACGTGAAAATTGTAAGATAAATTTTTAAACAAAAATCACCTATCTGAACATTATTCACTGAAAAAAAATTTTTTTGTTTGTAGATTCCAACGATGATTTCAACATCTATAATATGGAATTGATCCAAGCACAAGATTCGGCTGATATTAATTGGAAAAATTTTTTTCTTTGTCAAAAATTATCTGCCGATTTTTATCTGGAACAAATCACTGCTAATCAATTACCGGAACCGGATGCCGATGATAGTAAATATACGGAACTTTTGTATGAAATATTTAACAAAAAAGTAAATCCATTAGATCATACTATAGTGGTGTTATAAAACAGTGATGAAAATTTTTTTTCTGCTTTTCAGGATCAAATTGTTGAACAACATCGGACACATTCATTCATACCAAATTGTGAGGTGATCATCAATCATCAACGATCCATTTTAACATTGTTACGTTGTATTGCCATGAATATAGTGATCGGTGGAAGCATTGTTTATTATTTATTCTATTATATAACATTTATCCTCCATAATCCGATTATACGTTGGATTTTTCTATTGATTAGCATCATAGGTAATGAAAAATTTGCGAAAAAAACCATTTCATTTCATTTTATTTTCAATTTTTCTTCACAGTAATTTACGCCCTATATATGGCATTTAAAAGTGCAAAAGTTTCGAATTATGGTGAAAAGAAAGCCAAAAAAATGAATTGATTATTGAACTGATAACAAATGATGATTTTTCATAATAATAATGCCTTATTCTAACGTTATTATCTCTTTATCTTTAAGATGATTATCGTCGTTATTATTATTATTAGTGGTAGAATCGTCGTTATTTTGTTCCGATTCTTGTTGCTGCATCGATAATGATGATGGTGGCTGTGGTAATGTTGATGACAAAATAGGAAATTGATCCACATCAATGGGTGCTGGAACCCAGGTTCTAAGATTACTTTCTTTTAATGTGGTGAATAATCCAATTTTAGCTTGGTGATATGTACGCGAAATATGTTTTACAAAATGATAATTTTTATCCACACAATTGGATATTGATAATTTTTCCACATTCATATCATCAGGTTTTTCGGTTAAATGTATCTCCTGACAAATATCCGGATAATTAGTGATTAGATTCATGAATCGTTCCAATAAATTTCGTTTTGATAAGCGAGAACTTTCATCATTGAAAAAATTTGTACCAGTTTCACAGCGAATAATTTCTATATCTTCAAATATTTGTTCAGAAGATTTCGGTTCCATATGGCTATACCAATTGTGTGAATACGATGGAATGAATGAAAACTATGGGTAAAAAAATAATATTAGCTTTGAATATTTTGAATTCACTGTAAATTTACTGTTGAGTCTTTGGATGAAAATGATAATTTATCATAAAATCCAACTTTACATTCATTGAGTCGGTAACCAGGTAGTTTTTCAAGTTTGCTGTTCATTTTTTCCTTATCAATACGTCCATGTAATGCGCGAACAAGATGAGTATAACGAAATAGATTTGAAACAACCAAACTTTCAATATAAATTGGTTCTAGAAACAGACTCAACAATGATCCTTGAATACCGACAACATTCCATAGGGCTATTTTATCCGAACATGACATGAATGTACAACGTTGAGTGGAAATAAGAATACCATCCCAGGTAGCTATGTAATTAGTTGGCATCGGAACAGTACCTTGTCCTTTTTCAATTTTACATCGTAATACTCCTTTGGGGACTTGATTATTTTTGAGATTTTCCTAGAAACAAAAAATGATTGAAATTAGCAACATTGGAAAAACAACAAACACATTATTTACATTGAAATTAAATACTCGTGCATCACCACATGGAGGTGATGTTATGAATAAATGCAATTTAAGATGGTTTTTCAATCGAAAACGTTTTCCACTCGAATCACTTGGCTCAAGAATGAACTCAGGTTTATCTAATGGGAAAAAGATTACCAGAATTTTCTAGCGATATTTTCACTCAAATTACCATTCAAATTGTTTGCCAATAAATTTTCCAAATGATCATATAAAACTTGTAATAAACTTCGACGAGCCATCACTTCGGCATGTGAATCATGTACAACATTACCATCAAGAGATAGATTCTCACTAGCTAAACATTTAGTTCCAGTTCCAATACATAAAACTTGAACACTTTTATCGATATCTGAAACCAGTACAAAGCCAGCCATTTCTTTGTATCGCCATAAATCCTGTTGAATAAAATTAAGTCTAGCACGTTCATCGGAGATCAATTTATTGATTAATTTGTTCAGGTTGATTGGATTGATTGTATCTGACCATTTTTCAAACACTTTTTCACAGATAAGTTGCGAAAAATCTGCATCTTGCATGAATTTTAATGTATACGATTTAAGTGCTGGTTCGATATTAATGGTTATATTAATGGATTGTTCATCATTATTTGCTTCGACTATTTCCGAATCTTGTTTAGGAATGAATTCAATCTCGTTTGGCAAAAACTCTTCTAAGGAAATTTCATTTTTTTCTGTTTGATTTTTTTGAACATATTCATCGAGACTCTTAGAAGCAGAATCACTATTTCTGTTTCGCTTTTTCTTTCGTTTATTCTTACTTTTCTCTGTGGACAATGGTAAGAATCGAGTAAAAAAGCTAATAGCATTTTGTGCGGCTTTTTGTTTGGATTCTTGTTTACTTTTAGCTTTACCAATAAAATTGCCAATATTTTGTATTGTTATCCACGTTTCATGTAAAGGATCATGAGCTTGGCCGATAGAACCTTTATCAATGATTTTAACAGCATTGCTATTATTTGCAAAAAGTTCATGTAGAACTTGGATAGGAGATTTGTCCAAAGAAAAAACTAAAATGAAAATACAAATATTAGAAAATAATTGAGTTTGATACAATAGAATTGAAATCACAATAATTTACTTGCTCTTAAGCGGGCAATAATTTCATCAATTTCTTCTTGACTCATTGTTATATTAATATCTTCATTTTCATTATTTTCATAATTTGTTTCGACAATTTTTCGTTTATTGTCATTTTCCTGTCGAACGTTTTGTATGAAATTCTCTAGAAGATTAACATTAGAACCACCGGAACACGTGGCATCAGTTTCCATTTTTTAATTGGAAGTGACGAAATGAAAAAATTTTGGAACGATTTTGGAAATATTCGGGATCGAGTAAAACAAAACGTACATCGTGACTCACTGGACAATCGATACAATCGAATAATTTCAATATTGTGAAACGAAAACGAGAAATCCACCGCGCGACCTAAAATCATTGTTTGAATTAATTACATGAAATCATCATTAATTGTAATGTAAAAAATCCATTATCAATGTTTTTATATGATGAAATCATTTGGTATAATTATAATCTTAGTAATTATTATAATAATTAATTATACACAATGTGATCGAAAATCAATAACGATACATATTCCATCGATTCCTATACAACATGTTGAATGTTGGCTCCATAATCAGCTCAATGTTGACAAACATAGACTGATTGATTATTGTCAAAATAATCATAGTAATTTAATTATTACTGATTTAACCAATGGTATGTCATCATCATTTTAATGATGAAAACTTTTATTCTTATGATTTTTTATTTTTAATATGATAAAGATGATGATGATTGGCAATATAAGAATCAATTTTGTCAAAAAACAATCACATCCTTTCATCGAAAAAGTCGTTTACCATGTTGGGGTTATGAAATTGATTCGGCCAACGTGAATGATTGTCTTCTATACAAACCTATCTGTAACGGTTCAAGTCAATCATGGGCAACCGATTCCGATGAACAAATGGACATATTTTTCAACACAGCCGATTTCGGCTATATTCGACAACAACGAAATGAACTTCAATATTATTGTCTTCCAAATTCACATAAACAAGCCGCTTCACTTGAATGTACTAAATATACACGATTTTGTCGTGCTAAAAACATTTTTATGAATTTTCGAAATTTACTTCATCTACAAGAACCGATCCGATACAGGGAAGATATACTTGATTATGGAGATATTGGTGGCCATGAATGTAATTATTTTCGCAATAGTCTTCTTAATGAAAATGGTCATAAAAGCCCATTGATGTCTTGGTTTGCTGAAATTTCTCAATTCCGTAATGTATCTCAACAACATTCGGTCAAATGTGATGTCAACTTTGATAAACCAACTTACATCATGAAATTGGATGCGACAATCAACATGTATCATCATTTCTGTGATTTTATTAATCTTTATCTTAGTTTCCATTTGAATGGTTCATTCAGTCGTGATAATCAAATCTTAATCTGGGATTCCTATCCATATCGATCAAATTTTGGTGTTGTTTGGCAGGCATTCACCCGAAATGAACTAATGAATCTATCCATGTTGAAAGGCAAAAATGTCTGCTTTAATGATGTTATTTTTCCATTATTACCACGAATGATTTATGGTTTATATTATAATATGCCATTGATTCCAGGCTGTAGTAATAGTGGAATTTTTCGTGCTTTCAATCGCCACTTATTATTTCATCTTAATCTTAAAGATTCTGAAAGTATTATTACTGATAATAATCTAGATAATGTGATAAATATAACATTCATCAAACGAAATACTCGATATCGACAAATACTGAATCAACAACAGCTAATCGATTCTTTAAAATCATATCTGAAAGCACAAAATCAAACGATCAAAGTAAACATTCGAATGGTTGATTTTAATCATCGAATGCCATTCATTGAACAGGTTCGTTTGTCATCCCAAACCGACATATTGATCGGTATACATGGCGCCGGATTAACGCATACATTATTTCAACCGGATTACGGAATTCTTTTTGAATTATACAATTGTGAGGATCATGATTGCTACAGAGATTTAGCTCGTTTACGTGGCATACATTACCTGACATGGCAAAATCAAACAAAATTCAAAATCATCACCGATGATTCGCAAAAAGCTGATCAACAAGCAATTGGAGCAGCACATGCCAAATTTGTTAACTATCAATTTGACCAGGATGAATTTGTCCGAATAACCTGGCAAGCCATCGGTTTGGTTCGTAAACGGAAAAAATTATTTATTCAGAATATTAAATATGAATTCATAAATCAAAATGATGATGATGATGATAATGTATTAAATGCTAATAAAGTTGAATTATAATGATAAAATTGGAATCGAATACAAAAAAAAATAATAATTATGTCAATTTGAAATTTTCTTTGATAAATTCAAACAATTTTTTATAATCTTTTTTTTGGCGATTTTCAAGGATTTCAGCAATTAAATCAAAACATTCATCCAATGTTGCCTCAATGTTTAGTTTGTCACTGATATTAAGATCATGAATTTTTTTACATACATTTCGTATTGAATCGCTATTTGTTTGAATTCGTGATAGAATTTTATTCTTTTCTGCAAACATTTTTTTGATAATTTTTTCTGTCGATGATATTTGAAGATAAATGTCGATTTCTTGTTTCTGTAGAATGTCATATTGGTTCATTAGATTCATCAGACTTTTTTGCATATAACATTCATTCTCTGTCAACAAATCAATGGATTTCATATCACAATTGAGTGTTTGTAATTGAAAGCTATCTTCGATTTTCTTCATTTGACCATCATTGATCGATGTAGTGATGGATTTTTTTGGCTCAATGTTTCCATTCAAATTCAAAACAAAATTATTTGTAGCCACATTCATTTTGTTCATGTTTTGTTTTTTATACTTATTTTTTATGATACCATTTTGTGATTGTTTCACCATTAATCGATTACAAACGGTATTCGCATTTTGTGATTGAAAGGTGACCTTTTTCGATTCTATGGTTTGAAATTCATCATCAATTGAATAATATGGAACGCATTTGATAATAAAATACATACCAGTTTTAAGCGATGATGACATGTCCATATTGTCGTTACTCGATTGAGCGAATGATGATTGTAGATCTACAAGTGAATCTTTATCATTACCAAACAACATGCTTTCCATTTGTTCGATGGTCACATTGCTTTTTTCCAATTGTTTTTTAATCAATGGGCAACGTTGAACACTTCGATGATGGGTATACATGTTTTTCGTATTACCAAAACCATCACAACCTGGTGTTGGACATTGTTTCAAATGATTTTGATGTTGTAATTCAATAAAACGAAGACTTAAAGGACAACCGGAAAGGCTACGATGTGTAGAGAATAGGCCAGATATATGTCCACTTCCATCACATCCTTGCATTGGACATTGATTGTCCATTGTGATTATGTTTATTTGGATAAAATGTAAAAACAATTGCTAAACTGTTGGTCGTGGAACAAAGTGGTGGTGGCCATATAAATATAAATAGCTCTAAAATAAAATAAAAAAAATCCTGCAACACAATGATAATCACAGGACACAATTTACATTTCTTTGAATAATTACTATATATGGTTAAAACAATTTGATAGCAATACGAAATATGAATAAAATCAAAAAGATTGTATTGAAATTAATTGTTTTTTTTTTGGTGGTGAGTAGTCGGACCTGAACCAAATACGACTAATGAGAAAATGGAAGAAATAAAACAAAATTTTGATTCATATCAAAAAGAATCTATCTTTATGGTGATTATCATCAAAAAAAAAAAAAAAAAAAATTTTGTACAGTAAAAAATATAAGGAATTTGTTTTTTGTTGTTTAAAAGTTTGATGATTAGATGTGTAATATGATTGTTACCGACAAAAATTTTTATTCACACACACATTCAACAGAGAATGATAGAAATGAACAAATAAAAAAAAAAATCCAAATTCCGTTCTTTATGAACATTGATACATTCTACCTATGTATTTATAATGTGCTTGCTGCTTTGCAGCACACAATGAGTGGAGAATTTGTAAGCGAAAACAAAAATTAGCGGTTTTTAGTCGACAAAACAACTATAATATCATCGAAATATCATTCGTGTAGCCATTGAATTCGATACAATTATTATCAATTGTCATCATACATTATGCCATATGCCAATCAATCTTCAGTTTATATTCCTGAAAATGGAATCCTTGAAGATAGTTTTAAATTTCAAATTTATGAAACCGATCTATCTGTGGCCAATGCATTACGGCGAATTTTCATTTCTGAAGTTCCAACATTAGCCATTGATTGGGTTCAATTGGAATCAAATTCAAGTGTTTTGAATGATGAATTTATTGCTCATCGTTTGGGTAAATTCAAAATGATTTCGTTTGAAAAGAGGGCTAATTTTTTGTTTCATCTGTATTCATAGGTTTAATACCACTCACTTGTGAGGATGTTGTCGATAAAATTCAGTATTCAAGAGAATGTACATGTACGGATTTTTGTAGCAATTGTTCAGTTGAATTCGTATTGCATGTTCGTTGTGATACGGAAGAAACTCGAGCAGTAACAACGGCCGATTTAAAATCCAACGATCCACGTGTTGTGCCCGTTTCATCAAGAAGTCAGACAAATGAAGAATACGGTGAACCGGAAGGTGATGAAATATTAATTGTTAAATTACGTCGTGGTCAAGAGCTAAAAATTCGAGCCTATGCACGTAAAGGTTTCGGAAAAGAGCATGCAAAATGGAATCCAACTTGTGGTGTTGCATTCGAATATGATCCGGATAATGCTTTTCGTCATACTACATTTCCAAAACCAGAAGAATGGCCACGTAGTGAATTTAGCGAATTTCCAGATGATGATCCACGATATGAAGCTGAATATATTCGCGATGGAAAACCAACAAGATTTTATTTCCATGTCGAATCAACCGGAGCATTGAAACCTACTACATTGGTTAAATCTGGTTTAAAAGTATTGAAAAATAAATTATCCGATCTATTGACACATCTTTCACATGAAGTAAACAATGATGGTCTTACTATCACACAAGATTAATAAATAATAAATTTTTATTCATTCAAAAAAAATTCATTTCTGATATTCCATTAAAGATTGATTAATTTTTTGTAACAAAATTTTTCTTGTTCAAATTGTCTATCCGATAGAATTTGAATGTTTAAAGGTCGTTTATATTTTATTTGAGATTCAAGGTTGTGGACTCGTTTTGTTTCTTGTGGATATAATCGCTGTACGTAATTAATGTTCATTTTGTGTTTGATACCAAAATGACTGGCAACCATTCCTGGATGGAATTCTTTTTGCTGAAAATATCCACGATCTGGATGATCTTTTTCATAATTAAGTAATGCTTTATCGATTTTTTCATGTTTCAATCGTCCATCATTAATTTGATTAATGAAATCGATTGAGTATAAAGTTTTCTGGTGATGAAAAAAAAAAAGAATATTTTAAAAATGAATTCAACACAATAATATAACATAATGATAAATGTGTAATGGATACGAACAAAAAAGTTTTCTTTGTGGTCAAAAGAAATTATATGCCAAAAAATGTATTTAGGTGCATAGAACAGATCGCATAGATTACATTTATATTCAACCATTTTGTTCTCATTGTCTCTATATTCTTCAATCTGATCGATGCCAACAATCGGTTTGATTCGTGTACGACGCAATAATTGACACATATCATCATGAACATTAGTAATATGTGCCTTGACACTGTTCCAATTCGATAATTTTATGTCACAAATCTAAATGGTAAAAAATATCATTTCCACTGTTAAAAGCAATCATAACATCGACATTGATACATTACTAACCACACAGACAAGATGACGATATCCTTTTTCATCGACATTAGTACGAATACCATTATGAAGATCATGAATGACATATTCATTTTTCTTTGAATCATGTATATTATGTATAAAATCTTTATCTCGTTCCCAATCTTGATTGAATGTTGAGAAAATTAGAAAAATTAAATTGACAATTAAATCTAAAACTTACCAATTTCTTCAATTTTATTGGGTAAAATACGAAATTGTAAGTAATCATCATTGAAAACAAAAGACATATTTTATTACAAATTGGAATATTATGAACGATCAAAATAAGAATTTGGAAAAAATTTTTTTTTTGCATCTGCTGCTACAATCACGTTTGATTTGAGACAGAGATTTTTGTTTGTTTGTTTGATGACTGCTCAATAAAATTTTCAAAAATTTTCTAAGTCCAAATCATTTTCAATAAAATTTTCAAAAAATTTTCTAAGTCCAAATCATTTTCAATAAAATTCGATTTTTTTCATTTTTTCATACAATGAAATTTATACGTGGAAAATTGTTAAAAAATTCGATTTTTTTCATTTTTTCATACAATGAAATTTATACGTGGAAAATAAATTTTATTGTATCAGCTTGTTAAATTGATTTCTGATTAATCATTGTATTTTTCATTTTGCATTTTTATTAATCAATTCATCCAATTCATCAAATTAATTAATTTCAATTTCAATATTATTATTAATAAATAATTTGAAACATAATTGTAAGTTGTAATTCTTTAGCGATTGACACGCTCAATGTTTTATTCCTTTCGTATTGAATTTTTTTCCAGTTTTTGGAAAAATGGACAAATTGTCAAATAATGACAAGCGATACATTCGCGAAAATTTGGTCAAAATAAGCGAGCAGATTCTTTGCAAGAAGCCAAGAGCGCAAATAATCGCCGCTTATTCTCGGCTAATTCAAAGAATGTGGGGAATTGCCGAGAAAAATGAAATATTATGAACGATCTAAATAAGAATTTGGAAAAATTTATAGTAAGAATGGTGGAAATTTTTCATAAAATCGATTGATATGAGAGACAGAGAACTAAAATGATTTTTGTTTGTTTGTTTGATGGCTCAACAGAGTAAAAATAGTCGATTTAAGAATGAGAAAAATTTTTAATTTTTTTTTACCCATCTGCTGCTACGTTTGAAATCAATCAATCAATCAATAATACATCAATTAGAGATTGATGGATAAACGAAAAAAAAATCGAAATAAAATGAAGAAATGAATTGATTAGCAATATGGATGATTTTTTTTTAAAATTCAGATGGTGGCATAAAATAGGTTGCATTCTCAATGGTCTTTTTGGCCATCTTACGATTGACCGAAACATTTGGCAATGATAATGTGATTGAAGCCAATGTGCTCATCGAAACCAATGCTGTATCGAGTAGTGTTGATGCAGCTGCCATTGGACAATAACGAATTTCACTATTATATTTAATACCACGTTGAATATAGCTACTGATGGTCATCAAAGAATCACCAAGTATACTTAGATATGATTGAGCATCAATCAATTCAGTACCGATATAATGTTTTTCACCTTCAATTGATGATGTTTCTGTATTGATGAAATTCTCGCCATACGTTTTATCCAATGTTTTCGTTATAGGCAATGTAAGACTACCAAGAACAATTTCTGGTTTCAGATCTTCATCATCATAATCATAAATGGCACCCATATTAAAACCGATACCATATTTAGTCATTAATTGTGCTTTTCGAATCCATTTATCTTTTTCCATTTTTGGTAACGTATGCCAAATGCCGCCCATTTTTTTCGATAAATTACAGAAATCCAATTCTGGATAATTGGATTGTATATGGCTTCGATTCTCTTTACACCAAAGTACATATGCAGATACTGCTGGTTTCTTTACTGTTTTAATAGTCTCTTCATTATTATTATTATTATGATGATTTTCCGTTTGTTGTTGTTTGATATTAGCTGAATCTAATTGTTTTTGTCGTAATTCATCTTTAAGTTGTTGCTGTTGTTGCATTTGAAGTCGTGCACGATTAGCCTGATTAATTCGACGTTGTTCCTGTATGGATCGAGGTAAAATCTGTCTGGATGCTATGATTGTATTGATCTTAGGTGTAGAAGTTGTAAATGATTTATGATTTAATAATCTATCCTGATTCATCGTTGTTTTATCCGATATGGGTGAAAGTGTACTTTTAAATAATGTCTGTTGTTGTTGTTGTTGTTGCTGTGGCAATGATTGTTGTTGATTTGCTATAATTCTTACGACAGGTGATTGATTATCTTTCGATTGAATATGAATGTTGTGTTGAATAGGAGATTTTGTCTTTTCTTCAGGTTCATTTGGCTTAATTCGTTTGACATCAGCTGTTGAAACGGTATTTTCATGAGGACGTTTTATTGAATCATTATTTACTCGGAAAATCAATGATCCAATTGTTGGTGATGATTTTGCCGCTGGTATTACATTTGGTCTAATCTGGATAGGTGTAGTGGTGGTGGTAGTAATGATAGCTTGATTATTGGTTATTGGAATCGGTTCAGCAACAACGGTAATCTTTGATGGTTGCACTAGCTGTTGATTATGATTGGATAGATTCAATTTCAGCCGTATATTATTTGGTGCAACATTTTTAATGATATTATCATCGGATAAAGTTGTATTCAAATCATTACCAATGATTGATATTTTGCCTGGTTTTGGTCCACTTTGTCTTGGACTTTTACCAATTGTTTCGGTTTCCATTTCCAAAAGTTTGGCACTTTTTTTCAACACTCTTCCCGAACGTGAAATAGCTGGTGTTGTTTCCATTTTCAAATCGTTTTATCAAATTTTATTTATTCCGATGTTTTGACAACGAAATAATAATAAATGTGGTTATATTTTTGCACAGCAAGCGCTCAAACATTAATTGTTGTAGTGATATCACGTGATGATCATCGATAGTTGATCAATCGATTGTTATAAAGTGTTGTGACTTTGTTGACTTTTTTTTTGTTTTAGTATTCAGGCTGATTCGTTTCCACATTTGTTAACCGGGTACGAATTGAATCAAGAAAAAAAACCACAATGGGAAATATTGGATTGACAAAAGATCATATGAGTTTGGAAAAATATACGTTTCCATATCTACGCAAAGATAATTATCCATCGGATCGTGTTGAATCACCATACGATCCATTAGAAGGATTTCCAAATGGCCGTAAAACTCGAGGTAAGGTTACAGTATTTTATATAATCATCATCATTTTTGAATGATTTTTGTTTTGTTTTATTTTCAAGTCATGATCGCCACCCAAGAAGAAATGGATTCAGCAAAAGTGCATCCAAAATATCGTGATTATTGTGCACATAAATATATTGAATATCAAGCTTGTTTGAAAAATAATCGTCCATTTTATTGGCGATGTAAACATGAACGTCATGAATATGCGGAATGTGAATTTGAAGATGCCGTTATACGAATGAAAGAATGGGAAAGAGAACGTCGTCTTAAGGAACGGGAAAAAAGACAAGCAAGAAATCTTTGAAACAAATTGAAATTGGATCATTAATCAAATTATTGAATTTTGAATGTATGTGTGTAGTGTAAAAGAATTTTACTTGTAATAAACAAAAATTAAAAAAAAATTGTATTTGTAATTGAATTGAAATAAAATTAAAATTAAATCCAGAAACAAGACGAAGAAATTCTAATGAGAAAAGTTTTTTCAGAAAAATATTTTCTAGAAAAATTTCTCATTCTCATAATTTGAAGCTAGTGTTTTTCACGAAATAAAATATCATCGATCGAAATTGAATTTTCAAATGGAATGATTGATCTTATCATCATCATTTCATTTATGTTGCTACGCGTGTAACGTAATGCAAAACGGTATGTGTAAATATACAATTTCAAATACAACCAAACAAACAAACATCAGACAAACATCGCTCTATGTGGTAACAAGTTGTATTAAAATCAAGGACAACGGGGATTTCACTTATTGCCACTGGCGTTTTGATTAATCAATGGTTATATTGAACACATTCGTATACGTTTTTAACATTGTATCCAATATTTTTTTTGTCGCTATTTGAAAATCAAACAATATGACTGGTCAATTTCGATTGTTGACAATAAAAACATCGATTATTAGATCGTTTTCATTTCGATCGTATTCGAAAAGTCAACAACAATTTTCTAAAATTGTTTCCAATGCCGAAGAAGCTGTCAAAAATATTCCCGATGGTTCACGATTAATGGTCGGTGGTTTTGGCCTATGTGGTATACCGGAAAACAGTATTCGTGCTTTGGCCAAATTGAATAAACAACGATTGACTGTCATATCGAACAATGGTGGTATTGATGATAAAGGTTTAGGTCAATTATTACTAAATAAACAATTGAAACGTATTATCGGTTCGTATGTTGGTGAAAATCGAGAATTAGAACGACAATATCTGAATGGTGAAGTGGAAATTGAATTCGTACCACAAGGTACGCTTGCCGAACGAATACGAGCACGAGCGGCTGGAATTCCTGCATTTTTCACGCCAACTGGCCATAATACACAGATTCATCTGGGCGGTGTTCCCATACGTTATAATCCGGATAAAACGGTGGCCGAATTAAGTCGACCGAAAGAGGAAAGAATTTTCAATGGGAAACCATTCATAATGGAAGAAGCATTGACAGCCGATTATGCATTGATTAAGGCATGGAAAGCTGATCATGAGGGAAATGTTGTTTTTCGTAAGACAACTGCCAACTTTAATATTCCAATGTGTAAAGCAGCTGATCATTCGATCGTAGAGGTGGAAGAAATTGTCGATGTTGGGCAATTGAATCCGGAACATATTCATGTACCATCAATTTATGTGAAAACAATTTTCAAGGGAGAACATTTTGAGAAACCGATTGAAAAAATGATATTCCGTGAAGAAGGTTCAGGTGGAACATCGAAACTTGATACGGTTCGTGAACGGATAGCCCGACGAGCAGTTTTAGAGCTTCAAAATGGGATGTATGTTAATCTTGGTATTGGTATGCCTGTTTTAGTTGCAAATTATCTGCCCGAAAACATGAAAATCACATTCCATAGTGAGAATGGCATTCTAGGAATGGGTCCATATCCATTAAAATCGGAAATCGATCCAGATCTAATAAATGCTGCAAAAGAACCAGTAACATCTATTCCCGGTACATCATATACATCATCCGATGAATCATTTGCCATTATTCGTGGTGGTCATCTTGATGTGACCATGTTGGGCGCCATGCAGGTAGGATTCTTTTTTTACAGATCTTAAATGCTAAAATCAGAATCTATTTTCTTTATGTTCAAGGTATCACAATATGGTGATTTAGCCAATTGGATGATTCCAGGTAAACTGGTCAAAGGAATGGGCGGTGCTATGGATCTAGTTTCATCACATGTATCAGGAACTCGTGTTGTAGTCACAATGGAACATAATAGTAAAAATGGTGAATCGAAAATTGTCTCCAAATGTTCATTACCGTTGACTGGACAGAATTGTGTCGATACAATCATAACGGAAAAGGCCGTTTTTCGTGTCCACCCTGAAGATGGACTAACTTTAATCGAAATAGCCGATGATCAAACTGTACAAACAGTGACCGATGCTACTGCTGCGAACTTTAAAATTGCTTCCGATCTTAAACCTATGCAACAAGTTTGAATGAAAAATATTTTATTTTTTTTAAGAAAAACCAACAAAAAAAAGAATCAAATCCAAACAAAAAATGCTAATTTCGAAAAAACAATAAACAAGTGATGATTACATAACATTTTGTAAAAGTTTTGCATGAGAATTCCATTTAATTTCCACCTTTGATGGTGGCTGTAACCATGGTTCACCATCAATTTGCATTGGTAAATGTTCATCGAGCCATAGTTTAACTTGACTAGCTTGACCAAGGAATATCGGTTTGGATAATCCCATCATAACTTGTCCAATATGAAATGAAGATGTGAGTCCAAGAATTTCCATTCGTGAATCATCAAAACGATTTATCTCGCCGACCATTCGAACACCGCCACCCCAACTTTGAATATTCAATACGACAATCGATTCTAATTCGGGCAAACAAACATTTTCGCCATCCAATTCAAGACGAATTTTTGTCTGTAAATTTTTACATCTTCTTTCCCATAAATCTTTCGTGCCGAATGTAAAATAGATGAACTTGTTGATGAATGTATTGCTGAATTTGAAAATGAAAAAAATGCATAAATAAATAAAATGCCAAAACTTTGAGAAATTGAAAAAAATAATACCTGAATAAGAAATTATAAATTTTTGATTTTCTTGTTTGATGAAAATTCAATGCTACCAATGCATCAACACCGATGGAGAAATAATTATACATGAAAAGATTTCGATTACCCAATGGCATAATTGATCGTGGAATTCTTAATGATTCAATTAAAAGATTATATGATCGATGATAGTAATCAATCTGTTCAATTTCGATTGACCATCGATCCAATTTAATTGGACGAGCATTATAAACTGATTGAATGATCTCATGATGGTTGACATTTGAAGCTGAATCGAAAATATACGACCAGCCAAGTACTCGAGCCAAATCATTTCCAGTTCCAAGTGGAAAAATGGCCACCAAAGGTGATGGATTCAATTTTAATTGATGAATAGTGTTCAATACCCAGCCAATGGTTCCATCACCACCTGCAACCAATATTCGAACGGTAATGTTTTTAGGCAACATTCGACACATTTGTAGACTTAGCTCCAATAGGTTGGACTTATCACTCAAATCGATCACTTGTAATGGATTCAAAATGGGCAGAAATTTTGATAAAATAGTACCGGCATCATTGTTACCGGATTTTCGGTTAGCAATCACTAATAATGGTGACCATTTGGGTTCTTTGCTGGAGAAATCTCGAATCTCATCCAATGCAATAGCTTTACCCTGTGATGTTGTCCATACTCTACGGTGAATAATATAATGTGGTGGTATGATCAGATAACGGTATTTACCAAAATCACAGTTTCCTTCGATTTCGTTATTCGAATCTGATTTATGAAAACAATTTTCATGTACTGTTCGTTGACACCAACAACAACGATAATGATATAATGTATGTTCGGCCATCGATGTGTCACCAGATTCTTTTCCCATCATTTCATCATCTTCCTCACAATATCGATGACAAATGAAACATTTTGAATGTGATGGAATGTTTCCATGTACCCAATGATGTTTGAATTGATTTGAATTTTCTTTAGTGCGTGATATCGAAACACGTTTACAATGACTAAGTGGTTCGAGTATCGAATTTCTTTCGGAACTTTTCATCAGATGAAAATATTTAGATCGTGTTACATGATCATAGCATTGAAAATCTAAACAAACACCACAAGAATCACAGTACATTGCATCAACTATTAATGAACGACATAGGCAGCAAGTTGATGCTCGATGTGTTAAACATTGTATTAAGCTCCATTGATGAGCACGGATACCATTCCAACTGGCCGGTATAACACGAATCTGTTGTTCACGTGTATGACGCCAGAATTTAAGTAGTAACCAAACAGTGGTGATAAAACCAGCAAAAATAGGAATCTGATAATACCAGACATTGAAATTATCGAATGATAACATGTTTAATACAGAATCATAACCAAAATGAATGAAATAATAACGAAATGGACGATAACGATATGTAATCGAATGTCGTTTAATAAGATTACCTTGACGATTATCACAAAGACAAATTTTAATTTAATTATCAATGATAATGAAAGAATAATGATTTTTTACTTTGGTTTTTATGCCTTTTGGAATCGTTTTCAATATCTTCGCAATTGGATAGAATGGAAAATCGAAAATTGATTGTTGGTATCCAATTATGGAACATGATGATTATTTATAAACATTACTCACATCATTTAAGATGATTCAAGTTATTGATGATGATGATGATGATGACATTTTTAAGAAAAAAAAACATTTACCTGCTGTTTCATTATGCAATATGATTGGAAAATCTAAAAGAAAAAGTTTCCCTAAATACCAGAAAAATAGTTTCCGGAAATTTAAAAATTCGAATTTTTATTCTATACAAATGATTACAATTGAAATCTAATAATTATGATCATGATTTATTATCAATGATTATTATTGTTTAGTTTTTTAAAGATTTAAAATCAGCACCAATTGCATCGTTGACATTTTTGAATCCATCTTTTGCCAACATGTATGCCAATTCATATTTGACTTCACGAACGATGGGTGGTCCCTAATTCAAATGATAACAACAACAAAAAAATTGTAATTAAAAATTGGACAAATATTTTCTCGGAAAAAAATTCTTACAAAATAAATCATCGATGTATAAAGTTGTACCATAGATGCACCGGCTTTTATTTTTTCATATGCATCTAATCCGGTTTCAATGCCGCCAACACCAATAATCGGTATTGATCCATTGGTCAGACGATACATTTTTCGTATCATTTCGGTGGATAATTTTCGCAATGGTGGACCACTTAAACCGCCTTCTTCTTTTACCAGTCTTGCTGGGCTTTTTAAATCTGCAGGTCGTGTAATAGTCGTATTCGATATGATCATACCATCAATTTGGCCATGTGTTTGAGTTTCATTCGAATATTTAAGCATAATTTTCCCGATATCATTAATTTGATCATCATTTAAATCGGGTGAAAATTTCACCAATAATGGTTTATGCAACTGATTTTTCTGTTCTAATTCTTTTTTCACACGAAGCACACGATCCAATAATTTGTTCAATTGATCTTTACCTTCTAAATTTCTTAGATTAGGCGTGTTTGGACTGGAAATGTTGATGACAAAATATTTAATTTCATTTTTAACATGAAATCTTTGCAGTCCGATGATATAATCTTGGATTTTATCTTCAGTGAGTTTATTTGCACCAAGATTAAGGCCAACGATAATGTTTTGTTTATCAATAATGGATTCTTGACGTGATAGATTCGTTTCCATTCGATCATGGCCATAATTATTAAATCCATAACGATTGATGACAGCACGATCTTTTGAAAGACGAAAAACTCGTGGCAAGAAATTGCCTTTTTGAGGTTCCGGTGTTACGGTTCCGATCTCAAGAAATCCGAAACCAAATCCGGATAAACTTTTGATGGCTTCACCATTTTTATCGAATCCGGCTGCCAATCCAACGGGATTATCGAATTCAATATTCCATAATTTTGTTTTCTATAAAGATCAACAACAACAACAAAAACAATCTTATTTCAAATAAATGTGATGGATGATGATTGTGGTCATTTACCAGAATGGGCTTGATATCCTTATCTTCGGGTATTCGTGGAACTAATCCTACACGAGCGGCTGTAATGGCAACAATATGTGATTTTTCTGCATCCGGATACATTAGATGAATAATAGGTATAACATGACGACTCCATAAACGATAATCACCATGATACAAATTATAGCCTATGACAAATAAAATTAATTATTATTTATCAATCATCAATCAATCAATTTATATTCGATTTGATTATACTGACCGTAAAAACAGACGGTAGCACCCAGGCCGACAGTTACCAATGATTTTAATTTCTAAAAAACAATTGCAAATACACATACACATTGATTATTTTGTGAACAAGTAACAATTAACCAAAAAAAAAAAAAACAACCAACCAACCTTCGACATAATTTTTTAAAAAAATTCGAACACGATCATCATTGGTGATATGGTCACATGTGGTACCGTACTATATGGATAATCCATTGTTTATAAAAAAACGCGCAAAAATATCAATCAATCCTTTCATTTCTGCCATCTTTTCGCATGCACAAACAAACACAAACACAAACACACACACACACACACGCAACAATATTGGCCGCGCTGATCAATAATTTTATGGCTCGTGTTCGACGATTTTGAGTTCAAGATGTCGCTCGTTTTTTAATTTTTTATAATAATAATAATAATAACAATCTTTTTAATTTTATCATCAAAAAGAAAAACTGTTTCATCATCATCATTAACACGATGAAATGAAAAATTGTTCCATAATTTGAGCATTGTTATTTGATTGTTGTTCTTCCTTTGTTCGAATTTTTTTTTTTTTTTTTTTTTGAAGAATCATCAAGAATATTTCACCGCCAACAATATAACAAAATATGCTCAATGTTCAACAACAACAACAACAACAACCACCACCACCACCACTAACGCCGCGTACGGCACAACAGCTACAAAATTTGATTGATTTCGAACAAAATGATTCCGGCTATATTGGTCTATTCTTAAGACATCGACAAAATTTCGAATGGTTTGATAATGATTTTAATCGTCAAATTCATTATGAACTTAATCCAAAATTATTTGCCATCAATGAACCATATCTAATGAAAACAGAACGTGATTCATTGATGAAGTTAAAAAAATTGGATGAAGAATCAATCACCATTGATGATAAGAAAAAACCAAATGGAACATTACGGAAAAGGAAAAAAAATTTGGACAAAAAATTGGCTCTTTTGGATGGTAATTTTGGTTCAACAGAAGAAAAATTGATGGTCACTAATTTGATTGAAAAATATCTTATCATTGACAACGATTGCAGTGGTAGCGGTGGTGGTGGCGGGAAAAAGAATGCAAAAAAAACATTGCTTAAATCGATCAATCTAAAGGAAATGAATTCCAATCTTGAAGCTCAATCATTTGTAGATTCATTATTCTGTAATCGTTTTGAATCACTCAATTATCGTACTAAATTACTTTGTAATCCATTCTCCAAAACAATCAAAACTAAATTTGGTCTTTCGAATTTTCTTATTCCACCACGATGTTCATTTGCCGGTATCGATGTTATTGATGGTGTTAAAATGTTGACCCGTTATCTGAAACGAACATCGATCGATACGACCAGTTCATCCAAATCATTAATATGTACGAAGAATCCATTCATATTTATCATGGATCCAGCATGGGATAATAATAAATCTGTAAAAAGAAAACGTACATATGAAACTGTTAGTCTTGATTATATGAGACGTCTTTGTCAAGAATCAAGAATTCTTTTGGACATAATTGACAGTCTAAAGCAATCATGTCCTAAACAGAAAATGTTGAAAAAAACATCATCATCATCATCATCATCGATTGTTTGTGCTATTTGGACAACAAATCTGGACAAAGATTTTGTTATTGATGAAATGTTACCATTATTAAATCTACGATTATCACATGTACTAAAATGGCATAAAGTAACCAAAATTGGTCTTCCGGTCAAAGTACATGGTGGACAAGAATATCTAATTTTGGCAACGAAATCATCAAAAAACAATAATAATGATGATCAAAAATCATCGATGAATCATAATAATAATAATAATAATCAACATCAAAACGGTATAATTGTATCGATACCATCGGCCATACATTCACATAAACCAAGTATATTGCCAATCATTCATCGTTTGTTTGATTTCAATCATCATAATGATTCAGCTGATGTTCATCATGATCTAACATTACATTGTTCAATGTCTATGTCGAAATGTTCGAATGTTGAAGCTACAGCCACCGCTATTAAAAATGATGATAATGATTCAAATAATCATTATTGGCTAGTTGCCAATGAATTTATCAATTATCTTTGTGGTATTGAATTGTTTGCCCGTTATTTACAAACAGGCTTTCATTCAATCGGTTATGAATGTATTAAATTACAGAATGAAAAATTATTTGGACATAATGATGATTGTTGATTGACTAACGGATTTCAGGTGTTTGTATGGTGCCTACATGATGTATTCATTTATTCATTCATTCATTCATTCATATAATAACTGTACGTTTGATTTACGATTATTGATTAATAAAATTTTTGTTGATTTCTCTTTTTTTCCAAAAAAAAAAAATAAAATAATTGATTTTTCACCATTTAAAAAAATTCACTTTTAAAATTGTGTTACGTCCTATTTGTATGGTCAAAGTATTTGTAGCGCGATGAGTTTTTTTTTTGGCACACAGAATTTTCCAGGGCCAAGTTGGAACCTGCACACAAACACACACACAACGTATTGTCATATGCTCGTGATGTGATTCCATATTTTTTTTCCAAAATTTTGGAATTAAAAATTTTTTCCGAAAAAAAAAAATCACGATTTATTGTGATCAATTGATGTAGAAATCAATTGTCTTTTTTTGAATCAAATAAACCGGATATATCAACAACAAGAAAAACGTTCTCTCATTGTGCCTGCTACCCAAATTTTATCATATATTCAATGACACTTGGTAATTTTTTTTTTTTGTTTTCCATTTTTCAAAAAACAATGATAATGAATGAAAATTTTTCTTCCAGATATACTTCCAATTTTTTGTGATTGAGAATGCCAAAATCAAATTCAACGATCGAATGAATATATTTTGTTGTTTGGATATAAATGGTGAGAAATCCAGTTTTAATCAACCAGTTTTATATGATATATGCAACATCTTTATTTTTTTATTCGTGTTCAGATTTTTTTTCCTTCTAATTCAATTCGTAAATGTAAAAAAAAAGATATTTTAAATACTTGATCATCATTACATTATCCAACTTGAATGGTTTCCTCTGATATTACTGTTCTGTTCTGTTTTGTTCGAATTTAAATTTTCAAACTGTATATATATATATACAGACATCAAGTCAACCCAAATGAATGATATGATGAACCAACCAAGTGGTTAATAAGCCGATAAACCGGTAGCAAAATTTTAAGTGATGGAAAAAAAGTATAAAACAACTTTCACCCTATGTGTCCAATTGTCATCATTATCATTATATTTATGTATCTTGAATTATTGATTATTGATAATCCATCAACCGATCATGAAGAAAGAACAAGAAAAATAAATACACCAATCTATTGATTCTTAGATATAGCAAAAATCTTTAAATCCACATTTTTAATCCGGTTTTGATCATTCACTCTTCTATCTATCTATTGTCAATTTGAATTCATTCGTCCATCAATCAATCAATCAATCACCTAATCTATTCAGCCACTGGATGCAAACATTTTTTTGGATACAAACGCCATAGTGTTTTGATGGAAAAAAGTATACAACAACTTTCTCCCTATGTGTCCAATTGTCATCATTATCATTATATTTATGTATCTTGAATTATTGATTATTGATAATCCATCAACCGATCATGAAGAAAGAACAAGAAAAAATGGCAAAACATACACCAATCTATTGATTCTTAGATATGTCGCTGTTTTGTTCGAAAGAAAACAAAAAATCTTTAAATCCACATTGACCAACAATAAGAAAAACAAGAAGAGACAAAGTTAGAAAAAATCGAACGAGAACCGGCTTACCACTGCCATCCGGTTTTGATCATTCACTCTTCTATCTATCTATTGTCAATTTGAATTCATTCGTTAATCCATCAATCAATCACCTAATCTATTCAGCCACTGGATGCAAACAGATCCAAACAAAGATTTCAAAGATTGTTTTTAGATAGTCAGTTGATATGAAAATATCACCTTTAATACCAGAAAAATAGTAAGAGTGTGGTGGTTAGAAGAAATAATCTCTCTCTCTCTCTCTTTTTTCAACCTGCAACAACCGTCTCTTTATTGCCATCTTTTTTTTCCTCTAAATATCATCGACATATCACAGCATATAACAGCAGCACACAGACACACAGATATTTAACTTTTTTTTTCGCCAAACACTAAAACGTCACCGCTAAAAACAACTATATAAAATAATAATAAAAAAAAACTAAATTCAAGTTTTTTGCATCGTCGTTTTTTTTAAAGAAGAATTTTCAACCAAACAATCATCATCATCATCTATATCCAAAACATATGTAGTGTTTGTTGTTTGTCGTTGCTACTACCTCGAACTATAACGACCAAGTACGACGATTATTATTATTATCATACATACACCGAACAACCATTTACTACTATACCAACCATATAGACACTTGTAGCAAAATTGATTTAAACACATTTGTCTGATATACCAATGAAAAGACAAGTTTGAATGAAAGAAAAATAAAGAGAGAGAGAGAGAGAGAGAGATAGAGTCAACCTCGCACAGCAAAAAACTAGATCCTCATCATCATCATCAGCAGATCATACACTGGCAAACCAAACCAAAACCAAACTATCCTCGACAAACACAAATACCATCTCAATAAATATTAAAAAAAAAAATTTATATCCTCTCTCTCTCTCTCTCTCTCTCTGTCTTTCTCTCAACGCTAAACATCATCATCATCATTATTCGCCGCCATACCATCATCATCATCATTCATATATTCCACGTCGAAAGGTATGTATTTGTTAATAATAATCATCATCGTCATCATTATTATTAATCGTATGGTCCGTTTTTTCTCAATCCTTGTTTGTGTGTGTGTGTGGCTGCGTGTTTTCTTTTTTTGAAGTTTAAATATTCTTTAACAATTGTTTTTTTCTTCTTTTTTTTCAATTATTATAAATAAACCGGCAACAGCGACGTATTATATTTATCAACACCCGATGTTGTAGCTAATTCAATTTTATTTTTTTTTTGTTCAAATCAAATTTATTTCCCGTTATATTATATTGAACGGATATAATTAACAACAACAACAGCAAAAAAAAAAACGATTCAAACTGGCCAAAATACGATTGCCTTTTTTCGGTGAAAAGCTTTTACGGATTATCATACAGTACGGTAAGTGTGGAAATGTTTTTTTTTTTTGATTCTGTTTCGGTTTTTTTCCACATTATATTCCACATGTTGATTGGAATTTTTTTTTTTGTTTGAATTTACCAATTAATTGCCAACGTGTCATATCTGAGTGCTGAGTTCATTTTTTTTTTTTTTTTTTTGTTCATCATAACACACTCAGCATTATAGATGGTGGATTCAATATATTTGCTTAAATTGCAGGATTTAATTTTTTTTTTCACCATTAAAATGTCCAATCGCATGTGTAGTTGGCTAAGTAAATCATTATCATTTTTTTTAATAAAAAAAAATGATGATGATAAAATGCTCGATTGATTGATTAATATCGATCGATCTTTTTTTTGTGTATTTGGTGACAAATTATCGTAGATTATATATAGATTCTCTCAAATCGACAATTGTCTATGTGTCGAATAATAACACTTGTCCGAAGGTCATATGTCACCATTTTGATTTTTGTGTGTGTGTGTGTGTGTGTGTGTGTGTACCCATACCAAACGCGCTGGTGGTCAATTTCCAAATTAATATTCTATTGAAAGTTTTTCTTTATATATTTATGCAATGGCCGCAACAAGTGCCATTTAATATAATTGTGGATCATTCAGCAAACAAGAGAGAGATATAGAAAGATGAAAATGATAGCAATACAAAAAAAAATATAAGCAAGCGAGCGCTAAATATATTTAGTAGCGAAAACACTCAATATTGTTGTGTTTGAGTACAAGTGAATTTTTTTTTTCAAGTCTCGATCCACACGTTGTATGTGTTTAATATAATATATAATATACCACTGCCACGAAAGCAACAAATGTGCAATGTGTGTGGGGATATTATATGGCACACACGCATACAAAAACGTTAAAAATGTATCCATCCACCACCACCATACAACAAAATTCGGCAACAAATATCATCATCATCATCATTCAATGATTAAAACAAAAAAAAAAAAAAAAGAACCACGTCGCGATTATAATGATGATGATGATATGATGTCTGTATTTTTATAACCAATAACCATTGATGATGATGATGATGATATTGCTTATATGACAGATTTTTTTGTTATCTTTTTTTTAAAAAAAAATTATTATTTTATCGAGTGTGTGTGTCTTTTTTTTCATAATTTTTTTTTCTTCATTTCATCTCTATACATACAATTTTTGATGATTAAAATTAGTCTTCAATTGAATGATGATTTGTTGGCAATTGTTGTTGTTTTGGGATAGCCACCATCATCATCATCACCACCACCACCACCACCAGTGCTCCTTTTTTTTGTCTCTCTACCACCAGGTTTAAAAATATGGTTTTGTATTTTTTGTGTTCAATAATAAATTCTTACTTTTCGGTTTCAATGTTTTATTATTAATTTTTTTCCATCTTTTTTTTTCTCTTTTATTATTATTCCATAAAAAAACCAACAGATTTCGTACTGTGAACAATTGGCCCGATTACTGGAAACCCCCCTATATTGAATGAAAATATATTTTATTATATATGATGATGATTTTCTGAATCTGAATTTTTGTTGCTGTTGTTTTTTTTTCTTTGCTATTTATATATTTACAAACGTGGAAATTTTTTCTTTTTTTAATTGGAAAACCGAAAACAAATCAACAAATTTTTTGAATTTGCATCAAAAAAAAACAAACAACTGATATTAGTAACCTCATTTTATTTCGATTTTTTTTATGTGTGTGTGTGTCTCTCTGTGTATTGTGTTTGAAAACAAAACAAAAGAAAATTTATCTTGAAGATATATTCACTCTTTATTTATATTTACATTTGGATATTCGTTGGTTTGACCAAATTGAATAATAATGATGGCTGAAATGGATGGAACTGAAATTGTGAATGAAAATATTCAATTAAATGGTGGTGGTGATTCATCGCCTGTAGTAGCAACAACAACAACAACATCAACGTCCATTGAACACGCAATGAATGGCCTTAATGATGATGTAGTTGATTCATCATGTTCTACATCATCGGATAATATGAAGGATCCAAATTCAACAATGATGACGACAACATCAAACAATAACAACAACAACAACAACAAGAAACAATCGGCGCCAAATTATGATGATATATTTCCCGCTTTGCCGATGGGCGGTGGTCCATTAGCCGGTCCATTCAATATGTCATCAACATCAACATCGTCATCACCAATGATGATGCATCCGTCCACTGCCATTGGAATAACAACGCATCAGGCAGGACCGAAAATACCATCAAGTACAGCTAATCGTGTGTATCGTGTTTTACCTGAAGAGCTTCGTTATCGTGATTTGAATCGTCGTCATGAAGAACTATCAAGAATTTGTGCCGATATTATGGCTAAAACGCAAACCAAAATTCAGTTGACTCATTCAAAAGATGGTACATTAACGTTTTTGTTATCAGGCAAACAAGAGGCCATCGATATGGCACAACGAATGTTGGCAAATGAATTTCAAGCACAAACGGTTCATAATCTGTCCATACCAAAAGAACATCATCGATTGATACTTGGAAAAGCTGGTAAAAAATTGATGGATCTTGAACAGGCTACACAAACGAAAATTCAGATACCGAAACAAGATGAAAAATCTGATGTCATCCGGATAACTGGTACACGTGAAGCAATCGATAAGGCTGTACATGAAATCAAATCAACTTCAAATGAAGCCTATTCCCGTTCTATTGAACGTATCAATGTGCCTAAAATTTATCATCCATTCATTTTTGGTCCATTCGGACGAATGTTGGATCAAATCCAGAAAGAAACAGGCGCCAAAGTCAATGTACCACCACCATCGGTGGTCAAAGATGAGATTACCATAACCGGTGAACGAAACAGTGTTCTTATGGCATTGGACCGAGTCAAGACAATTTATGAAGAAAAACTACGACGTTGTCAATCGGTATCGATTGAGGTGAAAAAAACACAACATAAATATATTTTCGGTCCGAAAGGTAATACATTGAATGAAATTATGGAACAAACCGGTGTTTCCGTTGAAATGCCTGCATCAGATTCGCCGATCGAAACTATTGTTCTTCGTGGTGAGGGGGAAAAATTAGCCAATGCTTTGGCTGTACTTTACCAGAAAGCTCATTCAGAGACGGAAGATGAGATAATCGTACCGGGCTGGATTCATCGACACATTCTCGGACCGAAAGGATCGAAATTTCAGGAATTGTCACAGGAATTTCCAAAAGTTAATGTTAGCTTCGAAACAGACGATAATCGAATTAAAATGAGCGGCCCAATTGCTGATGTACAAAAAGCAGCTCAACTAATTCAGCAACGTGCAAAAGAAATTGCCTCTCAATATTCTGTAACCGAAATCAAAGTTTCCGATCCGAATCATATCAAATTTATTGTCGGTAAAAATGGTGCAACACTTCGACAAATTCGTGAAGAAACAAAAGCAACCATACAGGTTATTGGCAATGATTCGTCCGTCAATAATAATGGAAAAAATTCGAATAATAAAAGTGCAAATGCTGGCCATCAATTTGTTCGTATTGAAGGTACACCGGAATCGGTAGCCAAAGCTAAACATGAATTGGAAACCTTGCTTCGAAAATTGGAAAATGAAGTTACCTATGAATTGACAATTGAACGACGTTTCTATGGACATATTATTGGTTCAAAAGGAGAAAAAATTCGAGATATTCGAGCAAAATTCAATCAGGTTAGTATGATGTGAATTACAATGTATAATGATTCATTAATTGATTTCGTGTGTTTGAAATAAAAAGGTTACGATCAATTTTCCGGAACAAAATGGACACAGTGAAAAAGTAATAATTCGTGGTGCCAAACAGGATGCTGAACCATGTTATAAATATTTATCAAAATTGAATCAAGAACTTCTTGTTAATAATTATCGTTTTGAAGTGCCTATTCTCAAACAATTATTACAATTTCAAGGAAAAGATTCAATCAAAAAGGTAATCAATTTTGTTGTTGCTATTTGACAAAATAGAATAATCATCCATGTTTTGTATAGATTCGCGAAGATCTTGGAGTTCGAATGGATGTGCAAAATGATAGCGACATGATTGTGATCACTGGACCTAAAGATAAAGTGGAAAAAGCACATGAACGAATTCAGACCCTTCAGAATAGCCTTTCGGATATGAATCAAGTGGACATTATAATTCCGAGTAAAATTCACAATTATATTCTTGGATCAAAAGGTCGTAACATTCGAAACATAATGAATGAATGTGGTGGAGATGTTATCATAACATTCCCACCGGAAGGATCTGGTTCGGATCGTGTTACAATTCGTGGAGCAAAAGATGCCGTACAAAAAGCAAAACAACTATTGGTCGAAATGTCGAATGATTTTCAGACAAACAATTATAGTGAAGAATTAAAAGTTCGTGTTGAACATCATCGTTATTTGATTGGCAAGAATGGCTGGAATATCAATAAACTTCGTGAACAGACAAATAATGTAAGAGTACAATTTTCATCAGATTCAAACAACCAAACAAATGATTCTGATCGAGTGGTGATCATCGGAAAGAAAGAAGATGTCCACAAAGCAAGAGCTATACTTGAAGCTAAAATCAAAGAATTGGAAAAAATAGCCGAACTTGAAATGCAAGTTGATCCAAAATATCGTCATCTATTTGTATCCAAAAGTGCAGCCCTTTGTAAACAACTTTACGATGAATTTGGTGGTGTCAATGTTAGTTTTCCACCACAATCGGACAAGAATAATAATTGTATCACATTGAAAGGTCCAAAAGAATGTCTTGAAGCTGTTCGGCAACGAATTTTCGAAATTATTTCTGATTTTGATGCTCAAGAAACGATTGAAGTGGAAATTGATGCTCAACATCATCGTCATCTATTGGGTACACGACTTAATCGAATTCAGTCGCTTCAACAGGAATATGATGTTCGAATTAAATTTCCAGCGCGACCAAACCGTTCGGATAATAATAATAGCAACAATGATGGCGAAGAGATTGTGGCCGATAATAAAGCCAATATTGTTACCATAACTGGTCGCCGTGAAAACTGTGAAAAAGCTAAACAAGAATTGTTGGAATTAGTACCCATTTCAATCGAGATTAGCATTCCTTTTGAATTCCACCGTTTTATCATTGGCCAAAAAGGTGTTGAAGTACGTGATCTAATGGAAAAATATAATGTGAATATTCGTGTTCCACAACCGGCCGAGAAATCAGATATCATTGTTGTCACTGGAAATCGAACAAATGTGGAGAATGCACGAAAAGCATTGCAAGAAAAATTGATAAAATTGGAAGAAGAAAAGGCCGATCGAGAAGCTCGTAGCTATCAGGTTACCGTACAAGTTGATCCAATCTATCATCCAAAGATTATTGGCAAACGTGGTGTTGTCATTACATCGATTCGTAAAAATTTTAATGTTCAGATTCAAGTACCAGAAGCGAATAGAAATAATAATAATGATAACCAGAACAATGGTGGCAATCAACAACAACCAACAACCCAAACAAACGATACGATCACGATCATTGGTTATGAAGAGAATGCACAAAAAGCTAAGGAACATATTTTGAAATTGATTCAAGAGCTGAAAGATATGGTCACTGAAGAGGTAATGATCGATAGTCGATTACATCCACGGCTGATTGGATCGCGCGGAAGATCGATCAAAACTATAATGAGTCAATTCAAAGTGGATATCCGATTCCCTAAAGTACAGAATGGTGAAAATCCAGATGCAGTGACCATTAGCGGAGCCAAAGACAATGTTGAAGAATGTAAAGAACATTTATTAGAATTGGCCGATAATTACGTGAGTGTTTTTTTTTTTTTTCATTTAATTTGCATTGTGTTTAATCACTATTTATATTCATATGTGTTAGCTTGATGACATGGATGTCCAATATCAATTACCGGCTGATCACGAATTTCGACTGAATTTTGATGATTTATCTTCATCTGGTGTTGTGAAAGAATCAAACAAAGGTTTTGTTGTACGCGGTGCACCGTGGGAGAAAAAGACTGCACGTAGTGGTGGTGGTGGTGGTGGTGGTGGTAATAATAATAATAATCAATCGCCTGGATCACGGCAACAATTTCGTGGTGTTGATACATCAAGTGCACAAGATTTTCCTGCATTTGGTGGCCCAAATGATGACTTGATTAACGGCGCAACAAAAATGAATAAAAATAATACAATGGAGAATAGTGAGAATATACCCATGAATGGCGGTACAACTATGGTTGGCGATAAAAATGGTGATACAACAACAACAACAACAACCAACATTGAGCAACCTGTTGTTTGGGGTCCAAAACGAAACTGATTTTATATATCCGAATTTGAAACAAACAAACACACACAGCCAATTGAGTAATCAGCCAACAAAATAAATAATCAGCCGTTATATATGTTTCCATAGATCGATGACTGACCGAAACAACAACAACAACAATAATAATAAAAAACATCATACAAACAAACAACCCGAGCCACAGCAATAATAAATTTATTTTTTCAGATATATTTCTTATATAATAATTATTTTATAGTTTTATATTTACTTATATATTTTTCATTTATTTGATGATGAATCTAAATGATGATGATTTTGGAATAAATGAATAAGAATAATTATACAAACGGAATTTTTCATTTTCAATTCGCTCGCCATCCGCCCATTAAACTCAAATTATTTTTTTGTTGTTGTTGTTGTTGTGAAATTGATGAAACACTGATTTATTTATTTAGTTCACACAGGAATGATAATGATAAATGATGATAAAATTAAACAAATAGAACAAAACAAAACAAAAAAAACAAACAAACAAACAAACGATAAACACCAGGTAAACATGCAAACTATTCGACTTTGTTTGTATATCGAATGTAAAATTGATGATAAAAATTGATAATAATTAGGTCAAAATTAGGTACAGAAACGATGTTCTTTACCATCGGCAAATAGTAATATGACTAATTTACTTGATACCCAGACTAGTTTAGCCGATTTTAATGGTCCTAATGATCTTACCGGTTCGGACATTGGTGGACATGATTGTGATTTTACACATTTGGTTTGGGCATTACCAAGGCCAAACAAACCTACTGCTTGCGTTAGCCAGAATGAAATCTTATTCTCTGAACAACAATATGATGCAAGATATTTTCCATCCGGCGAGAAAGCACAACAAGTAATTAATCCATTATGTGCTTGTATTAATTGCGATTTTCCTGTTTTCAATTCATAAATGGCCAGATTACCGGTTCTTGAACCAACGGCAACACGTTTAGATGATAAACAATAGGTAACATTTTGGAATCGTGTTAAAGCAGGAAACATTTCACCAAGTCCTTTGTTTCGAAGAGCATTTTGATCCAATGAATAGAGAACAATATCGGCCGTTTCAATTATCAAGTCATAAACATCTTTTTCATGATCATTAATTAACAATTCAAGATTACGTAAAATTTCCGGACGAGAACGATACAGTACGGTTTGATGTGGAATGATATTCAATGATGCTTGTTGTTGCTGTTGTAATGTATTGTAACGGGTAACTTCTTTGGCCAATGTAGTTATGAATGCTGCCGGTCGTGCTTCGGCAATCATTTGAAGGGCATAACGTGCTGTACGTGCTGAATCAGCGGCCGGTGTTAATGGTAGACCGAATTTAAGACTTGGCACCATCGATTGTTCGGTATCGGTACTGCAACAAAATTCCAACAAAGCAAGCAATATTTTTGATACATCAAGATATGGTTCCCATACGACAAAACCACGACCAATCAAATCAATAGCAGCCCTTCGTAATGATGTATGATAGGGTAAGGAATTTGATGTTGGAGCTAACAACAGATATGATAATGCTTTGCTTGTCTTTCTGGCCAAGTTATAATTTCCACCGCCACCAAATCCCTCGATAACCGAACGTCGACGAACCGGTTGTGATGGTTGCAAACCATTTGGATCCAAACGATTTGATGTGGTTGCGGTCGTCGTTGTTTTGTTTGATTCGATTTCACTTCCATAAACAGAACCAATTACGCCCATCAAAACAATAGCAGTTGCTTGTCGTCGACGACCTTCCGAACCAGATGTACTGAATTTAATTGTACCCGAATGACCCGGTGTTTGAAGATCATCTCCATCATCATTATCATCATCAGCGCCATCATCACCTTCTTCAGCGTCGGAATATTCATTCAATTGATGATTATTATTAGTGTTTGACATATGATGATGATAAGTATCCGACAAAGGAGTAGATGGACTAGCAGCAGCATGAGCATTATAATGAGCTTGAATATTATGCGAACCAGTTACTGTGGTGTTTGTAGTGATATTATTATGAACCAAATTTGATGACATGTGAGAATCAGGTAATCTATCATCATAACTGGGTAGATAATGTGACCATTCTTCCACAATCAATCGACGACCTTTTGATCCTATTGATTTCAGTTCGGATAAAAGTAAATCTTGTGCAGCTTGACGAATTTCAATACAACGATCTTGCCAACGTCTCGCTAATAGATCGACTAATGATCGTTTAAGATGAGGCGATTTTATCAGATCGGGCAAAAGAACACAATGTAATGCACCGATCAATTGCCATGCATCATGAATTTGTTGCTGTCGGACTTTTGTATCATTTTCATTCTCAACAACAGTTGGTTCTTTGATTGGAGTATTACCACTGCCAGCAGTAGAGCTATTCTGTCGACTAAGTTTTCGAATCAATCGTCGTCGATTAGATTCAAATTTAGATGATGAAAACGAAGCATTAGCCATTATCATGAATGTATTTGTTAATGAAATGACAGATAAAAGATGATTAGTGGTTATAGATGTGGATAATTCCCAATGAAAACGTGACGTGAATTGTCGTGCCATTTCTTCACAGATTTGCAATTCTACCGGTAATGTTGATGCAATTTTAACACTCTTTGTTCGAACTAATGACTGATTAGTTCGTTGTTGAGATGTCACAGGCATTTTTGATATTGTTGAAACATTATTTGCTTTCGATTTTTCTGCCAATTTATTCAAATATGTTGGCAATAATAATGACATATGGCCACCTTTCGAGATCATTCCAAAACAAACGGGCCGTAATGGCCTTAAAAGGCCAAGTTTTGATTCACAAACTTTATCCAGATCCGAATCTAAGCCCCATGCATGAAGTAATGATAAAAGTAATCGAGCAATTTCCATAGGCATATGATCATCACTACTATAGAGATTGTTTAATTTGGTTGGATGATCTAATCGGCTGGAATGATCGCTACCATCACCACCAGATGCTGATGATGCGGCAGAATTTCGACGATAAAAACCAACACTTATATCTCCGGAAACATTTTTAAAACCAACTGATTCAGCTTTTGCTTGAATTTTTTGTGCAGCACTTTCGGCTGTGTCTTTCATTTTAGCCAATAAACCTGTCAATGTCAACGAATGAATATCATCTGACTACTATTATCAATGTTTATATTACCTGAAAGTTTATTCGATTCAGTTGAACATGCCAATTCGGAGAAACGTTTATATTCAATATTTGATGTTAATCCAGTTGATTCCATCGTATTAGGCGATAATAAATCATATTCTTCGCTTAATAATTGTACAATTAAAGCTTCAACATCAAAAAATAATATATGGCTTTCTTGATCTTTTGGATTTGTACGCAATCCTTGTATCAGCAATGGATTCGTTCGTGATCGAATTGATGCATCAATTACATCTTGTCGCTGTTTTTGTAGATGTTCACTTATATTATGTAGACCACGAACGGCTGCTTGTTTTATGGCGGCAAGATTTCGATGTCTTAGGCCACGGAATAAATGAACGGCAGGATTAACGAAACGATCGCCCACCGTATTCATGGAAGCTCCATCACAAGAATTTAGTACTTCTTCGGCGGCCATTCCATGAAGAACACGATCCAGATGACCAGTTTCCATTTGCCATAAATAAACCGATCCATCAATACAGCCAACAACTAGAAAATCATCGCTAGCACGCCATTTTATCGTTGTTATTGGAAATAAATGACGACTAGCAAGCATTAGGCAACGACGTTCTTTCAATGATAATAAAGCTACCGAATGATCGGATGCCACCGAACATACACAATTTAATACACGTGGATTACAATCTTTTGGTGGTGCAAATAGCTGAGTAATTTCACCTGCATGAACTGGGAAACGATGCAGTAAGGAGCCATTGAAAATATCCCACAAACAGACGGAAAAATCTACACCACCTGAAACAAGATGGGCAGCTTCATAACGTTCTTCAAGATGATGTGGATACAATAACGTATTGACACGACCTGAATGGCCACAAAGAACCTGATGATGAGGCCAATCTTCATAGGCTAAATGACGGCCAAGTAACAATTGTAACATAATGGTCTGATTGGCCGATACAATTATAATCGAACCATCTTCACGTCCACAGACTAAACGACCCAATGCAGGTATGTAAACGGATGCTGTTATTTTGTAGCTAATTGAATGATCATCGATTTTCTTTAGCTGTTTGTAATTTCAAAATAAAAATCATAAATTATCTACTATAGATAAGTAAACAATTCAAATTCATACCAATGTATCAATGATACCACATGGTAAATCTCTTAACTCTTTCCAAGCAGTTGATAGTGAATAGGAAACATTTGGTTCAATTTCCGGAACATTTTGTTGTACAGAATTGTCCAAATAATCATTCAATTTCCAGATTGAAACACGACCATAAGAATCACCACATAATACCATTTTTGGAATGTTTGAATTATCATCATTCAATTTGGTGACAAGATTATAGAATGCAATGGCAGGTGGACATAGTAATCGTGACTAAGTGTGGAAAACAAAACAAAAAAATCTATGAATGTTTGAAAATTCATTCAAATATACAAACTTTATCATTTTTCACCATTAATGTTGCATATAGAATTGGTTGATTGGTCGTGTTAAGATTATGGAATTCATTATTACCAGGAACGCAGCTATTTCAATAAAAACAAAAAACATCAGATATTAGAATTGGAAATTATTTTTTCAATAGAAATAAAAAAAACTTGAATGGCAAATACATTTACCTCTTTATAGCTTTGCCTTTAAGTTTACTTTATATCATTGTTATCATTATTATTAGGAGAAGATTGAGATTAGGAAAGCGCGTGTTAAAAAAATGGGAAAAAAATGTTTGATAATTTAAACAACAACAACAACAACAGTGATAGGATAGGATACAGACGAATAACCAGGATTCTTGTTCAATCAATCAAAAAAACAGACTTACTTTACAGGCAATTTATAAAGAAATGATTTGCCCATATCATTCCAAATGATAACACGATCAGTGGAAAGAAATTGGCCACCTTGCCAACGTTCACCACGATTATTTTCTACAGAACATAATTGGGCAAAATCACCAACATCATAGATTTGCCAATATTTGGTTGAAATGATTAATAAAGTTCTTTGATTATAAGTACAACAGGTAAGCTGTGTAGCATTGACACAACGGATCGGTTTCGATTCATTCTCATAGATTGGTTCTAATGATCGTTTTTCATGGCCACCTAATGTCCATACTTTCATTATACCAGCAATAGAAAGGCCGATTATTACGTCATCTGAAAAAAAGAAGAAACAATAAAAAAAATAGAATCACACCAAATTCCTAGGCCAAACCTTGAGTTTTAGGCGAACGAAGTACGTGAATGGCAGAAATCCAATCAGGGTTTAATTTCGAATTCAATGAAAACAATGTTTCCAACGTTAGACCATCAATGATTAATATTTCAGAATAATAACCATTGCAAAAGAATCGTACTTCATCATTATTCATTACATAGGTCTGAATGTTTGTATGAATATTCTGATGTTTAACCGTTTCGATACATCGTCCATCGGAAAGATCCCATAATGACATTTCACTTTATCAAGATATTCATTCGATGAATTAATTTGATTATTGATTATTCAATAACATACCCAGATTCTGATGAGCTTACAAAGTGCATAATGTCACCTTGTTGTTTTCCATTAGCCAAACATAGTACAGCTAATGAATGTCCAAATAATAAACTTCTAGGTGTCAACTGTTAAACACATAAACATATGTAATTAATTCACGTGATGATTATTAAAAAAAAGAAATTAAATTACCAAATCATTATCGGGTGAATAATCCCAGATACAAATCTGTCCATCATTACAACCGGTAATGATTGTATGAAAATCTTCGGTCATAATAATGGCCGAAACACAGTGTGTGGGTGATTTTGATCCCCATAATGTTATCGGTACGATTAATTGATTCGATAAATTCGATACAGTCATCTTGATGATCAATCAATCTACAGTGGATTATGATTAGGAATGATCAAACTAACTGGGAAAAATAAATGAAAAAATTCAATGTAAAGTCAATTTGAATCATCTAATAATGATTCGATGATTAATAGAAAAAATCCCACAACATAATTATAATAATAATCGATGATTAAATGATGATGATATCAACAATAACATCGCAATAATCAACAAACAAACAAAAATTTCTCAAAATTTATATTATATGTTGATGATAGACATTTGCAGCTGACAGATCAATATGAGCAACATTTTAAGTAACGCCCATTAGTACCAATAGATGACGCCAAAAATATAAGGTCAAATGTCCATATTAATATTCTGTATGATTCTTTATCATTATAAATGACGCGGGCGCAATCGATTCTGTTATATACTACTCATAAAAATCCGAATCAAGATATCCCCACTAATTTTTGAAAAATGATTCATTTTTTCCATGGTCAAATGTAAAAAACACAACGCCTTAAATTCTAGATTAAATTCTTGATTCTCCAAGAATTTCAAATTGGATTTAGGGTAAAAAAGAACTCCGATGCCGGGAATCGATTCTGTTATATACTCACAAAAATCAGAATCAAGATATCCACTAATTTTCGAGAAATGATTCATTTTTTCCGTGGTCAAATGTAAAAAAACACAACGCCTTGAATTCTAGAATGAATTCTGGATTCTCCAATTGGATTTAGGTTATTAGGGCAAAAAAGGAACTCCGATGCCGGGAATCGAACCCGGACCGCCTGGGAACTCTTAATTGGCATACATTTTTGAAAGCCAGAAATCCTAACCATTAGACCACATCGGAATAGACCGGAAGTTGACAACATCTGTCATCAACGCCGCAATTAACCAAGTTAACATGAATACTAGAAAAGACCGATGCTGGCAGTTTCGAATGAAAATACAAGATTTGCAAACAATCAGTTGGATCTTTTTTTTTTGAAGATAAATTTTGGGTGTATGTGGTTAAAATTGTGACACAAAAATCATTAACCAAGAGACGGCTATTTTAATGCCATTTGATTTTAATTAAAATTACCAAATATTTATAGTATATAAATAATATAAAATAAAACAAAATATATTATAATGTATTTTGATCGGAAATTGGAAACATCGGAAATTGGATAGGGAAAATGATCACTTCATCGGAATTTGGTGGATTTGTCAAATTGCTAACAAAAAACGATGAAAGTTTTGCTTCGTAACGTTCTCTTTGAACGGAACGAAGAAAAAACAGCGGGTCACGTGTAAAATGTTTTCGTTTTGTTTTTGTGAAATTATTTTATTTGTGTTTTTCTAAAATAAATGTCTGTCCCAAAAGCTAACCATTTTTGAAAAGAAATAATGAATATTTTCCAGCTACAATATCTCAGATTCATGTTGAATCAGCATTAAGAAATGCTACAAAACATAGGATGTTGCGATTTCTTTTAACATCAAGACCTAATTGGCCAAAATCATTAAGGCACCAGAAATAAATCTCTCAATTATTGGTTATTGATGAACTATGTAAACATCCATAAGATATGATATCATTCCCGGTGATAATTCATTTAAAAATTTATCAATTTTCGACATTATATGCCATCAATGTGAAACATAGTTTTGACACTTTTAACATTGTGAATTTATGTTTTCGTTTATTCGTCTTTCGTTTTCGGTTAAGAATTCGTTTTCAATTTGCAATATCAATCGTGTCGCGACATAACAACGTTACGATCACACAATAAGCTTTATTTCAATTTTACAAAAACCAATTAAAAATATCAACTGACAATTCAACACTTCATGTGTTGACTTTTTCTACTCGCCGTCGGCGGCGTTCCAGTCATTAACCATTACAATATAGAAAAATTTCGATCAAATCTTATGGATGTTATTTATTCATGGACAAAAGGAAAATCATTTTCTGAAATATATTGTTAACTACCCTCGCAACTATAACCTCACGTCACATTTGTAAAATTTTTTTTTCTTTTTTTTTCCTTTGCTATTATTGTCATTATTTCATTGTTTTTTTTTTTCTTTATTTTTTTTGCTCTTTTTATTTTTTTTTTTTTCTCTTTCTTTTTTTATTTTTGTACTACCATTATTATTATCTTTCTTCATTGATGTACCTCTAGCGTATTTTTCTAGTTCTAGAGGTTTTTTTTCCAAATAAAATCATTATTATATTATTATCATATATATTGTTATTAATGTAATGATAACAAAACAATGATATAATTTGTGGATGGGATTCATTCATTCATTCTGGATCTGAATCACTATGATCTTTAATCATTTTTTTTTTTTAATCATATCCATATTGGATACAATTTTTTTCCATTCATCCATAGATAAACTGATGCCTTTTTTTTCCTGGTTTTTGTTTATCACCATCTTCATTACGTAACCGGCTGTTTTCAGTCTTGTCTGTTTTCTGCCTTGGCTATTTCCAATTTGGCTATTCTAACCAGCAACCGGTTTAATCTGGAAATTTAAAAGAAAAATTTCAAAGCACCTGCCATCTATCGTGGGCCGGCGATTATTTTTTTTTTTGGCTCATAATAACTAAAATACACAACATCAGCAAGCATGGTATTCAATATTGAGATTGAATTGAATCGGCATGCTGCTGATGCCACATCATCAAAGAACATCGACCTATTTGTGTGTGTGTGTGTGTTGTATGTTTTTCTCATTCAAGAAAAAAAAACAGCATCAGACATCCAAAGCCAACTCAGCATTTCATTTGAAGATTGAGCAGTTTTTTCTTTTCAACTTTTTTTTTATTATTATTTGTTCAAATCTTCGATATCATCATCATCATCAAATTTAAATTGATAATAATTACTGTGTTTGATTAGTTTGAACAAAACAAGTGAGCCATTTGTATATTCGACAAAGTTATCGCAATATATCCATCATCGACACACAGACACACACACACATACACGCAAACGATTGATTCGTTCATTGAATTTTCTTGTTTGTGTTTTTTTTTCTGTCTACAATTCTCAAATTCTCAAATTCTCAAATTCTGAATAATAGAAAAAATAGATTTTATCGTCAAACAAAAATGTCTTCACCACAAACACTACAACATGCTATTGTTAAATCCGTATGTTTTTTTTTTTTTTTTTTGAAAACAATTTTTTTTTTTTTGTTTTGTTTTTCATTATTTTATGATTTAAATTTCAAAATGAAAAGGTTCAATCTGGTGATTCAATCATTATTCGTAGCCAACCAAAAGGTGGACCACCACCTGAAAAACAAATCAATTTAGGTAATATCTTGGACATTTTTCAAAAAAAAAAAAATAATTAATCACATAATATTGAAATTACAGCCTATTTGTTGGCACCAAAAATTAGCCGTAAATTGCCTGATGGTAGCCATACAGCTGATGAACCATTCGCATGGGAATCAAGAGAATTTTTACGAAAAAAACTTGTTGGAAAAGTAATACAATTTCGTGTTGAATATAAAGTTCCTTTCGGTAATAATCAACGTGAATGTGCAACAATATTTCTTGCATCGGAAAATATAAACGAAACATTAGTTAATGAAGGATTAGTGGATGTGGTAAAACGTGCTCAAAACAAAGATAATCCCGATGTTGTTCGTTTGATCGAGCTAGAAGAAGCGGTTAAAAGTAGTAAATCAAAAGGTAAATGGGCTGGTAATGCTATTAAACGTACGATTTTACAAGACTTTGAAAATGGCCAATCGTTTATTGGGAAAAATATGGATGGTATTGTTGAACATGTTCGTGATGGTTCAACAATGAAAATCGGCCTTTTTCTACCATCAAGTGATCAATCATCGGTTACGTATCAGATGGTCATGGTTGTATTGAGTGGTGTTCGTTGTCCACAAACAAACGAACCATTTGGTGAAGAGGCAAGATTCTTTACCGAATCACGGTTATTGCAACGTGATGTTCTAGTACATGTTGAACAGATTAATCCAGGCGGAAATACGGTCGTTGCTACCATTACATTTATGGATCGTGATATTGCTGAATATCTATTACGCGAAGGCTACGCAAAATGTATTGATCGAACTTTGGGATTGACAAAAGATCCTAAAAAATTACGTACTATAGAAAATGAAGCCAAAAGTCGAAAATTGAGAATATGGAAAGATTTCAAAGAAACAGCTCGATCAAGTAGTTCAGTGAATTTTGATGCTAAAGTTTTGGAAATTTCAAGTGCCGATTCATTGGTTATTCAACATAACGATACAAAAGAAATAAAGAAAATTTTTCTAGCTTCAATTCGTGCACCAAGATTGGTGAACGATGATGGACAAACAGTGCTAGCATCAAGTGGTGGTGGTGGTGGCGGTGGTACAGATACAAAAAAACAGTTTCGTCCACTATATGACATTCCATTCATGTTTGAAGCTCGTGAATTTCTACGTAAAAGACTGATCGGCAAAACGGTCAAAGTACGTGTGGATTATGTGCAGCCAAAAAATGAAAATTTTCCGGAAAAAACATGCTCTACTGTTTTGACTGGTGATGGCCAAAATATTGCCGAACAATTGGTATTGAATGGATTGGCTACAGTGGTTAAATATCGTCAAGATGATGATCAACGTGCTTCGGATTATGATTCATATCTAGCGGCCGAACAAAAAGCTCAGAAAAATAATAAAGGTCTTCATTCAAACAAAACAGATGCCGGTATGGTACGAATAGCCGATCTGTCTGTGGATTTATCTAAAGCGAAATCAATGGCACCATTTCTAACCCGTTGGACTGGCCTTCGTCGTGAAGCAGTCATTGAATATGTATTTCCATCATCGACAAAACTCAAGGTTTATATACCGAAAGAAAGTTGTCTGATTAATCTAGTATTGTCAGGTGTGAACACTCCACGACCGAATGATCCAATGTTAGCCGATGCTGTCCGACATGTTCGTTTACGTGTTCTACAGCGAGATGTTCATGTTGAAATTGAAACCGTAGATAAAATCGGCAATTATATTGGTTCTGTTTATTATGATAAGAATAATAATCTGGCATTGGATCTTGTCCGAAATGGTCTTCTATCCGTGAGAGAATATAATAAAAATATGGAATTGAACAATGTTGAAACGGAAGCAAAAACAGCTCGACGTGGAATCTGGAAAGATTATAAGGAAGAAGTGGCCGTAGAAAATGTTGAAGAAATTGATTTAGATGGTGACAATGAAACGGCGCCAGTAGTGGATGATGTTGCACAACGAAAACGTGTTATAATCACAAATCTTGCCAAAGATTTTACCTCGTTTCATGCTCAACAGGTTAAAGATGGACCAGAAATTGAGGCAATGCTTCTACGATTACGGCAAGAAGCAACGGCCAATCCACCAATTGCTGGTTCATATAGACCGAAAAAAGGTGATCTTGTTATGGCCAAATTTAGTGAAGATGGATTATGGTATCGTGCACGGGTAGAAAAAACGGTCACTGCAAATGAATCACAAGTTATCTACATTGATTATGGTAATCGTGAAACATTGGATAATAAAAATATAGCATCACTGCCATTGGGTAATTTTACCAGCATTCCAGCGGCAGCTAAAGAATATGCATTTGCATTCGTTTTCCCTGATACGGATGAAGAATTTGTAGATGAAGTTCGAGCAGTGTTCATGAATGTTACGGCCAATAAAGTAGTACTGTTAAAGACTGAATACAAAGATGTTGGCAACGGTTTGGAAGCGGCAACATTGTTGGATGAAATCAATAAAAAAGATATTGTCCTTCAAATGGTCAAAGATGGTTGGCTTTTTGTCGACACAAAAACCCGTCGTGATCGTCGATTGTTGAAAAAAGTTGGTGAATACAAAGAAGCACAAGAATATGCCAAAAAGAATGGGGTAAGAATGTTTTTTTCGACTTTTTTTTTTTTTGATTATAAATTACTATAATTTCAATTTTCATATATAGCTTAATCTATGGCAATATGGTGATGTTACACCGGATGATGCTAAAGAATTTGGCTATCCAAACCATTGATGGAATAAAAAAAAAAAAAAAATGAAAAACAACAACAACAATCACTTGAAGAGATGGTCAGAATTTCGATTTTTTTGCACATGAATTATTTTATTTTTTTTTTAGTTCGAAATTAACAACAACAACAGCTGCATGAATCTGAAAGAAAAGAAATTTATATTTTATTCAATTTTATGATGTTATATTTTCTATTCTGCTATATTGAATTATATTGAAATATAATGAAATTTTTTTTTTATTATTATTGAAAAATAAATGAAATTTTTTTCTCTGAATTTTCATTTTCGAATGTTTTTTTTTTTTTTTCGACTATTTTGAATGAATGTTGTGTGGTATAAAAATCGTGGCCCAATATTCAATGTTTGGCCAGTGTTATTTTATTAGTTTTTTTTTTATTTTATTTTTATTTTGTTTTGTTTTTTTCGTGTTTGTATTAAAAATCGCTTGAATAATATCATGTCCATTTCGGAAATTTATTCATCCATTCGAAAAATTTGTGATAAAGTTGATTATGATAATAATGCCAATTGTTTCAATAAAGCTAGTGGTCAATTGGATTACATACTCACTAATGATTTGGATTTATCTAAAAAATTTTCCGAATCATTTGTTCCTGCATTTGAACGAGAAATTATACGTACAAAAAAATCATTAGACGATGCACAACGATTTAAACAATTTTCTAGTTTACTTAAAAATCTGACCGATATATCGTTTACAAATAAAGCAATGAACAATATCAACATGGCTATTATTTCGACACCAATGGAAGAAGATAATCTATTATTTCATTGTTTCAGTCAACGATCAACATTGCATTCGAATCAGGATGATTATGAATCCAGTTTGAAAGATTTAGATCATGCATTAGGAATTCGTTTATCCTATACATTAGTTGAACGTAAAGTAGACATACTAAATCGATTAAATCGTTCATCCGAAGCTTATCGTATGGTGGCAGATATTATAGATGAAAATGAAAAAATATTAACATCAGATAAGCTTAAACAATATAAAAAACTTAAAAAACAATTACGAAAATTTAAATCCCCATATGAAATCGATAATGGACAACAATCATCAATGGTGAAATGTCTTGATGTAAAGATTGATCAACGTGTTCGTATCAAAAAGATTCAATGTGATCGTTATGATTTTCAAACTAATGCCGATATAGCAGCCAATACGGAAATCCTATCCGAACAACCGATGGTCATTTCATTCACAGCCGATTTTCTCCATGATTATTGCCATAATTGTCGTAAAAAAGTTACCAATACATTTTGGCCTTGTTTTTATTGTACAGAAGTGGTTTTCTGTACCAAAAAATGTGCTGAACAAGCTTTGCAGGCTTTTCATCAACATGAATGTGGCTTATTGACAACGATGCGTGACAAACTTGGCAATCAATCGATTACTGTTTATCGTGATTTCATTCAATTGCCGCATTTAAATCTGGCTCTTCATCGTGATGAAGTGAGTATGGTTCAATGCATTTGTGTTAATTTATAATAATTCCATTTTCGAATCATTTCCCAGTTGCAAACATTTTCATTACAATCTTGTTTGGAACAATTGGCACAACAAACCACTCAAGGATTAGATATATCAAAAGCTAATCAATGGTTTTTTATTAGTCAACGTGAATTATATCAAAGAATTGTTCGTCGTAAACCATGGCGACGATCAGTGGAATTATGTAATGCAATCATATTGTTCATGATTTATTGTTATAAAATGAATATTGATATTCAACAATTCGAACAAAAAGAATTGATCGAAATTATTGAACATTTTGCCATTTCGATTGTACGAACACAATTGAATGAATATAGTTGGCAACAAAAAGAACACCAAGATAGACAACAAATTGCTTCATTTCAATGCCTGTTTGGATCACATATCAATCATGAATGTGATCCAAATGCTGAATGGACATTCGATGGTCAAAAATTTGTGGTCAAAACCATTAAGAATATAGCGGCCAATGAATCGATCACAATTACATATGGTGTGCCAAAAGAATATTCGCTATTCAAACGACAACGTTATCTACAAAATCTATATATAATGTGTGCCTGTTCACGATGTTTGGAAGAAACACGTGATTCATGTTTTGCCATTCGCTGTGAAAATTGTAATGGTCCAATACCGTTTGATATGGATGAATTTCTCAATGATTGGTGTATGATCTGTGAACGACGATATGAAAGTCCATCAATAATGACATTGGTACAGAAACAATTTCAAACACTACAACGAGCCATTCGTTTAATCTCTAGTATTAATAATCAAAAAGCTTGGCTTGGAAACATTGAAGAATTGATGGGTTCATTGGCAAGCTATGTTTATCTTGAATCACAACTATTCATCTGTTTGGTATCGAAACTTTGTGATCGTTATATTGAATTGGAAATGTGGCCACAAGCCATTGAATGGTATCAATGGTTTGTCAATGTAGCGGCTCTACATATAGCAAAGAATAAAGAAAATGATATCATTTATTATTACAATCTGAAAAAATGGTCAAATGCTTATCTGAATTATTTGGAACAGAATGTTCAAGCTGGTAAAACAAACATAACAATTGATTATTTACAGACGGCCATCTATTTATTTGCCGAACAGCGAAAAATATTGGAATCATTACGACAAATGAATCGTTTTGAAGTTATTGATTCAATACAATTGAAAAATATGACACGTTCTTTGGCACAAGATTTACAATGCAAAGATTATCGATTGAAACTTGTTTGTATGGAAATTTGTAAAGCCAAAGAAGATACATTGGCTAATGGTGATGAAATAGTGAAAGATTTATCGGTTGAAAAAATTGAATTTGATAAATTGAAACCCGATATGTATAACTATGCTCATGAACTAAGTGCTAGTATCAGTTTGGAGAGTTTATCATTACGATGAATGATTAATTAATGGAAGAGAATTCTGATTAAAATTTTAAGTTTTTTTTAGCGCGTTGAAAAAAAATTCGAAATTCTGCATAGGCCATTCATAAAATATGTGTTACAACTACAGAATGATCCAAAAACAAAATAGATCGATCCATAAACATGTTCAAACTTATCATCATCATCATCATGTCTTTGCCACCATATTATCCACCAGGTAGATTTGATTATTTTCTGTTACGATTACAGAAAGAATTGAAAAAGACAAGCACATTCCGAATAGTTATCATTGCCATCGTATTACATTCATTATTCTCTATTCTATTGATTCATAATTTCCTAAATTATTATAGTGATACATATCATAGGTTCGTATCATTATCGTATGCTTTTTTTCGGTTTTTGTTTATAAAAACATTTTTGATTAAAACAATACAGCAAACATGCGACTAGTCATGATCATCCAGATAAAGGAAAAATATCCATATTTTCCAGACCAGTTACCAATGATGATATTGATTCTGAACGACGTTATAAATTGGTTAAAATGGATTTCACTGATTCAACAATATTCGGACCGAATGCAATCAATTTGTTGCATTCGAATCTGATACGATCTCAGCAATTAACACATATCGGTTGGTTTAGTGATCATTTTCGTTGGGAGGAAAAAATTCAATGTTTCAATAATCGTTGGACATTTTGTGATAAGGTATTTAGTATGATGGCTATCTCTGATGATTTTAATGATTCTATGAATTTGAACATATGATAAAGATTTTCATTGCTAAATGTAAACCGAATTCCATACGAGCCATTTATCAATTTGTACCGTTTAAGATAGAATCGAATGTTAGACATCTATATTTTAGTGTTCGTGCTACAGCTGAACAATTGGTTGAACAATCTAATGATGGGTTCTATGGAATGTTAGCATTAATAGAACATGTTGATGGTACAGATGAAATTATCAGGTAGGTTATATTTTTAGTATTTACAATAAAAAATTTGTAAAATCTTTTTCTATCCATTTAGGTTGAAATTTCGTTATGAAAGTGAATCATGGTCACTTCGTGTGGAAGATTATCGTTCAACAAAAACGATTAAATCGGTTACAATCATGTTGGCATGTTATGGTTATTCTGGTATCGCATCATTCACTGATGTTCGTTTGACTAGTGAATCTGGTCAGTAGTTTTTATTGGATTTTATGTTCAATTTTTTTTTATTATGGTTTTTTTATTATCTTAGCTGGACTTGATCCACTTTTTTCTGCTTATGATATTTGTTCTTGGTGTTCATTTCAACCTAACGATCATCAAGTGAAGAAATCGAATCAATTATCGAATACTGACTATGAAATCCTGAAAATGCCTCGTTTTGAAATGGAAAAATCCACCGCAAATCATCAAGTGACATTCGTTTCACAAGTATCGATGGATCGACTTGTCATTCTTGAGCAATCATTACGCACTTGGAATGGACCAGTTTCCATATCCATTCATGTATTGACCAATAATTCGACAAATGGTAGAATTCAAGATTGGCAACGTTTATACATCAATAAAAAGATTGGCTCATTGAAAATATCATTTGAAAAAGTACAATCATTTTAGTGCCTTCGGTCAATCTGCAACATTACCCAATCAATGTTCTACGTAATTTAGCCATAAAAATGGTTCAGACTAGATTCATGTTTCTAGTGGATGCAGATTTTCAACCATCACCTAATCTTGAAACTAATTTCCTGAACACATTGAATAAATATCATTCCAGTTATCTTCGACAACATGATACGAATGGCTGCCGTATTGCATTTGTTGTTCCAGCTTTCGAATATCTAGAAATACCGAACAAAGAAGATCCAATACTTAAAAGCAAAGATGAACTAATTCAATTAATACATCGAGATGATCCAATGATTGAACCATTTCGTTTACATGAATCAAATGAAGTACATGGCCTAACCAATTATTGGAAATGGTATCATACCAATGGACCATACAATATAACCTATAGATTCCATGATAAATATGAACCATATATTATAGTTGAAAAAAATTCACATCTTCCATTGTATGATGAAAATTTATTCAATTATGGAATGAACAAAGTAATGCATATTAGTGAAATGTTTGCCGCCAATTATACATTCGAAGTATTGGACAATGTATGGAGTATACATTTTCAACATCGTTCTACACCATATTATATGGATTTTTTGAAAAATCTTACCTACAGACTTTGTAATCGAGCTGAACGTTTTAAAGTATTACAACGTATCATATATCAATATAATGTTCAATTAGATCAATGTTGATCATAAAATTGAACAGAAAAAATCTAGTCATCATCATCATTTTTTTTATTAAAACTGTACAGTATTTCAAAATTGATAATGTATGTTATTTGTCAAAGTTTATTAGAATAATTTTTTTTTTTTAGTTAAAAACAAGGAAAAAAAATGAGTAGTAACTGGATTTTAAAAATTATTATCTCAATCTCAATTACAAATGTGTTAATGTTTGTGATAGATATTTATATATATATAATGTTTATGTAGCAGGCAATTTTGGCAGACCAAATTCATCAACCAATTGACCATCCTGAAATATCAAATAAAGAGAAAATCATGTTAAAAATTATGAAATAAATGAAAAAATTAACTTACAGTATTAACACTTTCGGCTCCCGGTTCTTTTGATGGTACTTTAAGATTGGACACTTCATCCAAATAAGAAGTATCATCCAATGCAAGTTCATCGTTCAATGCTTCTAATTCGGCTTCAAGTTCATCTTCATCCACATCTGGCATACCATATGAACGGCCTAATGCTTCTTGAACTTCATTAGCATCTTCCATCATATCGGCAAGATCATCTTGTAAATCCTAGTTAAAATTCGGTAAGCACAACATTAATTAAAATCATTAACTGATTTCAATGTAAACTAACCTCAATCTGATCAATGTTGATTTTTTTGTATTCTTTTTTCATCTCTTTGACACCCAATTTCATTGCATTCACCTTTAAAACAGAAAAAAAAGAGTGAAAAAAAGTTCCAAAAATACATTTTACATACGGTCACTTGAGTATCTTTGAGCGTTTGTGTTGCCATGTTTGTTTGTTCCATGTTGAATGACTGTTGCATTAATTGTTCACGTTGATTTTCATACATTTTTCTTTGCTTTAAAATATTCAATGCTCTTTGTTTGATTGCATTCTTGGCCGGACCTTCACGCATTTTTTTCATCTGATCCTTGTATTTGACAAGATCGGCTTCCAATTTCTGTATCTTTTTATCAATCGATTCAGTACGACTATCAACCTGATTGAATCAATAATGAATATTAGAATTGAAAAATGAAAATAATGAAAAATGTCAACTGCTTACTTACATTGGCAATCACATCTGAAAGATTTGGTGGTGGTACCTTGTCTTTCGGTTTACCAAACATTCGGTTCATCATTTTTCCTTTGATTCTTTGGTTCTTACGATTCTCTTTGAAAAAAAGAAAATTCTATATTTATCCACTTGTTGTAGAATAGATTTTTTTTGGATATTTGGGTGGGTTAATAATTGCGTTGTAAACAAACGGGGATTGACATTCATCTTATTGCCGAAACAATTTTTTTTTCTACGAATCATTCATGAATAACGTACACGAGATTTTTAAAACATGTGATCTTTTTTTTATAAAATTGAACAATTTAAATTTCGTGATTCCAATCAATCAATTGTGGAGAGACAAAAGTATCAACTATATATGGAAAATTCACTGACCACAGAATCATCCATATCATCGAATGATGTAACGAAAAAAGAAGACAACAAATTTTGGGGTAAAGTTGCATTGGGAAATTTTTCTAAAATTCGCGTTAATTTTTTGTTTCTGGTAGAAACATTATTCCTTGGTTCAATTGCTGCCGTCGGTTTATTGTTTGGTTTTTCCAACGGTATTTCTTTGGCCAAAAAAAATGATGAAACAGCGTTCAATAAGGTATTTGCTCTCTTGACACCGGACAAATTTAATTTGTATATATCCAAACGATAGGGTTTAATGATGTTACCCGATCGACCAAATCAACCGGGAACACCGAAACCACCACCAATGGAAAGTGGTGTACGTTTGGCAACACGTGCACTTGGTCTTGGTTCATTGTATGCATTTGGAGGCGTCGGTATATTATCCGCTTTGATATGGTTTGGTATTGGTGCAAAAAATGTATGTTTATTTTATTTTATTTTTTTTCTTTAAAATTTTTCATCACAACATCTCAATTCAATTAGCTTAAAGATTTTCGACAAAAAGTTGGTGAAAAATTGCCACGAATTCCTCGTAATGATCCACCACAAGGTAGAACTGAATTCGAATCATTTCGTGATTTGTTTACATATCTGGCCGAAGAATCGGAAAAAGAGAAAAAATTAAAAGAAAATGAAAAAAATGATACAAGATGATAATATGATATAAATGTTATTATTGTTTATTATTTAATGTAAAAAAACATCATGAATTCTTTTTCACGTCTCACTCAAAAACTGTAAATTAGTGAATAAATTTCATTTTGAAGTGTTTGATAACGATTTTCTTTCAATTTTTCTAGCAACAAATCTTTGATACAACGTTTTTGATTGACATCATCGGCAAATTCTTTGGACACACGTGCCAATGCCAATATTGGTCCACTAAGATCAGCATCTTTACGTGGTGATTTTGTACGATCTTCAGCTTTCAATAGGCCACAAACAGCGAGCAATGTATTGAGTAGAATAAAATCGGATTCATTTTTCAGAAATTTTTTCCTACCAACTTTGATGAGAGCATCGATTTCGGCAGTAGCATGTTTGTTCAAAGATTTTTCCGTTTTGTTAAAACCATCTGTCGATACGATAAAAAATCTTCGACATAATGATTCAAGATCTTTGTATCGTGTATTCAAATGTTCTTGTAATGCTTCCGGATTGGCCAATAGATTTTCATCCAGTTCATCGTTCATCAAAGTTTTATTATCAATTGATTGATTCGATTCTTCCAATTGGCAGCCATTATCATCATCATCATCAGCTTGTTCATCTTCCGAACCTTGGTCATCATCAATAATCAAATCAATAACAGAACCAAAATGATTTCTTAATTCATCAACAATCACAGTACCGAAATTATTGACACTAAGATCAAGTTTTAGTTTTGTTTGGTCATTTTCTCTTGTTTCCAATATTGTTTCCACTGTTGCTATGATCATTTCTTTTGCATCAATACCAATTTCATTTCCACTGAGATTAATTTCTCGGATTCGTGAACACCATTTTTCACGATATAGAGAATCTAAAGCTGATAGAACAATAATGGCTCCTTTGGTTTTCAGTAAACAATCACCCAGATTTAATACTTCTAGTTTGTCCAATTTTTTTAACGATGAAGCCAAATCATCGGATGTTGTTGTCAGAACATTATCATTCAGGTTCAGAATTTTCAAATTACAATTCTGTTTCAGCGCTTCACATAGACGAATTATTCCTTGTTCTTTCGTACCATTTTGTGGTAATTCCAAACGTTCTAATGTAGTCAATTTGGTTAATGCCGAACTGATTTCCATGATTCCATCAATCTCCAAACGATTTCTTCCAATGACTAATTCGGTTAAATTTTCAAATCCAGAAAGAACTGTGGCCAACATTGTTCCACCTTTAATACCTAGACCACAATTATTCAGGTAAAGATGCCGTAATGATGTGAATTGTTCGCTACGAAGAAATGGTAACAATTCCGGCATCGTTACCGGGCCGATTGCATTATCATTTAGATTCAATGTTATGATTTGTGCTTGACTTGCTTGTACACCACCCAATAGATAACGTAATGCCATAGGTATTTCATCTTTTAAACGACTGGTGAACATATCATTCAAGAATAAGTGACGAAGATTATGACAGGTTTGAAGTGATTGACCAATTTCTTTCAACGGTTCAACACCATACGAATTACCGTCCAATTGCAGAGTGCCAATCTTATCTTCATTATCACGAATCTGTTCCACTAAATCGGTGACATCTTCAGCCGAATCAAGTTTTTTACCACTAAGATTAGATTTAACAGTTAAATCGGCCATTATTTAATCATCAAAACAAGTGAAAAATTTTTTTTGGAACAAAATTCTATACTGCAAACATGAATCACGCTGAGCAAAAAAAAAATTTTTGCCAGAAAGGGCTGTTCATAGGCAACAGTATTTGAGCGGGAATCGATCGATTTACTATTATTAATTTTATTTTATAATTCAAATTCTAACAATATTTTTGACATGGCCATTCAAGATTCAGACAACTATCCAGATTATAATCAGTAATACATGGAATATAAATCCAGCTATCATCTTCATCATTCAATGGTTGTACATGGCACCAATTCCATGCACAATATGTAAAACAATTTTGTACATAACAATCACATGGACGACGTGTACAGATATGTAGACCAAATGATGGTAAAACACGTGGCTCATATATCATTGATAGATTTCCTTCGGCCAACATTATTCTTTCTAGAACAGAAATGACCAATTCAGTTTTTTCATTAGCTTTATAATCATTGTTGAATTTTGTTTTCAATGTATAATAATAATCATCACATTCGTATAATTTTTTAAATGGACAACCATACATAAATTTTAAATCTTGTTCTGAAATTTGCAAATCAAATGTCTCAATCAACAATTCCTTTTGGTCCAACATCATCATCATCATTATTATCAACACGATTATCATGATTACATCACATCAATTCAAATCAAATCGACATTTATTTTTGTCATTATAAAAATAAAAAATGAAAATTCAATAAATATATGTACATTGTACATTCAATCATTCAAAATTATTCGACTTAAATCACGCCAAAAATCCTCTTTGGTAGAATTTTCTTTGTTTTTGATTAAACAATCCTGTAAATGGCCATCAGTGTGATTGAAAAGGCCTAATCAAATGAAAGGGGGAAAAAATTAATCAAATTATATAATTTGTTTTTTAATTGGTGGTATATATAACTTACAAGCAATCAATTCGTTATTATGTGTTTGAAGATAAATGTTCTTTGATTTTACCCGAATATTATTGACTATTTCATCGATGGTTTGTTTTAGCTGATCTCGTTTTTTGCGTAAAGTTTCAATTTCTGTTTGAAGTGATTTCAATTGTTCTTCTGATTTCAATTGTTCATGTGTTATATCGTTGAGTGTTTGTTTCGATTGTTGATATCGGTCAAATGTTTGTTTTTGATTCTGTATCAATTGTGGCAACGTTGGAATCGGATCATCATCATTGAATTCCAGATTTGATTCACGTAACACTGTCTGAATATTATCATCAAAAGTTTTTTTCAATTCATCACGTAAATGTAGATGTTCATTTATCAATTTTGAGCAACGATCATAACGTTTGTTTATTTCATTATAATCAGCCGGTTGATTTATTGACTGGACCAGTTTTTGCCATTCCTCTTCCACAATAATTTTACGGTCATTTTTATTCGAAATTTTATCGGACGTCATTTTGAATTATTTTTGTTGTTACAATTAAAAAAATCTCAACATGACATTGACATGAAAATTGTTTGAGCCACAAAAAGGGTGGGATCACGCAACACAGCACACACAAAAATTGAATTTCAACGGCTAAAATTCAAAAATAAATGCACCGTTCATATATAGCGTGTGAAGAAAATAGAAATTTTGCTCGGAATCTTGAATTCGAACACCCGGAACATGGTATTCATAAAATCCTTACAATATTGTCATCGATAATAGAGGTATGTCTTTTCTTTTTAGTTTTTTTTTATTGATAAATCGATATGCAACAAGGTGTTGATATGATGATATGCATTGTGTTGGTGTTGTCACGATTGGCAAATGGTGAAAAAAAAATCGGCCATCACATATAGATATGTTTGCCATTCGATTGAGATGATAATGATGATGATGTGATTCTCCATCGTTGTCGTGCACATCTTAATCATAATCTTCATTCCAAATCAATCGTTAATAATGATAGTGTTAATTTGATCGAAATCGAATCGATTTTTCGATTAGAACGTGAATGCAATGACATGATTGTTCATTTATGGACAATTATTATTAGTGTATTTTCTCTCATTTTCATGATGATCATGATGATAATTTTATTATTATAGAAATTGATCCAAAATCATGAACGTAGTAGTAATACTATGTCTATATAGACATTTGATTTGAATTATGGAGAAATCCAATAATTGAAATCGAACAGAAAAAAAACAGTGGCAAATTGTGACTATTGAATCATGGCAAAATGTATGTGTATTTTATTATTTATGTTTATGTTCAATGTAATAATGTTTGTCATCCTGTTTAGATTCATTTCATTTTTGATGATGTTTGAATGATAATTTTATCGTTTGCCAACAGAAATTTTTTTTTTTTTTTTTTTTTTTTGATGTATAAAATAATAATTATGATATATATATTTCAAATACTTGATCAAATAAAACAAATAATCGTTGTTTTATTTTTCATTTATCTCTCTACAAACGATATCGATATTTTGACATTTTTTTTTTTCTTTCCTTACTGTTAAACTTTGAAAATTGTTTGTTTGTTTGTTTTCTTTTTATTCATCCATTCATTTGTTTGATTGATTAATCGATTGACACATTCAATTGGCCATCTTCATCCACCAATATATATATATATATATATATCTATATGGCTGTCTGTAGTAATCAATCAAAATCAAAATGATTATTCATTGAGAATAAACAACTTGCACTAGGTTTTCGTTGAATGATTATTGTGCAAGTGTGTGTGTGAGTGATGGTTTAATTAATTTAAAAAAAGCCCCAGATTTTTTTTTTTGCCTTTCTGAATTATCCATGACATTGTTGTTGTTGTTGTTGTTATCATATGGCTATCGTCTAAATAGATTTGAAATCAATCATTTCATTTTATTGAGCTCTCTTTTTTCATTTTCATATTTTATGATTTTAAATGTCAAACACCTTAACTGGATGCTGATGATCAACGACAAGAGAGAAAAAAAGTCATAAATTTGCCAAAATTGGTATCTATCCAATGTGTGTGTGTGTGTGTGTGTATGTCATTGATTAAGATGTTCATTTTTCTCAGAAAAAAAAATTGAAAACAAGAAAATTTTTTTTTTTTTTTTTGATTCCAAATTGACCGTTATCACATTATTATTATCATCATCATCACCCATAATTTTTTTTTGTTGCTGACTGCCATGTTGATGATGATCGTTATAAATCGTTTCATACTATAGTAAGAATGTTCAATATAAAATGGCCAAAATCGATTGAAATGGATAAAGAATTGTATGTGAGTTTGCGTGTGCCACACGACGAACACAAGGCGTTTTTTCTTTGATCATTTAGATGGCAAATTATTATTATCACACAAAATATCCGACAATAAAGACAATTCGTTAAATGAAGATTCTAATCAAGAATACAATATTCAATATGATCAATCTATACAATATATAATCATCGTCATTATCACCTCGAAAGATGTAAAATTCGGTAGCAAATGGTCACGATTTTCGTTGTCGTTGTTGTTGTTGTTGTTGTTGTTCCAAATTGAAAAATGATCAAAATAATAATAATATTGATGGAAAACAAAAAAAAAATTTTTTTTTGCTTATCAATGTAGTTTGATCAAAGATTCTTGTCTCATGATGATGATGATGATCATCATCATCATCAATCGTTTGCTCATCAACTCTGCAACAACAACAAGCATCACTTCATACAATGAATGGAATTTCGTTAGTTCATAAGATCATATCGAAGGAAAATGACCGAATAAAAGTAAAAAAAAAATGATCACAATATTAATCAGTAGTCAATCGATCAATTGATGATGATAATAATATAGTCTTTGTCTAGCGGTTGGAATGGATTTTTTTTTTTATTTCCACCTTAATGAAGACTTTCTCCCATTCTTATCATTGATTCATCATCATCATCATCATTGTTGAATGAAACAAAAAAAAAGAATGATCAGCAGCAGCAGCAGCAGCACAAAAAAAACTATTTCAAATTGTCCGTTTTGTCCGTTTTTTAATTGTGATTTTTTTTCTGCCATCCATTCAACTCAATGAATGATTTCAATTGTTGATAATCAAGAAAAGTAAAAAAAAAAATTGATTGAAAATTTCATGAAAAGAAAACGAAAAAAAAAGAAAAAATATTAATTAAGTTATCATCACACTAACTATATATATATATATATTGATTCGGGTCAACAACAACAACAACAACAACAAAAATTTGAAATTTCCGAAATTCAAATGAAAATGAACCAAAAAAAAAGAGAATTATCCACAAAACCTCAATTGCTTGATTGGTGGGCCAATTTTTTATTTGATTTGATTCGATTTGATTGAAATGAAAGCAACGACAAAAAAAAAATTCAGCGCAAAATCGTGAATAATAATGATATATATAAACGTAGCTACTAAAAATACAGGCAAACATTTTGTTGTTGTTGTCGTTGCTTTGTTGTTGCAACAACAACAACAACATTATCCAGCGGCTACGACAATGTGTTCAATGATGAAATGTTTTTTTTTAAATTGATGTCAAAACGGCACAAAAAATTTTTGATCATCCAGATCCATACCACACCCGGCTTTTGGTAAATGAAATTTTTTTTTCTCTCTCTCATTTCTCTCACTGTGTGGTTGGAATTTTCATTCGGTTTTTTTTTTTTGCATTTGCATTGCATATTGCCACTGATCAATTAAATCAATCGATCAATTGATTGATTAATAAAGTTCGTGAACAAAAATCAAAAAATTCAAATCAAATCAGATTCTTCCGATAATTTGATTTTAATTAATGATGATAACATTTTGTTGTTGTTGATGTTGATGGTGTTGATAAATTTCAATTTCAACGCCTAAACATCTCTTTATACGCAGGTTCAATTTTTTTAATTCATTCACATATTAATAGATTGATGATCATTGTCTATTGTGTAGTCTGTGATTTTAAAATAATCGATTCATTTGAAAATTTTCATGTGAATTACTTGCTGATGTTGTTTTTTTTTTTTTTTTTGAAACAAATGGCCATCCATTTGTTTCAACAACGATCAAAAAAAAAGACATCTTAATCACTGTGTGTGTGTGTGTGTGTGGATATAAATTGGATGTCATTGTCTTTATAAAGAATGTTGTTGTTGTTGATGATGATGATGATGATGATGGCAGATTGTTTGAAAAATTTAAAGAAAAAAAACGAGATTATCTTGAGATGGATGGATGGATGTGATGTCTGGATAACCGACCAATTGTTCCATTGTGTGTGTGTGTGTGTGTGTGTGTGTAATGTATCCGAATCTCGATAAATATTGATGGAGATTCAATTCAATTCAATTCATTTTTTTTTTACTCTGTGTTAGTAGCTATCCATCCATTCATTCATTTTCATCGATCAAACACTTTTGATTCTCTCCATTTCTGTCAATGATGATGATGATGATGATGATGATGATTACAATGATGGACAACAGCAGAAAAAAAATTGGATCAAAGTAACAAAAAAAAATTTGCAGTTTCACCTATATAGGTGTTTCAAAACACACACACACACACACACACATATTTCAGCCACATTGACTGGAAAGGTAATTTTTTCATCAAAAAAAAACAAACAAACAAACAAACACCAAACTATTAATCTTTATCTATTCAATGAATTGTGTGTGTGTGTGTCTGATTAACATGTTATTAACATATATATCTATGATGATGATAAACCCCTGTCATCATCATTGAATTTTTTTTTTTTTTTTTTTTTGTTCCCGGAATTTGATCAATCTTTATTCAGTCAGTCGTAGTTTTTTTCAAATCAAATAACACTATAACGTATAATGAAAAAAAAAATTTTTTTCAATGCAAACAATGAAATGATAATAATATCAACAACATCGACGACGACGACGAAAGCCAAAAGCAAAAAATGACCACAACCAGTGTGGTGATGGTTTATAGAACGAAAAAAAAAATTCGGATGATCCAGGTGGAAAAATGAATACATAACAATCATGTTGGACACACAGTGCTAATTTTTTCAAATTGAAAAAAAATGCCAAAGTATTGGTCATTGTTGTTGATTGAATTATTCGTTTGTGTAAACATTGGACATTGAATCCAATTCAACAACAACAACAACAAAATGACCAGCTTAATAACCTATAAGGCTGGTGTTTTTTTTTAATAAAATGGAATCAATGGTTCCAGGAAAAAACTAATGAAGTTTGGTTAGTTTTTTCGGTTTTTTTCTTTGCTCAATATATCGATTGATCGATCGACATCATTCAGATGAATGATCATGGATCAATAAATATTACACTATATCATCATCAACTATAGTCATAATTTTCAAATGATCACTGGTGACTAATTATGATTAATTGATTTATATGATAAATATACATTGTGTGTGTGTGTGTGTGTGTGTTGGAAACAAAAAACAAAACTTTTTTTTTCGATCAAACTGACCATTATGCATATGAGTGAAAGATAAGTAAGTCGTAGATATTTCGACTACGACGGCAACGACGACGATCATCATATAGATTTGAATGATAATTATCATTTTCCATGTATGAATGGTAATAATAATGATGATGATGATGATGACTGGGAAAAATTTGAATTTGAATTTTTTTTTTTCGTTCGCCAATGATAACTTAATCCAAATGATCAAAAAAAAAAAAAAAAAGATTTCCATTTGATGGTGATATCTTTTGCTGTTGTAAATTTGCATTTCCAATGTATTGGATAAAGTTGTCTGTTTGTGTGTGTGTGTGTTTGTTTTTATATTGATCTAGTTTTTTTTTGTTCATTTATCCGATATATTGGATAAAATGATGGCTGAACTTCATCATCATCATCATATCCCATTAGATCAATAATAATAATAATTTTTCTTAATGTTGTTTTTTCTCTTGCAAAGGTCATCTATTACTACTTGTTGCTGAATCAAATGGGAAATTTTTTTTTTATTTTTCCTCAAAAATGATGATGATGATGATGATGATGGCTAGATCAATTAATGGAACAATAATAATTGTATCATCATCATCATCATCATTATTGATTCAATTGATGGTACAATCGTTACATGATCAATAATTTTTTTTTTATATTTTTTTTTCACGGATAATGAGATATAATGATTTTGGCTCCATATATACACAGCAAATTCTCTATTTATACCTATTTTTAATGATGATGATAATCATGTTAATTGATGTCCAATTACATAGATATAAATATATATATCGTTTGTCATTTGACTTTTGATTTATTATTATGAAATCATTCATTCACGGTTTTGACATATCCATTTTTGGGGTGGGGAGGGGCTGAATTAAACATGTTATATATCAGCATATTGATTGGAATTGAATTTAATTTTTCACTTGATTTCATTATCATTTGATATTCAAGAATTGACTTTGGGTGATTACAACACACTATAATAATTGAATAAATTTAAGTGGAAGAAAAAATTCAAACATCCACTCATCCCATTAAACATATCGATGATGTAAAATTTTTTTTTCTGTATAATTATAGCCAATATCTTGACCTCTGGTCATCATTTATTATTCGAATGTTATGACTTTATTTTGTTATGTTAAGAGATGAAAAATTCATTGATTCATTAGAATTTTTAACTAAAGACGAAAAATGGATCTTACACACACACACACACACACGCCAGACAACTTGAGATGGAAAAATGTCGATGATCTAATAAAGAATCCGGTATTTTATTTGTTGTGATTTGATATAAATTTTTTTCCCATGCATTCCAATGTTGTTTTTTTAATATAATCCAAAGTCACGTTTTGTTTTGCCACCGTATTTGTTTATTTTGTTGTTGTTGTTTTATGCACTGCGGAAACATTTGATGTTAATTTTTCATGATTTAAAGTGAAAAACAAGATTTTTTTCTCATTGTTCAGCCTTGATTGATAATTTTGGTAGATTTATGACTGGTTTTCTTATCATTTTTTTTTTGTTCTCTCGTCTCTGTCTAGGTGGATATTGTCCACATATGAGTCCAGACATTTGAGTTTTTTTTTCTTGAAGATAAAGAAAGAGAAGAGAGAGAGAGAGAGAGAGAGAGAGAGTATCTTTGTCTGTCTCTGTGTAATAATATCGATTACGTACACGTGACAAGGACAATCGATAATCCACGAAAATGACGACGACGACGACGATCATCGTCGAGTCGATAAAATCCACTATCTGTCTGTCTGTTTATCGATAGTTTTTTTTTAGACAAATTTATTCACAATCAATTGGAATCAAAATGATGATGGAGAAAAATGAACAGAAAAAAAATTTCAATACAAATTGATCGAATTGATCAAACAAATCGATTGCTTTTGTAATAGTAATTATAAAAAAATTTTAGAATTGCAAATGATTTTTTGCAATGAAAATTGGATCAAATATAATCCAAATCCATATCCATGTCCAAAAACAAAAAGGGGTGTGATTTTTTTCCTTATTGGAATCAACACATCAGACATATATGATTGTTTGGTTGGATGAAGAATGGTGTTAAGTAGTCTGTTGGTTGGTTTTTTTTCTGATGAAGATGAAAAAACGAAATGAAATGAAAAAATTCGTGACTTTACTACCGAATTTTTTTACACAGTGAAAAAAAAATGATATGTTCAAATCTCCACCTAGTAGTATCTTCATCATCATCATCATCATCAAAAAAAAGATCGACTTGAGTGAGTTTCAAAGTTTGTTTTTTTGTAAACTAAAACTGCCACTTTCAATTACGGCAAATGGCTTAATAGTTTAACCAGAACCGAAAAAAAAAAAAACATATCATGCCAACATGTATTTATTAGCATCGCTTCGAGTAATAAACCCGATTGATTTTTGTTTTTTTTTCGGTTTTTTTTTTTTCTGTTCATAAAATCCATATTTTTTTACAAAAAAAAAATTAAAAAATCTAGATCCTCTGATGATGATGATCAGGATTAAAAAAATATTGGATAACTCATGATCGATATATTTTTAAATTGATTTTTTTTTCGTCCATGTAAGGGGTTAAAAATGATCATCATCATGATGATGATGATGTTCAATATTCATTTCGGCGTGACTTGTATCATTGAATTTTTTGTTTTTTGTTTAAAATCATGTTTATTACGGAAAAACATTTGAATAAATTAAGATCATCAATCAATTATCAGGTATCAGTCAAACAACAAAGTGTTTATGTTTCATAACGTTTTTTTTGTTTTTGTTTCTGATAAACAATGAAATTTTTTTTGAATAATTTATTGACCATCGACGACTATTATGAAATGATTGAAAACAAACAAACAATACAAAGGTGTGGATGGTGTTTTTTTTTTTTTGAATTGATTTAAAATTGACGAATATACCATGAAAAAAATATTGCTCTACTTGTTGATGATTGAAAATGAATTGACAGAATTCTTCAATGTCCCATGAATTTTTTTTTCATGTTTTCAATTTTTTTTTCCGGAATAATAATCACAATTGTTTTAATGCAAAAACTTCCACTGTTTTTTCGTTTTTTTGTTTTACATCATTTTATCAGTGTGCGTGTGTGTGTGTGTGTGATGAAAAATCATTTTTTTTCTCCATTATTCACACACACACACATACACAGTCAATATTGATGAAAGATGAGCCAAGCCTTTCTTCTACAATCCACCATCATCTTTCATCGATTCAATTCGAATAATTTTTTTTTTTTTTTTTTTGTTCAATAGAAACAAAAAACACAGTGAATGTTCAATTTTTTTTTTTTGGAATGGTCATCAGGTTCATTTCATTCTCATTGATGCTGCTGCTGATGCTTCTGCTGTTTGAAATTGTTACAATTAGAGCTACCTTGACCATTCATTGATAACGTTGATGAATAAAACACACGCACATTAACACGTTGGATACATGTTGGATATCTGCCAAAAAAAAAAAAACAAAGCCTAGAATCCTTTTTATTCACTGGAATCGTTTTTATTTATTCATTCATTTGTACATACAACCTATATATTATCACATCATTATCAATTGTTTTTTGGATGAATTGTAAATCAAAACAAAACAAAACAAAAACAAAACAACATGGCTGATGGATTCAAACAATGAAATTAATCCATCACAATGCTAAGTCGTCAATTTGTTATTAACACACATTATTCATTGTGTGTGTGTGCAAAACATTTTCATCATTTGATTAATTATTTATACATCTAATGCTAAGGACGAATATCGATCAGGAAAAAAAATCGAATATGGTTTAAATCGTTTTTTTGTTTAATCCAGCGTATGAATTCATTGATTCCTTTTTTTTTGAATTCATAATTAATAATCATTATGAATCGTGATTGATTTGTGTGTGTTTTTGTTTTTTCATTTTCTCATTCGTGAAACAAAAAAAAAAATTTTTTTATGATAATTCAATCCGGGAATTTTTTTCTATCTTATAGCCTAATTGAGAATTTCTTAAATGGTCGTGGTCGTGATATAACATGATGTTTTTTTTCATACTCACACACATATAGATGTCATTTAGATGAAATTTTGCCATAATTATGGACCATAAATTAATTAATAAATGTGAAACCTGTGGCTCGTAGTAATTAATCATCAATTAAGATGTGTTTTTTTTGTTTTTTTTATTTGATTCAAAAGAAAATTATCGTTTTGTGGTGATAAAAATATGATTTTGTTTGGCCACACTTTTCTTATCACAAATCTTGATGTGTGTGTGTGTTTTTTTGTTGTTGTTGTTGTTGTTGTCCATTTATTTATTAACCCTTTTTTTATGCATTAAAAACTAGATTTATCAGACAACATTTATAGCCTTTGGCTCCTGATTTCTGTTTTTATTTTTATTTTCATTTTTTTCAACGTCCAAGACGAATCAATTCGATGTAATGAATGAATGAATATAGATTGAGAATCTAGGAATCGTTTGCTCACTTTTCTTGGATGAAATTAATCAATCAAAAATCAATTCATTAGAATTCATACTTATCAATTGATTGATTTTCAATCAATTAATAATTAATTATTGTTCAAATACCAATCATCAATTGCTTATATGTTTTTTTTTATTGAAAATTATTTTTTCTGGTATTCATTTCAAAGAATTTAGACAGTTTTTTGTTTGTTTGTTTGTTTATTTTCTGCTAGAATCATCAAAGATAAATAAGTTTTTGTTTGTTTGTTTGAATAATGGAAAATTGTTCATAAATATATCTTTAGTTATAATGAAGAATGAAATGTTCTGAGTGTGTGTGTTTAACAATGTGTTAATGTTGGGAGTTTTTTGTGTGTGTGTTGTGTTGAATGAATGGATGAAAGAAATGTCCAAATATTCATGCTATATGGTTATATAATGAGTATACAAGAAACGAAAAAAAACACAACTATTACAATGGTTAAATATGAAAAATGAAAATGAAAATACTTAAAAAAACAACGAAACAAAAAAAAATTCAAATGAAGATCAATGAATGAATGAATGAATGAATGGGTGGGTGGGAAAAACTCAAGATTCTTGATGAAAAGAATTTTGGAATTTAGAAAAAAAACGAAACAAAACAAAACAGACGAAACGAAAAAAAAAATTGTAAAAACAAAACCAATGTATATATAAGATTTCTGGATTCTGGTTTGCCATCAGTGGGTAGTAATCAATGATCGGCGTTTTTATTTTTAATTCAAATATCGATAATGATGACCATTGATGACCATTGATGATGATGATGATGATGATGCAATCAATCAATGACAAGAATCATCGGATTTGAATAGAGTGGATATTGATGAAACAAAAAAAATAATCCCAGATCTGATTTATGAAATGAAAAAAAAAAAGAAAGAAAATGAAAAACAGATTAGTCATCAATTGTGGCTTTGTATATACAAAACAAAAATCAAACGTTCCATATGCAATAAATTAACACTTTTGTGTCTGGCTTTTTTCTTTTCTTTTTTTTATTGTGTGTGTGTGTGTGTGATTATAACATCCTCATTTTTTATTCGTTTTGTTTTGTTTTGTTTTTTTTTTTGCTTCACATTTAATGAATATAATAAATCTTGCCATTCCTTTGCATCGTTCATCACCTCATCATCATCATCATCATCATTTTCACCGGGTTATCCTAGTTCAAATCATTCATTTATTCAGCGATAAAATAAATGTAACAATTATGAATGGCGAGAAATGAAAAAAAAAATTGATAGCATCAACTTAGTGAGACATGGATAGAGAGAGAGAGAACGGAAGTGGATAAAAATCAAAAAAAAAAGTTGGAATACTTAGTTCTCATAGCTAACACTGAATAGTATGTGTGTGTTTGGTTCAAAGTTATCAACCAAAAAAAAACTGTAAAATTTTAAAATTTACGATATTTGACCACTACGTTTAATTCATTTGTTTGTTTATGTGTGTGTGTGTGTAAATCACTGATTGAGCAATTATGATGATCAATTTGTGATGACCACACACACACACACACACACACACAACAACAACAGACATTAATTAAGAGAGCTTTAAATTACTGTCCTTGTTCCAAGAATTTATGATTTTTTTTATTATTATTATCATTTTATTTACAATCGATAATAATTTGTCTCCTTATTTTCCCCTGAAGACGTGAAAAAAAAACACACACACATTGATTTGATAATTATGTTTTTCTAGTGAAAAAAAAATAATCATCATCATCATCGTCATCATGATGAAAAAAAGAAAGGGAAAAAAACTTTGAATTTAGACACTATAAATATTATATTGGTCGTCATATAACCCATAGATTGATGATGATGATGATGATTGTGAATTTCAATTTGATTCAAGTTTAACCCTTCAAAAAAAAAAAAAAAAAACGGATACAGATAATTTGATGTTATCCATAAAATACGGGAATCATTTGAATTTAAATTTTCTACATATCATCATCATCATCAGTCTTTATTGTGTTTTAGTTTCCTTACATACAAAATCCGATCACAAGATGATGGACTTGAATGAATGAGAAATGGAACAAAACAAAAAAAAACCTTATCTAGTTTAAGAAGATTATAACTAACTCGATTATTATTACTGTTGTGCACTGTCTCTAGGTGTTAATGGATAGATAGATGAATGATGTGTGGTGGTGGTGGTCAATGATATAAAAAAAAATTTTGATTTAGTTTTTTTTTCACTGAATGTCAGTAGATTTTACCATTTTCACTATATCTACATCCATAATGATTGTTGTTGTTGTTGTTGATGTGAGAAAATCCAATCTCTTTTTCTTTTTCTTTTTGTTCATTCATTGTTTTATTAGTTTTTGACTTTGAATCCTGTGAATTTGGTTGAAATTTTTAAACATGACGATGATAATGATGATGATGATGATGATGATAATTGAATCGAATAGCCCCAAAAAAAACAATAGTGAAATGATTTTTATATTTATTTTTTTTCGTTCGTTCCTGAAATTATTTCCGATTCATAATCATCATCATCATCATCTTAAAAATTTTTTCAGAACAAAACAGACACACACACACATACAGAAAAAAAAAATTTTACCATTTAAACAGCTGCATGTCTTTTCATATGCAATGCTAGATGATCTGAACGTGAGAAAGCTCTTTCACATAGTTGACATTGAAATGGTCGATCACCAGTATGTTTACGAAAATGTCTAGTCAATTCATCTGATCGTGCAAATTTCCATCCACAACCTTTCCAACTACATTGATATGGTTTTTCACCAGTATGTGTACGCAAATGTGCTTTCAAATGTGAACTTTTTGTATATGTTTTTGTACAACCAGGATGTGAACAGGTATGTGTGGTCACTTTTTTCTGTCTACTATTAACACTGTTGTTACTATTATTTGTTTGTGATTTTTGTGATTGATGTTGATGTTGATGTTGTTGACTTAGTGAATGAGTATGATTTGATGAATGTTGCATTAATTGACCATTACAGATAATATCTTCATTATTATTATCATTAGTTACAATACAATTATTCGGTGGTTGTGAGATCGATGAATTTGTTGATTGAAGTGTAAGCATTGTTTGTTGCTGCTGTTGTTGTTGTTGTTGTTGTTGTTGTTGGCTATTAGTCATTGACCATGCTGATGTTGATAAAAATTGATAAGTTTGATTAGTATCAGAATTCGGTGGTTGTGGTTGTTGTTGTTGTTGTTGTTTATGTAAATGCATCTGTATTAATGATTTTTGATCAGCAGGTGATGCTGGTGGTGACATTACAGATAATGATGAAACATTTTGATTAAATCTTGAATGATAACCATTATTATCAGTACCGTTTGTATGACAATAGCCACTATCATTATAATTGGCTGTTGTTGTATTTTGATAGTAAAAATTATCGATTTGATTTTCTCTCACATTACTATTATTATTATTATTATTCCAAGCTGATGATGTTTGTCCATTTGATGATAATGATGATGATTTAGAATATGACACTTGATTATTGTTATTATTAATCTGTTGATGTGATATAATTGTTTTGTTTGTTGTAGTAACAAATTTATTCGATAATTGTTGATGTAATATTGGCATCTGATCTTTTAAATGTGATCTTTGTTGACCACTACTACTACTACTACCACCAACACCACCGTTGGCTACTGACATTGTTTTGTTTGCGTTTGAATATTGTTGATTTCCATTCTTTATGGAATTAATCATTGGTGGTGATGATGAAGACGATGATGATGATGATGATGATGATGATGATGATGATGAGGAAGATGAAATAATAGAATTTGGTGATAAGGTGACTGAAGGCATCATTTCGGTTATTGATATTTTTGTGCTATTAGTAGGAGATGAATATGGTGGTACCGGTAATATCGATTGTATCGATGTGACCGTTGGATTCACCACCATTGTTGAACATCTTTGACCATCGGCATTATTATTATTATTATCATCATCATTATCATTATCATTATCATTATCATTAACATCACCATTATTGATAGCGGTAATACCATTATAAAAATGGCCACCATATTCATTGATAATCATTTCGGTTAAATCTAATTGTTTAGTTTTCAATGAATTTGTTTGATTATTATTACTATTATTTATTGATTCTAATTTATCGCCATTTTTATCCATATTGATTTGTGTAATCGATTGTCCATTTATTATTGTTTCATCATTATTATTATTTGTCAATGAATCATGTCCATTTGAACAGTTATTATTATTATTATTATTATTATTATTATTGTTATTGTTTATTATACATTGACCATTTGTCGATGTAGGTGATTGCTGTTGATTATTATTATTATTATCATGATGATGATGATGGTGATGATGATGATGGTCATTTGATGATGATGATGATGATGACGATGTAATTTGATCCTGTTGTTGTGGCTGTAGTGGTGGTGGTGGTGGTGGCGGTGGCGGTGCCTGTTGTTGTTGTTGCTGCTGCTGCTGTCCCAATAATAGAACACTTTCAATATCTTGCCACATCTGCTTTTAAAAAAAAAAAAAAATTGAGAAACACAGAAAAAAAAGGATTAATAACTGGATCAATCATCATCATCATCATATATAAAATTAAATAGATTCAAAAGACTCAATGTTCAATCAAATTGGGGAATGAATGAATGAATGAATGAATTCAAGTGGTTTTTGTTTTGTTTTGTTTGATTTTTTTTTTCGCCATATGACGTGTGTGTATGATCATCGATGAATTTTGAAATGAACAAACAAAACAAAAATGTATATGTATGGCCAGTGAATTCAAACAAAACAAAACAAAACAAAACAAAAATTATAAGTAATAAAGGACCTTAAGGGCCAATAATAATAATCATCATCATCGATGGAAGATAATTGGCGCCATTTTTTTTTTTTTTTTTTGATTTGGTTTCAGCAACTATCGAGAAAAAAATTGCGTGGGAACAAAACAACATTGTTATATCCTCAACAGTAGTAGTAGCAGTAGCAGCAGCCTGTTGATTTTTTTTCCAGTGATTTTTTTTCATTTTGGGTTGTTATTTTTTTTCATTTTGGATGATGATCATGAAAAGATTAATCATCATCATCATCATCATTGTCATAATAATAATCATCAGGTCTTTATTTATTTAAACATCGATTGAGAAATAAAATTTTTTTTTTTGTTTTGTTTCTTATTGGCAGTTGCAATCAAAATGGAAATGAAAAATTATATTGATCAACAATTGGTTCGATTGTTTCACATGTGTGTGTGTGTGTGCATGTGTGTTTGACACTCGTATTGATTAATATGCAATCGAAGATGATCATGAAATTTTTTTTTTTTTTTTTTTATTTTGATCCAGAAAAATAAAAAAAGAAATTCAGCACAAATGGAGCAATCGCTTTGATGATTTGATGATCGATTTTTTTTTTTTTTTTGTTTTCTTTTGTTCTGTTCTGTTTCGTTTCTTGGTATTGACCATCAATCTATCAACAATCGATTTGAACAACAACAAAAAAAAAATCTGACCATGAATAATAATAATAATAAGATTCAATTCTTTTTCACTGCTATTTATATTGAATCAGTTTCAATTTCAATTTAGTTTTTTTTTCTTTTATGTATGCATGTGATTGCTATTGTTATGATATCGATTTATTGTCATTGTCGATTGATTTTAATTTTGAAATTGATTTGGTTTTTTTTTAAATTTTATTTCAATTTTTTTAATCATGAATCAATGATGATGATGATTTGATATTTATGAAATTTTTGTCTTCTTGCTGCTGATTACAAATGTGGCCATCGAAAACACTTGATGATTTGAAAATTGTAAAATTCAAATTTAAATGTCCAGTATCTGGGCAAACAAACAAACAAACAAACAAACAACAAGTGCAAGCAACAGGTTTTTTTTTGTTAATCGATTGATTTATATTTTCATTTTCATTTTCATATATAAAAGCGAAAAAAAACCGAATAAATCAGCATTAAGATCAATGAATGAATGAATGAATGAATGAATGAAAATATTGGCCAATTTTTTTTTGATTCACCTGTAAGATTATCATTATTGTTGTTTTCATTATTCAACCATCGAACATACATACACACACACACACCAAATGGTTAAAATCCAATTTTTCTTCTCCCATTAATTGTACATTTCATCAAGATTATTATTATATTATGATGATGATGATGATTATTACTGAGTAAAAAAAAAGAGGTTATAATTAAACTAAATGATGATGAACAACCAACTAACTAACTACCTGTTTTTTTTTTTTTGATGTTTGTTTGCGTCAATCATCGGTTCAATTCATCATTGTGGACATTTTATTTTATATTTATTTATTTATTATTCCAATGATGATTACGAAGATAATGTTTGATTAGCCATCAACGTTGTGTATCTGGCAAATCAAAAATGGTTACCATCTTGTTGTTGCCGATAAATTGATTTTTTTTTATCATGATGATAACACTAAAAATAGGACTTGACCATAATAATTAAAAAAGTTTCAATATCAACAACAACAACAACAACAACAACAATGGTCGTAGAATCATTAAAAAAAATCAATTTATTGATGATCCAGATTTCAATCAATCAATCAATCAAAAAAAAAAAAAATAAACAGCAAACAAATGAAATAAATTACTAAAAAAAAAAAAATTAAATCAAACAGTAAAAAGTTTGAAATTATCCACATGATTTTTTTTCACTTTCCGGGTCTCTCTCTCTCTCTCTCTCTCATCATGAACAACAACAACAACAATTATGTAATCTCCAGCAATCTTTATATATCGAAACAAATACAATGGCCACCATTTGGCAATGATCATCGGAATATGGATCACTAAGCTTTTGTTGTGGTAATAATAATAATTTTTTTTAATGAAAGAGAAAAAAAAAAAATCAATTAACTTGTGTGGTCAATTTTTATTTTTTATTTTTTTTAATTATGTATCTAATATTGCAATCTGCTACTTACTGCTGTGATTGATAGATCTCTTGATGATGATGATGATGATGATGATCAATAATAATGCTATATAGCAAACATGAAACAATGAATATTGCTGAGAAAAAAAAAGTAATGGACAAAAAAAAAAAAAAATATTTGTGGCCAGAATACTAAAAAAGATTTCTTTCTCAAAATACTATTCAATTGATTAATTGGCTATGATTTTGGCCATTGTTGTTGTTGTTGTTGTTGTTGTTGTTGTTGTTGTTGTTGTTGTTGTTGTTGTTGTTGTTGTGTGTGTGTGTGTGACCAAACAATGAAAAGTGATGAAAATATTCGAATGAATGGCCACAGTTGCGCTTTCACCACTAGATTTTGTTTCAATTTCAATCACCAATCATAACTAGATCGATGAATTGTATACAAAATTGGTTGGAGATCGATTTCAGTTTTTTTTTTTTTTAAATTTAACTTTTATTTCGAAAAACAAAAAAAAAAAAATTTATTACCATACTACTAATAACATGAATGCAATATTATTAGTTTTTTTTGTTTTCATTTACAATTTTTTTTTCAAATATTTCACAATATCGATCTTGAATTGGGAGCCGCCAATATTCATTTTCATTTTCATTTTTATGATCACATCGTTGGCCATTATTTTTTTTCTCCTTCAACCAATCCTTAATCGAGGTTTGATTAACTGGAATTTTTTTTTTTTTTTGATCTGATCTGATTTAATTGAAGTTCAATTATAACCAGCCAGATGGACAATAATAATAATAATAATAATAATAATCCGTTTATGATAATTAATCCAAATCAAGAAAAATGATTTTTTTCCACCGTACAAAAAAAAAAAAAAAAATATCGAGATGATATCTGGGATGGTTTTCTCTTTTTTTTTTTTAGTTTAGTTTTTTTTCGACGCCTTGATTATATATCCAATCACAATAGATTAACTTGATCGATTCATTTTTTGTCAATTTTTCTTTTTTTGGCCAGTTATGTTTTTTTTTTTTTTTTTTTTTGTTGAAACATCATCACATTTTGATTTGAGGCGAAAAAATGAAATTCTTCATCAATAAAAACATTAATTGATTTGGACACATGTATCCAATATTTTTCCACGGAATCAATTTGTAGTTGCACTGATGAATTGTATCAATTCATAAACGATAATGATGATGATGATGATGATGATAATGATTACTGACAATTGCTTCATTTTTTTGACTGGTTCAAATAATTATTAGAATAAATGAATGAATTTATATATTAGCAAGGTGAATCGAACGATTAATTTGTATCAATGTTTGTTGGCTATTTGTGTATAAAAAAAAGGTGTCAAAAGATATTTGTCGATTCTTATCATCATCATCATCATCATGATTGTCAAATGATCATGATGTACATAAATGATGATTATCCATTTTACGTTGCGCCATAATGAATAAAAATAAATGAATGAATGGCCAGCTCGAAGCTGCTGAGCCACACAACATAGAAGTATTTTTGATTGGTCAAAAAAAAAATTGTTAATTTTTTTCCATTTTTTGTGTGAAAATATATTACACATATATTTGGGTTAGTTATAATTTATCGATCCGAATAATGATTATTATCTTGAAATTAGATCAATTAGATTACGACGACGACAGCAGCAAAGACTAATGAATAAAATGAAATCAATGGCCACTACTACTACTACTAATGGCCATAATGAATCAATATGTTTTTTTCAAAATCAAATTGATCGCTAGATGTTTTTTTCGATATTTATCGATGATGATGATGATGATGAATTTGTCTTTTTTTTCTGAAATTCAATAAGTTGAACACAAGAAACGAGAGAAATGAGAATATTGAATGGAGAGACAAAAAGAAAAATGAAATCCAAATCAATCAATCGATTGCGATCAATATCAGATTAATGAAATTTCAAATTGGTTTGCAAAATGATTGAATGACAAAAAAAATGTATCTGTGTTTTTTTC